CTTCCCCGGTCCTCCGCACTCTCTTCACATGCTGAAGACGATTTCCAAGACGATCCTTGAGACGTCTCAACGATCGTCACCGCATTCGCTCACCTTCCCCGGTCCTCCGCACTCTCTTCACATGCTGAAGACGATTTCCAAGACGATCCTTGAGACGTCTCAACGATCGTCACCGCATTCACTCACCTTCCCCGGTCCTCCGCACTCTCTTCACATGCTGAAGACGATTTCCAAGACGATCCTTGAGACGTCTCAACGATCGTCACCGCATTCACTCACCTTCCCCGGTCCTCCGCACTCTCTTCACATGCTGAAGACGATTTCCAAGACGATCCTTGAGACGTCTCAACGATCGTCACCGCATTCACTCACCTTCCCCGGTCCTCCGCACTCTCTTCACATGCTGAAGACGATTTCCAAGACGATCCTTGAGACGTCTCAACGATCGTCACCGCATTCACTCACCTTCCCCGGTCCTCCGCACTCTCTTCACATGCTGAAGACGATTTCCAAGACGATCCTTGAGACGTCTCAACGATCGTCACCGCATTCACTCACCTTCCCCGGTCCTCCGCACTCTCTTCACATGCTGAAGACGATTTCCAAGACGATCCTTGAGACGTCTCAACGATCGTCACCGCATTCACTCACCTTCCCCGGTCCTCCGCACTCTCTTCACATGCTGAAGACGATTTCCAAGACGATCCTTGAGACGTCTCAACGATCGTCACCGCATTCACTCACCTTCCCCGGTCCTCCGCACTCTCTTCACATGCTGAAGACGATTTCCAAGACGATCCTTGAGACGTCTCAACGATCGTCACCGCATTCACTCACCTTCCCCGGTCCTCCGCACTCTCTTCACATGCTGAAGACGATTTCCAAGACGATCCTTGAGACGTCTCAACGATCGTCACCGCATTCACTCACCTTCCCCGGTCCTCCGCACTCTCTTCACATGCTGAAGACGATTTCCAAGACGATCCTTGAGACGTCTCAACGATCGTCACCGCATTCACTCACCTTCCCCGGTCCTCCGCACTCTCTTCACATGCTGAAGACGATTTCCAAGACGATCCTTGAGACGTCTCAACGATCGTCACCGCATTCACTCACCTTCCCCGGTCCTCCGCACTCTCTTCACATGCTGAAGACGATTTCCAAGACGATCCTTGAGACGTCTCAACGATCGTCACCGCATTCACTCACCTTCCCCGGTCCTCCGCACTCTCTTCACATGCTGAAGACGATTTCCAAGACGATCCTTGAGACGTCTCAACGATCGTCACCGCATTCACTCACCTTCCCCGGTCCTCCGCACTCTCTTCACATGCTGAAGACGATTTCCAAGACGATCCTTGAGACGTCTCAACGATCGTCACCGCATTCACTCACCTTCCCCGGTCCTCCGCACTCTCTTCACATGCTGAAGACGATTTCCAAGACGATCCTTGAGACGTCTCAACGATCGTCACCGCATTCACTCACCTTCCCCGGTCCTCCGCACTCTCTTCACATGCTGAAGACGATTTCCAAGACGATCCTTGAGACGTCTCAACGATCGTCACCGCATTCACTCACCTTCCCCGGTCCTCCGCACTCTCTTCACATGCTGAAGACGATTTCCAAGACGATCCTTGAGACGTCTCAACGATCGTCACCGCATTCGCTCACCTTCCCCGGTCCTCCGCACTCTCTTCACATGCTGAAGACGATTTCCAAGACGATCCTTGAGACGTCTCAACGATCGTCACCGCATTCACTCACCTTCCCCGGTCCTCCGCACTCTCTTCACATGCTGAAGACGATTTCCAAGACGATCCTTGAGACGTCTCAACGATCGTCACCGCATTCACTCACCTTCCCCGGTCCTCCGCACTCTCTTCACATGCTGAAGACGATTTCCAAGACGATCCTTGAGACGTCTCAACGATCGTCACCGCATTCACTCACCTTCCCCGGTCCTCCGCACTCTCTTCACATGCTGAAGACGATTTCCAAGACGATCCTTGAGACGTCTCAACGATCGTCACCGCATTCACTCACCTTCCCCGGTCCTCCGCACTCTCTTCACATGCTGAAGACGATTTCCAAGACGATCCTTGAGACGTCTCAACGATCGTCACCGCATTCACTCACCTTCCCCGGTCCTCCGCACTCTCTTCACATGGTGCAGATCCTTCAGGGGTGCCACAGATGCCAGCTGCCTAGGTAGGGGCAGGGGTGTGGGGGGGAAAGAGGGTGAGCGGGGGGGCGGGGGTTGGGGAGTGGGAGCCAGGGAAGAGGGAGGAAATGGGAGGGGCGGACTGAAGCTGAGGTGCTTATTAAATGCTGAAGCTCCCGCAGAGGTGCCGGTGACGCATTCCGGGAAAATTTTATGTGGAACGACGATGATAACATATTGAATGGGAAGTACGCTAACAAATCGGAGCAACATTATCAAGTGGGGTGATTACCCAACAAGCAGTGGTTTGAGGATTTGCTGAACAGCAGGCCACCTGATGCCAATCAGCACGCCACCTGATGCTGATCAGCTTGATCAGATAGTCAGATTTTGTTTTCTGACTTATCAACAACCACCTGAGCAACAACCACCTGAGCAACAACCACCTGAGCAACAACCACCTGAGCAACAACCACCTGAGCAACAACCACCTGGTCAACAACCACCTGACCAATGACCTGATGATACTCACTTTATTAATTTATTTGCAAGTGCAGGTTTCACCTCTGCCACCACAACCGGAACTGGCAATAACGAGGACAAAAAAAAGAACAAGGCCAGGAAAATGTTACTGCTCGGAAATCAATTGGTCCTATCCGGCGAAACGCAAGACCGCATCTCACGCGAAGCGCAGGAGCCGTGCAGTCTAGAGCATCTGAGGGTCCTCAAAATCCGCGTGTAGTGAGGTGCATTTTGAGGCGCCTCAAAATGCACCGTGCACTCTAGAGCATCGGAGGGTCGAAGCGAGTTTTGAGACGTCGCAACGCTCAAGAGCCTTGCACTCTAGGGCATCCCAGGGTCGAAAACGCTGTTTCCTAGACTTGAAAAAGCACGACCCGAGTCATAGGTTGGAAATCATAAAGAATTTCATGTCTCGTGAGGCAATCAATGCTGCGAGCGCGCTACCTGTGGCATCGTGTGCCCTGGAATATGCTGCAGCCACGAGGGTAGCAGCTCCTGCTGCTGATTCGCTTGATCTGCCATCGCGCTTGCGGCTGTAATCTCTGGCGCGACGCGAGTAAACAAAGGGTTAGGACAGCGGGTATTCAGTTATAGTGACCAGTCATTTGCAATTCGCGACGCTGGTCAAGCTGGTGTTGTGATGTGACAGAATCCAGGTTCTTCGGGAATATTTTGTGAACAAGGCGTGTTCGGTGGTTTGATCAGCTTTGAACAGTTTGACGGTATATCCTGGTTCTGCTAGTTCCAAAGCGGTGATGCCTCTAATTAACCATCTCAACCACTACGCATCGTATCTAAACGCACTTAACGCATCACACATATAACTGAGAAGACCTTTAACGCGACAGAGTGCTCTTCGTTATTGTTCACAAGCACATGTTAAACAATAAATTGATCATCCCCAAAAAAATCAGCAACACCGCCCCCACAAAATAGGGGTGTTTTCTCTGCTTATTCTCGTGGCGCGTCACTCCACCGTAGTCTCCACTTGCCTTTTTGGTCACACCGACTAGCGTTTATTCCTGCGACCGTGTTAGTTGACTCAAGAGTTTTTTAGGCTCCTCAGAAACACTGGAATTGTGACTGTGGTTAGTCGTTGTCAAGAGTTATTTCAGTAACGTTGCGCGGTCATTTCAACTTTGGCTCTCTGACGACTAGTGGGTCTCTTAGTCTCTCAGGCGTTATTTTTCTGCCCTGTTTCTCTCTTCTCCTCTCGTTCGCCTCTTCCTCGAAACGTGCGAATACTAACTTACGTAACAGTTACCGAATAGTGCGCGAGTCGCGAGCTACTTACCTTGCCACTAACGCAGTAATGGAGCGGTCTAAGCGGAGGCGAGTCGCCGTGAACTACGCCAAGCTAGCCGCGGGGGTTCAGGCGGAAGAATCGGACGAGGAGGAGGAAGAAGATAAGGGAAAGAAGGGGAAGAAAGAGAAAAACGAGACGAAAGCGAGGTCGACACGTGGCGGACGCGGATTGGTCGCGGTTGCGAGCCTTGCAGCTGCCGCGCCGTCCGCTAGTACCAGGGCGCGGAGCGCGCGCGGGGGGGGAAGTTCCGGCGCGGGGGAGAGTTCCGCGCGCCAGGCGGTAATTGGCGGGCGGAGGGTGGGCTTGCGCGTTCTGACTCCGCGGAAAACGGGGGGAGCGTGAGGCAGTAGCGGCAGAGGAAGCGGAGGAGGAGGAAATGGAGGAGGAGGGAGGCACGGGAAAGGTGAAGAGGAAGAGACGAACCAAGAGTGTGGCGGATTTGAGGTGAGAATGGGTCTTGACGTAGAGTGGAAGAGCAGGAAAAATGAAACTTGAAAAACTCGTACGCAGCTAAAGAGGGACACTTGAGGCTCTGAAGGTGAAGAGACGAACCAAGTGGTGGCGGATTTGAGGTGAGAATGAGGAGAGAAAAGCCGAGGCGAATAGGCGAGACTGATTCTTAGGCGCCTCAGGAAAAGTAGGAGGCGTGGGAGAGGTGAAGAGGAAGAGACGAACCAAGAGCGTGGCGGATTTGAGGTGAGAATGAGGAGTGAAAAGACGAGAGTGGGGAGTACTAGAATGCGACAAGACAAGGTGTCGCAAGCCCCATGTGCCCCCAGTGAGACGAACCAAGAGCGTGGCGGATTTGGGGTGAGGTTGAGGAGAGAAAAGACGAGAGTGGGGAGTATTAAAATGCGACGAGAAAATTGTCACAAGCCCCCTTGGTCGCAGCCCCACAAGCCCCAAGCTCCACATGCCCCCACCGCAGTCCCACATGCCCCAAGCTCCACATGCCCCCACCGCAGTCCCACATGCCCCAAGCTCCACATGCCCCCACCGCAGTCCCACATGCCCCAAGCTCCACATGCCCCCACCGCAGTCCCACAAGCCCCAAGCTCCACATGCCCCCACCGCAGTCCCACATGCCCCAAGCTCCACATGCCCCCACCGCAGTCCCACAAGCCCCAAGCTCCACATGCCCCCACCGCAGTCCCACATGCCCCAAGCTCCACATGCCCCCACCGCAGTCCCACATGCCCCAAGCTCCACATGCCCCCACCGCAGTCCCACATGCCCCAAGCTCCACATGCCCCCACCGCAGTCCCACAAGCCCCAAGCTCCACATGCCCCCACCGCAGTCCCACATGCCCCAAGCTCCACATGCCCCCACCGCAGTCCCACAAGCCCCAAGCTCCACATGCCCCCACCGCAGTCCCACATGCCCCAAGCTCCACATGCCCCCACCGCAGTCCCACAAGCCCCAAGCTCCACATGCCCCCACCGCAGTCCCACATGCCCCAAGCTCCACATGCCCCCACCGCAGTCCCACATGCCCCAAGCTCCACATGCCCCCACCGCAGTCCCACAAGCCCCAAGCTCCACATGCCCCCACCGCAGTCCCACATGCCCCAAGCTCCACATGCCCCCACCGCAGTCCCACATGCCCCAAGCTCCACATGCCCCCACCGCAGTCCCACAAGCCCCAAGCTCCACATGCCCCCACCGCAGTCCCACATGCCCCAAGCTCCACATGCCCCCACCGCAGTCCCACATGCCCCAAGCTCCACATGCCCCCACCGCAGTCCCACATGCCCCAAGCTCCACATGCCCCCACCGCAGTCCCACAAGCCCCAAGCTCCACATGCCCCCACCGCAGTCCCACATGCCCCAAGCTCCACATGCCCCCACCGCAGTCGCACATGCCCCAAGCTCCACATGCCCCCACCGCAGTCCCACATGCCCCAAGCTCCACATGCTCCCAGCCCCATCCCATGTTCCTTCCCAAAACAGTCTCCTCTGAGTTTTTTTTCTTTCTTTCTTTCTTTTCCCTCATACTGTCCGCTGTTTTTCCGTTCTTCTTTCCTTCCTCGTGCTGTCTTCTCTGGCGATCGCTCCTGCGCGGATCACTCCCTTATTTCCCCTTTTTTTACTCCTCGCCTCGCAGCCAACTTTTGAGGCGCCTCAAAAGTCGCTCGTGTGTGAATCACTCCCTTATTTCCCCTTTTTTCACTCGTCGCCTCGCAGCCAACCAACAGCAGGCCCAACAAGAGGTCGGGGGCAGGGAGGAGCAGCGAAGGCTGAAGATGGGGGGGATGGTGATCATGGTGGTGATGGGGATGGGGAAGAGGATGACAATGAAGGAGCAGAAGAGGAGGCAGAAGAGGTTCAAGATGCAGACTACGATTCTGATGTGAGTTTCCTGCCTGGTGCAGCAACGGCTGAATATGGGGATGATGATGATGATGGGGATGATGATGATGATGGGGATGATGAGGATGATGGGGATGATGAGGATGATGGGGATGATGAGGATGGGGATGCTGATGATGGGGATGCTGATGATGGGGATGATGATGATGGGGATGCTGATGATGGGGATGCTGATGATGGGGATGATGATGATGGGGATGCTGATGATGGGGATGGGGATGATGAGGATGATGAGGATGGGGATGCTGACGATGGGGGTGATGATGATGAGGATGATACTGAACGGGGGAAGGGGGAGGTGGAAGCGGCACAAGATGCGGGCTACGACTCTGACGTGAGTTTCCTGCCTGGTTGCCTTCATATAACTTCTGAGATAGAAAGCTCATTCTAATCCACGTGACTGTTTTTGAGACGTCTCAAAAACACCCTCACCTCACCTGACGTGAGTTTCCTGCCTGGTTGCCTTCATATAACTTCTGAGATAGAAAGCTCATTCTAATCCACGTGACTGTTTTTGAGACGTCTCAAAAACACCCTCACCTCACCTGACGTGAGTTTCCTGCCTGGTTGCCTTCATATAACTTCTGAGATAGAAAGCTCATTCTAATCCACGTGACTGTTTTTGAGACGTCTCAAAAACACCCTCACCTCACCTGACGTGAGTTTCCTGCCTGGTTGCCTTCATATAACTTCTGAGATAGAAAGCTCATTCTAATCCACGTGACTGTTTTTGAGACGTCTCAAAAACACCCTCACCTCACCTGACGTGAGTTTCCTGCCTGGTTGCCTTCATATAACTTCTGAGATAGAAAGCTCATTCTAATCCACGTGACTGTTTTTGAGACGTCTCAAAAACACCCTCACCTCACCTGACGTGAGTTTCCTGCCTGGTTGCCTTCATATAACTTCTGAGATAGAAAGCTCATTCTAATCCACGTGACTGTTTTTGAGACGTCTCAAAAACACCCTCACCTCACCTGACGTGAGTTTCCTGCCTGGTTGCCTTCATATAACTTCTGAGATAGAAAGCTCATTCTAATCCACGTGACTGTTTTTGAGACGTCTCAAAAACACCCTCACCTCACCTGACGTGAGTTTCCTGCCTGGTTGCCTTCATATAACTTCTGAGATAGAAAGCTCATTCTAATCCACGTGACTGTTTTTGAGACGTCTCAAAAACACCCTCACCTCACCTGACGTGAGTTTCCTGCCTGGTTGCCTTCATATAACTTCTGAGATAGAAAGCTCATTCTAATCCACGTGACTGTTTTTGAGACGTCTCAAAAACACCCTCACCTCACCTCACGTGAGTTTCCTGCCTGGTTGCCTTCATATAACTTCTGAGATAGAAAGCTCATTCTAATCCACGTGACTGTTTTTGAGACGTCTCAAAAACACCCTCACCTCACCTGACGTGAGTTTCCTGCCTGGTTGCCTTCATATAACTTCTGAGTTAGAAAGCTCATTCTAATCCACGTGACTGTTTTTGAGACGTCTCAAAAACACCCTCACCTCACCTGACGTGAGTTTCCTGCCTGGTTGCCTTCATATAACTTCTGAGATAGAAAGCCCATTCTAATCCACGTGACTGTTTGACAGTAAAATAACAAGAATCCAAAAAATGCAGGTTAGAAAATCCCTTCTATTTTAATGGGACCAGTAAAGAGGTGGACTTTGCTTACCTACATACACACGCACGAAGCAGTTCTCTGAGGTACCTATGAAGCAGTCTCATCACACACACACGAGGGCATGCAGGCCTTTAGCATGCACCCAAGCCACGAACCCATTCCGTTGACTTTTGAGTCGACTCAAAAGTCAGCCTTTAGCATGCACCCAAGCCACGAACCCATTCCTTTGCGCTTCTTACCTGTGTAGTCTTTTTCTTGTGATGTTCCTCCCCACAGGATTTTCGTCCTCAGGATCAAGAGCAAGAGGAAGAGGAGGAGCAGGAGAAAGAGGAGGAGGAAGAAGAAGAAGAGAAAGGAAAGGAACAGGAAAAGCCTCGAGTGCTGGTTAGAAGAGCTCGTTCCACTGCTGCTGCAGCACTGGGGGCAGTGGGTTCGAATGGACGCACGAGAACGCCTGTGGGAGCGCCAGTTTTGAAAGGAAGCAAGAGAAAGGCTCCGAGCACGAAGGGGGCGCTGGTTGCTGCTGCATCTGGCGCTCTGAAACGCAAGTCTAGACTCAAGCAACTGGAGGAGGAGGACGAAGATGAAGGGGAGGAGGAAGAGGAGGTGGGGCAGGAGGAGGAGACAGGACAGGAAGGAGAGGTGCAAGAAGATGGCGAGGGGGGAGAAGAGGAGGAGGAGGAAGAGGAAGAGGAAGAGGAGGAGGATTTGTTGGGGATAGGCGTGGATGAGGACGAGTCTGAAGACTTCATACCGGGATTGGAGAAGGAAGGACAGGAGGAGGAGCAGGAGGAGGAAGAAGAAGAGGATGAAGGACTAGGGGAAGCGGAGATGGGGGAGGAGGAGGATGGGGGTGGGGAGAGGGGAGGAGGGAAGAAGCAAGGAAAGGGGTCGCGACAGTCAATGGGGCCGGTATGTGGTGCAGCTGCCTTGTGTGCGAGTGCATTGTGCTGTGCTGCCGTATGGGATGCATCACAACACCATGCATGCGCCATGAAATGTCATTTAATTGCTCTTAACCCAGTTCTCCCCATCACCCCTCTACCCCCCCAACCTCCCATCCCCAACCTCCCATCCCCAACCTCCCATCCCCAACCTCCCATCCCCAACCTCCCATCCCCAACCTCCCATCCCCAATCTCCCATCCTCAACCTCCCATCCCAATCTCCCATCCTTTATTACTACAGCCACCACCCCGGCAACCGTTTCCCAAGGCCCGGTCGCAGCCTGTTTCAACAGCCTTCCGCTCCCATTCCCTCTCCAAACCCCTCACATCTCCCTCTCCTTCCCGTCTACCCCCAACTTGCCTTTTCCCCTCTTTGCAGCCGCCATCCCGACAACCGTTTCCCAAGGCCCGGTCGCAGCCTGTTTCCACAGCCTTCCGCTCCCATTCCCTCTCCAAGTCCCCGCTGCCCCACTCGGCCTCGCTCCCTGCCTCACGCCCTTTCCCGCGCTCAACCATTAGTCTGGGCAGCAGCGGGAGGGGCGGCAGCAGCAGCTTTGGCAGCGGCGGTGGCATCAGCGGCAGGGGCAGCAGCAGCTTTGGCAGCGGTGGCAGGGGCGGCAGCAGGGGTGGTGGTGCGGCATCTGCTGCGATGGGCGGTGGCGGAGTGAGGAGTCGACTGTTGAAAAAGATGGGGTTCAAAGTGCCTCTGGTTAGTCCCAAGTTCATGCCCAAGGCCATGCAACAACCCGCTCCCTCTCCCAGGCTGGCAGCAGCAGCAGCCGTAGCAGCAGCCGCAGGAGGAGGAGGAGCAGGAGGAGCAGGAGGAGCAGGAGGAGCAGGAGCAGCAGCGGCAGGAGCCTTGGGAGGAGGAGCAGGAGCAGCAGTTGGGGCAGCAGCAGGGCTGGTACTGGGAGCAACAGGGACAAGCCCAGCTGCTGCTATTGCTGCCGCTGCTGCTGCTGCTGCTGGTGCTGCTGGTAGTCCTGTAGTAAAGAGGTCTTTATCTGCTGGGGCTAGAGGGCCTAGGAGACTAACTGCGTTTCTAGACTCTCCAGTGGGGGTTAGGATGGGGCGGGAAGGGAGGAGGGATAGTAGAGAGGGGTGGAGGGTAGGTCAGGGAGAGGTGAGGAGGGGAGAGGAGATTGCGGTGGGGGAGGTGGGGGGTGAGGGAGGTGAGGGAGGTGTGGGGTTGGGTGGGATGGGTGAGAGGAGTGGTGGGGTGGATGGCCGGGGGGCGGCATTTTTTGGTGCTAATGGGCATGGGTTGGCAGGTGATGGTGGGTCCGAGAGGGATGCGAGAGTCTATGGGATCTCTCAAAACTCAGATATGAGGATGGGTGATGGCGGCTGGAATGGAAAGGGAGAGTTGGGGGGAGCTAGTGGGGGAGGAGAGGGGAGGAGTGAGAGAGAGGATGGGGAGTTTGAGGAAGATACAGGGGAGGAGGGAGGAGGAGGAGGAGGAGGAGGAGCGAGAGGGCAAGAGGGAGGGGATGCTTTAAATGGAGGAGGGAAAGGACAAGAAGGAGTGAATGGAGGGTCCATGGAAGGTGGAGAGGGGAAGGGAGAGGAAAAATTAGTTTGTGGCAATGGGACGGTTGTGAGGGAACAGGTTGAGGAGGGTGCAGATGGGCTCAGTGAGCAGGGAGGACCGACAGGAGCAGACGGCAAGGTAGAGGCAGAAGCAAGGGAAGAGAGAGCATCAGGGGTGGCGAATTCAAGACACGTGGGTGAAGTGGGAATCCAAGATCATCCTGAGAGGGTTGCTAGAGACCAGCCTAACGCTAGAGAGCCTAGCAGCGGGCCTGACTCAGAAAAGCACATAAGTCTCAGCGGGTCTGAGAAGGACACGAGCCTTGCTAGAGTCAAGCCTACACAGCTCATAAGTAGGCTTGACTCAGAGAAGCACGCCGCCAGCCTTGGCGCTGAAAAGGACACGAGCCTTGACGTGACTCATGTGCCGTGGGGAGCCAATAGCAGCGATCTCGTTGCCGAAGCTCTCAAGCGAGCTGCCGAAGCTGGAGTGCGGCTGGCAGCCCGAACTAGTCAAGCAGGTCCGGATAGCACAAGACCGAATGGCTCGGAAGCACAGGCTTCTTCAGCTGAAGGGGTAAATCCTGTGGTGGGGAAAGCAGCACATAATCCTGGAGTAGATTCTGTTTAGGAAGGGCACGATGTAGAAAGCTGATAGGCAACCCTGGTTTATACAAGTCTTGTGGTGTGGAGTAGTGTAGGGGGTTATCCCACGGTATACTTTACCTGCTCCTGATTTGTTCAATCATGTAGTACTTTTGCCAACCAACTGCACTGACTTAGTACAGGACCGGAGGGGATGGGTGAAGAAGAGGTGTTGCTGGTTATGGTTTATGCAGGGCAGGAGTTTCTGTTGTATCTAGCACTGGTGCTATGCGCCAATTGAGTACAACTAATGCATCTGCTTTGGGGTATGTACCGTACGTTTCTATGTTGGGCTGGGGAAGCAGCAATAGCAGCAGCCTGCTGGCAATGAGATGGAGTCTGAGCTTTACAATGACATGTGCCTTCAAGATTACAATACGAAAATACTTGAACAGCAACATGGATTTACAGTTACAGCTAAAGAAGATGTTAAGCATTACAGCCTGGATGTGATGTGATTCCTCTGGCAAGCTTTTGAGATGCGTCTTAAGGCAGCAAAAGAAGATGTTAAGCATCCTATCACAGCCTGGATGTGATTTCTCTAGCGAGCTCAGCCCTGCAACCCCCCATACTGCCTCGCTGCTGCTGCTCCCGCTGCTGCTCCCAGAGAGAAAGGGCGTTTCCAAGGAAGCTTCGCAGGGCTGTGATGTACTCGTGCCTGTGGTGCCGCATATGGCCTGGTGGCGGGTGGGGGGGAAGGGGAATGGTGAATGGAGGTAAATATTCAGGATGGGCTCATGTAGATTCTTACCCTTTCTATATGTTATGGTGTGTTTTGGGTCGACTCAAAACGCACAAGGGAAATGGTGGGTGGAGTTCAGTACTTTCGACTGGGCTCACGGAAATTCTTACCCTTACTGTGTATAATGGTGAATGGATTGCACGGGGAGCAGGAAAGGGAGGGCACACTATACATGAAAGGTGAGTGAGTGGGAAGGGGAACGAAATTCTTTCTTGCCTTACCAAGATGCTCCGATGTGCGCCATTCCACCCTCCTCACTGCCACACCCCTCCCCACTGCCTCGCTGTCATACTTGCGGATGAACCCAATGGGTGTCTACTGGGCCTTCCAGCCCCTCTACACACACACCATTTTGTTTGAGGTTGAATATGAGAATTCTCAAAATCAACCTCAAACAAATGGCCTTCCAGCCCCTCCACACACACACCATCGCTAGTCCCTCCTCCCCACTCACCAACATGCTCCGATGTGCGCCATTCCACCCTCCTCACTGTTGCCCCTCGCCCCTGCTGCTCTCCCTCACACAATTTCCCAGAAGCTCAACATGCTCCTGGGAATTGTGCCTGTGCACCTGCTATCCCGAGTCCCTTCCCCACTCACCAACATGCTCCGATGTGCGCCATTCCACCCTCCTCACTGCCGCGCCCCTTCCCACTGCCTCCCTTTCGTACCTGCGAACGAACTCGACAGCAACCCTGGGATTCAAACTTATCCACCAGACATCCCAAGCCCCCACTCACCAACATGCTCCGATGTGCGCCATTCCACCCTTGTCACTGCTGCGCCCCTCGCCACTGCCTCTCTCTCATACTGGCGAATGAACTCAATGGGCGCCAGCTGGTCGTCCGTGCTGCACAGCAGCAGCACCGGAGCTAGGGCCTGGAGTGGGGAGTGCGTGTGGGGAATGAATAAGGGAAGACGGAGAATAGGGCCTACTGTGCACCTCGCCGCTGCCTCTCTCCCTCTCATACTTGTGGATGAACCCAATGGGCGCCAGCTGGTCGTCCGTGCTGCAGAGCAGCAGCACCGGCGCCAGGGGCTGAAAGGGGGTGAGCAGGCAGGCAAATGGGGGTACGCAGGTGAAACAATGTGAAAGAGCCCTGCTGCGCCCCTTGCCCCCGCCTCTCTCTCATACTTCCAGATGAACCCAATGGGCGCCAGCTGGTCGTCCGTGCTGCACAGCAGCAGCACCGGCGCTGCATGGGGGTATGCGGGTCAAACAATGTGAAAGAGCCCTGCTGCGCCCCTTGCCCCCGCCTCGCGCTCATACTTGTGGATGAACCCAATGGGCGCCAGCTGGTCGTCCGTGCTGCACAGCAGCAGCACCGGCGCCAGGGGCTGGAAGGGGGAAGGGGAATGCGGGTGAAAGAGAACATGCGGACGGGGGAAGGCAGATGAGAGGTCGTGCGGATGAATCGAGTTTTGAGTCGACTCAAAACTGGAAGGGGGAAGGGGAATGCGGGTGAAAGAGAAGATGCGGATGGGCAGATGAGAGGTCGTGCGGATGAGTCGAGTTTTGAGTCGACTCAAAACTGGAAGGGGGAAGGGGAATGCGGGTGAAAGAGAAGATGCGGATGGGGGAAGGCAGATGAGAGGTCGTGCGGATGAGTCGAGTTTTGAGTCGACTCAAAACTGGAAGGGGGAAGGGGAATGCGGGTGAAAGAGGAGATGCGGACGGGGTAAGGCAGATGAGAGGTCGTGCGGATGAATCGAGTTTTGAGTCGACTCAAAACTGGAAGGGGGAAGGGGAATGCGGTTGAAAGAGGAGATGCGGATGGGGGAAGGCAGATGAGGTCGTGCGGATGAAGCTGAAGAATCTAATCGAGCCCCAAACAGGAGCCATGGTCAATGCGTGGCAGCAGTCACTTTTAGCAAACTGTTTTTTAAGTTTGTGTAGGCTTGTGAGAGACAACATGCGGATGGGGGAAGGCAGATGAGGTCGTGCGGATGAAGCTGAAGATTTTAAGAGTAGAATCTCTGAAGAAGGAAACTCCAAGCAGCTTGGTTGGCAACGATGCAGGCTCAGCGTAACGGAGGGCTGTGGAGATGGGAAGCGTAGAATGGAAGGGAGCAGGGAGCAGGGAGCAGGGAGCAGGGAGCAGGGAGCAGGGAACAACACGCACCGGGCAGTGGAGGAGTGTGGCCCACTGTGCTGTCCGCTGCTTTTCAAACTTGGGTAGCAGCAGCCAGTCCAGCAGCATTAAGACCACTACTACGTGGCAAGCTCGTACAGGGCATGGCACGGAGCAGTAGGGAGTAGCAGGGAGCAGGGAGCAACACGCACCGAGCAGTGGAGGAGTGTGGCCCACTGTGCTGCCCGCTGCCTCTCAAACTCGGGTAGCAGCAGCCAGTCCAGCACGACAGCTGCTGACCGCACCAACGTGTGCCGCACAGTCCTCGGCTGCTGGGCGGCTGTGGCAGCAGAAGTTGCAGGAGCATCAGGAGCAGTTTTTTTTTTAGGCGCCTCAAAAGGTGCACTTTGAGGCGCCTCAAAACGCACCAACGTGTGCCGCACAGTCCTCGGCTGCTGGGCGGCTGTGGCAGCAGAAGTTGCAGGAGCATCAGGAGCAGGAGTGGCAGGAGTGGTGGCAGCAGCAAGAGCAGTCGCAACAGCAGAAGCAGGAGCAGAACCAGTGCATTGAGGGGTGAGGGGCGGTTGAGAGGTGGAAGGTTGTTGGGAGGTGGCGGATGCTTGGAAAGTGGCTTGTGGTTGAGCAGTTACAGGGGGAGGTTGGGAGAGGAACCTAACGCCTAGGTCTGATGTGAAGTCGACAGGAGACGAGTCAAAGACCTGCCCCGCGTAGCACTCTCGGAGGAGCGAAAGGAAGTGCTGGTAGGAAGTGGAAACTTTCCCTTCTCTCTCTGATGCCAGTGCTGACTGTGGGGAGGCTGCTGAAGATGATGGCACTGGGGCTACAGCTTCGGCTGCTGCTCCTGCTGCATTTGCATCACGATGCATCGCCTCTGGAGCGGATGTAGAGAGCAGAGCCTGCAGAATGCAGCAACGGGAACAAAGAGTTTTGGTGCTTATTGAGTGGATGATACTGCACTTGCATCACGATGCATAGACTCCGGAGCGAATGTGGAGAGCAGAGCCTGCAGAACGCAGCGATGACATGTCAGAAACGTTACTAGGCTGCCAGTGACCAAAAACGAATGTCAGAAACGTTACTAGGCTGTCAGTTACGAAAAACGGACGTCAGAAGTGAACGTGGATATGAGAGGGACAGCACTGGGACAGAACGAGGGACAGTGAGTAGGGCTGGCGTGCAATCTCTGTTTTTTCTCACAAGGAAACGACAACAACACCACTGTTCTGACGTACCTCCATGATCTTCCACTGGCAGGCCTTGTACCCTCCAGAAAACGACATGAACACCACTGGCCGAGGCCGCCCTGCAAGCTCCTGGGCGGCAGGGCAGGAAGGAGGACGGTAGGATGCTGAAATGCAAAGCAGTGAGACAGGAACCAGCTGCGAGAGAGAATGTTATTATTTATTGCACGAAATATCAAGATGAGTATAATGTAACAGAAGATGCCTCATCAAATACCTTTTCCAGTTCCGCCAGGACTGCTCTTGCCAGTGCTTCTGCTCTCCAAGGTATCCATCTGATGCGATGCGATGCAGTGAAATGTGAGGATGCGGGGGGGGGGAGAATGAAGGGGAAGGGAGGAATGAGGGGAGAGGGAGAGGCGCCTGAAAGGGGACTCAAAAGTTTGCTCTCCAGGGCATCCATCTGATGCGATGCGATGTAGTGAAATGTGAGAATGCGGAGTAGGGGAGAATGAAGGGGAGAAATGCGGAGAGGGGAATTTGGGGAGGAGTTAGGGGAGGACTGAATGAGATGTAGTGAAATGTGAGAATGAGGGGAGGACTGCTTTCGCCAGTGCTTCTGCTCTCCAAGGCATTCACCTGATGGGATGCCGTGAAGGATGAGAATGCGACGAGGGAGAGAATGAGGGGAAGGGGAGAGGCGCCTCAAAGGCGCCTGAAATTGAGTACTGAGGCGACTTAGAAGCTTGCGCTCTAGTGCTTCCATCTGATGAGATGTAGTGAAATGTGAGAATGTGGCGAGGGGGAGAATGCGGGGAGGGGGAGAATGCGGGGAGGGGGAGAATGCGGAGAATCTATTTCTGAGGCGCCTAAAAACTGTCTTTTCAGTGCATCCATATGAGATGTAGTGAAATTTGAGAATGCGGAGAGGGGGAGAGTGAGGTTTTGGGGGAGAATGAGGGGAGGGAGAATGCGAAGACGGGAAGAAAGAGGGGAGGGGAAGAATCAAACGACGGGGAGAACGATGAGAGGGGAAAGTGCGAATCTTTTGCATTACAGGTGGAGCAGCGGAGGGTGGCAGGCGAGGGCATCCCATTCGCACTCGTTGATCACGCGTAGGTACGCCGCCAGTTGCCGTTGCGCGCTCTGCATCCATCCCATCACAACCACTATCGGTCTCATGCTCGTACCGGTACTTACAGGTGGAGCTAGGGAGGATGGCAGGCGAGGGCATCCCATCCGCATTCGTTAATCACGCGTAGGTACGCCGCCAGTTGCCGTTGCGCGCTCTGCATGTATCCCATCACAATCACTATCGGTCTCATGCTCGCACCGGTACTTACAGGTGGAGCAGCGGAGGGTGGCAGGCGAGGGCATCCCATCCGCACTCGTTGATCACGCGTAGGTACGCCGCCAGTTGCCGTTGCGTGCTCTGCATCCATCCCATCACAACCACTATCGGCCTCGTACTGCTGCTTGTACTGGTCCAAGTAGACGACTTTTGAGACGCGTCAAAAATCGGCTTCGTAATGCTACTTGTACTGGTCCAAGTAGTAGAGCTGTGCTGGCTGAACTGACGCTGACGGAATCCGTCTACAGCTTCTGGAGCGGAGCTGTAACGGCTGGACTGCGGACGGAGCCCGTCTAGAGCGTCAGGATTCTGTCCGCGGCAATCCACATTGCATTCTCCCTGGCGTGCCTCCGAGCTGTCGGCGGTTTGTGACCTGCAGCTGCCGTTGCGCGAAGTGGCGTGAGCTGCGAAAGGACCGTCATTGGCCAGACCGTTGCGTTCTTGTAACGAATGCGCGGTACATTCGGACGGAATTGACGACGCTGTTCGATCGGAGCTCGTCTTCTGAGCGGTTGAAGACTGGAGAGTTGATTGTCCATGGAATTGAATTGCTGATTGTTCTTGGGTTACTACAGGCCATGGAATGGAGGAGCTGACTGCTCCTCCATTTGCGACTCGGCTCCAATAGATTAGAGACTTGCTGTTCTGTGTCTTAGCCATTCTGAAAATTTCCTTCTCCTGGACTTTTGCCTGGTTGACGTCTGACTGATGTGATGGGTTTCTTGCAGCTCATCAGGATTCAGGACCCAGGAGTGAGGCAGGAGCAGATGCAGGGCCGGGTGGGGGAAGGAGCTTTCTGTTAACTGCCTTTCTCAACCGTGTTAGAACTTCTTATAACGTTCTAGATTGCAGATTACCTAACGGAACCGCAGTACGAGAACCACTTCAGCTCCAGCCTCTCAAAATTGTAGCGAAACCTCGCAACGTTTCGGAACTTGGATTTAGTGTCTCTTTTTCAAACAGCACCGTTCTCCTCAATATGGTCGACGTCCGATCCTCAACTGACACCAGTCTCCAGATAGGTTTCAGCACTTGAATTGGAACATGCACTTAGTGTCCCAATCAAAACGGGGCCTCCAACACAAGAACCATCGAGATCATATTTCTGAATCTGGATGCCTCGATTATTGTTTTATTCCAGCAAGCAGTTCTGCACAGACGCTTGACATTCCTAGTCTTGAGTCTGGCAGACCTGGCTAGGCTAGCTCACCGCGACGACCATCTCTATTTTAGGTTGATCCTCGTCCTTAGCTGATTACATTGATGCCGTCCACTGGAAGTGGACTCCTGTTCGGGATTCACTTTTCCGCGGGAATCTGCTGATTCTCTAGTGCCTTGATCTCTGCTGAAACACCGGGATGAGTTATCTACAACGGTTCTAGTCCTTCCACACTACTCTCGTCGTCACGGAGGCGGTCGGAGGATTCATGGATCGCAGTTGGTTTCAACAGCTGCTGTCTGAGTTCTATTCTAAATAACAATTTCGTAGCATCTCCCACTTAGACTTTTTTTTTTTTTCCTTCTTCGTTCACGCTATCAATACGCCGCTTCAGCTACCATGATAGGGTTAGGTCAATACGCGGCTCTGAGCCTGGCCACCTTGCTAGGAGTTGTCTACCATGCCTTCTACACGCGGGAACAGTTCTTCCCAGCCATGCTCTACCTTTCCACTTCCAAAATCTGCCTCGTTGTCATGGGGAATATGGCCTTCGTCCTGCTATTGCTTCTCGGCCATATCGTGAAAGCCGTTTTCCTCGGAAAGCTTCGGGAAGCTGAGGTTGAGAGACTACACGAGCTGTCGCGGCACGAGATCATGGAGACGTGCCTCGCGATGACGATTTTCCGAGAGGAATTTACCTTTTCTTTCGGCGGAATGTTTTCCACCCTCCTTTTCGTGAAGATTTTCCACTGGCTGGCTCAGAAACGGGTGGAGTATATCGAAACGACGCCTGCAGTATCGCGGCTTTCGCACATCCGGATCACCGTGTTCATGGTGCTGCTCCTGGCGATGGACTGCGTGCTCGAATTCCAGGCGGTCTCGTATCTTCTGAAAACTCGCTCCGCTTCCGTCCGGATCCTCTTCGCTTTCGAGTAAGCCTTTGTCTCTTTCGTTCTTCTCTTCCTGGCATGCCCCATGTCGGCGAATAAGCATGTCTTTTAATTATTAAGCATGTCTCTTACATGGTGGGTAAGGTGATGAAGGGGCAGTGGGAACACAAGCCTGCCCAATGCATTGAGAACTCTGTTATCTCAGTCCTTGTTGTAACATTGTAACACTGTAACGCCGCAGTTACTTCATCATTGCGTCTGCCATGCTGGCGAACATAGTTGAGTACGTGTTGTACACGGTGATGGAGGGGCAGTGGGAGCAGAAGGCGACGTACACCGTTGACGAGGCTGCTTGTAACATTGTAACGCTGTAACCCCATCCCGTCCCTCTACAGGTACTTCATCCTGGCGTCCGCCATGCTGGCGAACATCGTCAAGTACGTGTTGTACATGGTGGACACGGTGATGGAGGGGCAGTGGGAGCACAAGGCGACCTACATCTTCTACCTGGAGCTCGTGAAGGACCTCCTGCACCTCCTCGTCTACCTCGCCTTCTTCTCCATCATTTTCATGTGAGGTTTTTTTTTTTTTTTTTTTTTTTTGAAACGTATAAATATTCATAACGGTAGGTCCGAGAAAGGTAGATATGTGTTGTTGCTATCTTGCGAAGATGAAGCATTGTGTGTGCTAGAATCATGTTGATGTGAGTTTCATCTCTGCACGTACATCTTCTACCTGGAGCTCGTGAAGGACCTCCTGCACCTCCTCGTCTACCTCGCCTTCTTTTCCATTATCTTCATGTGAGCGATTAAAACAACATCGCATTTCGTTAACTTATCCAGGAAACGGATGTGGTCTTTTTCTTGTGAAATGATTTTTGTCTTCGAGTAAAACATTCAGAAAGAGAATACGGTTGCTTTCTTATCTCGTTCACTCTACTTGCAGGGAGGAGATTTGGGCCGCAAATTCCCATCTGAGGGAGGTGGTGCAGGAGAAGGAGGCGGAGTCAGAGCAGCTGCAGGCGCTCTCCAAGGAGCAGGAGCAGACTCCCTCCTTGGAGAGCGTCTGCACCTGCTCTGACTCCGCCTCCTTCTCCTTCTCTCTCTTTTCATTCGCGACCTCTACGAGACCTGCTTTTGATGGCTCATGCTTGTCATTATGCTGTTTCCTGCTCCCCTCGTTTCTCTCCCCCTTCCCTTCAGGACGTACGGCCTGCCCCTGCACCTCATCCGCGACCTCTACGAGACCTTTGATAACTCAAGCTTGTCATTCTGCTGTTTCCTGCTCCCCTCGTGTCGTTCCTCACGCAATGCCACCCAGGACGTACGGCCTGCCACTGCACCTCATCCGCAACCTCTACGAGACCTCCTGCAACTTCCTTCAACGCCACTCATCTTGTTGTTTACTGGTGCTTTGTGCCTCCTCCTCGTCCCCTCCCCTTCAGGGCGTACGGCCTGCCCCTGCATCTCATCCGCGACATCTCAACAAACCTCACTCTTTCTGTTCCTATCCTACCCGTTGCGCCACTCCTCGTTCATTCTCCCCCCCTTCCCTCAGGACGTACGGCCTGCCCCTGCACCTCATCCGCGACCTCTACGAGACCTTCCAACAAGCCTCACTCTTTTAGTTCCTACCCCTTGCGCCCCTCCTCGTTGCTCCGCTCCTCATTCCCTCCCCTCCCCTTCAGGACGTACGGCCTGCCCCTGCACCTCATCCGCGACCTCTACGAGACATTCCGCAACTTCCGCATGCGAGTGGCGGACTTCATCCGCTATCGCCGCATCACATCCAACCTCAATGAGAGGTTTCCTGACGCCACTCCTGAGGAGCTGGAGAGGTGCGTGTCTTGGCTTGGTAAAGTCATTCTTTTGAGACGTGTAACGAGTGTCAGGGAGCCGCATGCGAGTGGCGGACTTCATCCGCTATCCCCGCATTTCCTCCAAAGTTCCAACTTTTGAGGCGCCTCAAAAGTCTTCATCCGCTATCCCCGCATTTCCTCCAAGTTCCAACTTTTGAGGCGCCTCAAAAGTCTTCATCCGCTATCCCCGCATCTCCTCCAAGTTCCAACCTCAACATGAAAGGTTCCCCGATGCGACTCCTGAGGAGCTGGAGAGGTGGGTGTGTTGGAGGCTTGGTTGCTTGGTGTGCTTCATGTGCCTCTATCCTGGGTTTCAAATCTCATCCTGTACTCAGCATGCAATCCCAATCCCCGCCTCCCCTTCCCATCCTTCCCCCACTCTCCCTGCCTTCTTCCTCGCCCACCTTTCCCCCTTTACCTCCCCCAGGGCGGACAGCACGTGCATCATCTGCAGGGAGGAGATGACGTCAGCGAAGAAGCTTCCCTGCGGGCACCTCTTCCACGTGCACTGCCTGCGCTCCTGGCTCGAGCGCCAGCAGACCTGCCCCACCTGCCGCGCGCCCCTGCTGCAGCCCCAGGCGCAGCCCACGGCCCCCCCTGCCGCTGCTGCCGCCGCCGCCGCTGCGAGAAATGCCGCCGCTGCTGCTGCTGCTGCTGGTGCTGCTGGTGGCGTTGCTGGTGGTGCTGGCGGTGCTGGTCTAGGGTTTGGGGTGCCAGGGGGAGCTGGGGTTGTGCCTCTTGCGCCTCCTGCTGCTGCGCCTGGTGTTGCTCCTGGTGCTGGTGCTGGTGCTGGTGCTGGTGCTGCTGCTGGTGGTGTGGGCGGCGTCATTCCCTTGGGTCAGTTCCGCATTGCTGCAGGTGGGGGTATGCCAGCTGTGCACGTGTTTCACGGGCAGTTGAACCTTCCTGGTGGGATGGGGGCAGCTGGAGCGGGAGGGGCGTTCGGGCAGGGGCAGCAGCAGATGCTGCAAGGGCTGCAGGGACTACAGGGATTGCAGGGATTGCAGGGATTGCAGGGGTTGCAGGGATTGCAGGGGTTGCAGGGATTGCAGGGGTTGCAAGGGCAGCTGGAGCAGCAGCAGCTCCAGCAGCTGCTATATGCTCAGCAGGTGCAGCAGCAGCAACAGCAGCAGCAGCAGCAGCAGTGGCAGGAGTGGCAGCAGATGCAGCAATGGCAGCAGTGGCAGCAGTGGGGGCAGTGGCAGTACTGGCAGCAGTGGCAGCAGCAGGCTCAGGCTGCATATGCGGCTGCAGCAGCAGCAGCAGGAGCAGGAGGAGGTGCATCTGCAGGAACAGCAGGTACATCTGGAGCAGCAGCAGCAGCAGCAGCAGCAGCGGTAGGTACATCTGGGGCAGGGCCATCTGGGGCAGGGCCATCCGGGGCCTCACCCACTCCTCCCAATGCCACTTCTCCGTCTGCATCTGCTGCTGCTAGCACTCCTGGTGGTGAGGCTAGTGCGAGTGGACCTTCAAGCACAACTGCTGCTGCAGCTTCCACTGCAGTTCCCGCTGCTGCTTCTACTGCAACTGCCACTGCCACCCCCAGTCCAGCTCTCAATGCAAACCAGCCCCCTCCTGCTGTGGCTACTGTCTCTGGATCAGATGCCTTCCTTCGCCAATACAATGCCTGGTACGTTTTCTCTCACCGTTCTGTATTCGCTTTTTTTTTTGTCTGTGCTTTGCAAGGCAGTTTGATCAGTCTGGCTGTTAATTACTAGTTCTGGTCATCTGAATCTGATCTTTTAAAGCATCAGCTTTGAAAAAGGGGTCAATCAGATTTCGTTAAGGGATTGTTTCTTATCATAATCTTCCCTTTGTTCGTCCAGGTTGTCGGCTGCATACCCACAGCAGCAGCACCATCACCAGCAGCAGCAACAGCAGCAGCAGTACCAGCAGCAGCAGCAGTACCTTCAGCTGCTTCAGCAATACCAGCAGCCACAGCACCAGCAACAGCAGCTCTACCAGCAGCAGTACCTGCAGCAATACTTGCAACAGCTGCAGCAGCAGCTAACAGCACAGGCTCAAGCTCAGACACAGGGACAGGCGCAGACTCAAGGGCAGATACCTGTCGGTTCTCAAGGGCAGGCAGCTGGCCCCACTGGTTCTGGTGCAGGTGCATCTGGTGCAGGTGAATCTGGTGCCGGCACATCCGGTGCAGGCGCATCTGGTGCTGATGCAGGCGAACAAGCACCTCAGATCCCCCTCACTGCAGTTCAGGCCCAGGCCACTGGGCCGGCTGCGTCCAATAGCACAGGTGCAGATGCCTCTGTTGGTCTGGACGATGGTGTGAGTGGTAACAGTGGTGGTAGCAGTGGCAGTGGTAGTGGTGGGAGTGTTGCTGCACCTAGTGCTGCTGGTGTGGAGCCCTCTCAAGGAAGCGGAGAGGGGGGTCAGGGGCAAACAGAAGCAGGTGAAGGGCAAAGCTAGAATGGTGATGGCTGACTGACTGTTTTCCATAAAAGCCTTAAATGTCTGCTCTGCTGGTTTGACCAGACTAAGGTACCGGTAACTGCTAACATGGCAGCTGCTTCTAGTTGGAAATTCGATTCGATATTTGGATTGGATTCCTCCGAGAACATCCCCATGTATTAAAGAACGCTGATCTGTTCCACCGGTGATGCAAGTTGAAATGTAACATGTGTTTGAGCATGTATCTGGTTTGAGGGCAAGCAGGGCTCGGGCTATAATGAAGCCTCCTTTGTAGCCAGGTCAAGAAGTTTTGCAAAATTTTCACCCAACAACTTCTGAAGCCTCTGCCAGAATTTGTAATGCATCTTTGAACTCTTGTGATTCTGTCAGTGTGGCATCATCTTTTGCTCCATCCTGCATCAGACAGCGACAGAGCGCGAGAGAAACAGAAAGTGGAACAGAACCGACGAAACTCACAAGTGAAAGAAGGGTGCGAGAAAAGAACGAATCGCAGAAGGGAGAAGAGTTGTGGAAAAGAAAGGGGGAGGGGAGAGAGGGGGAATGGAGAGCGGGGTCTGTAGACTGACCAGAGCCATGAAAAGCAAAGCTCGATACGGCAATGGGGACAGATGTGGTACGCTCGATGCAGATTGGACCCAAGGTCACCGAGGGTCACCATAGGGAAATAACCGGAAGGGGAGCCTGGCGTACTAGACCAAACTTACCAAACAGGGACGTACCTCAAAAAACCATTTGGCACGTCCGCGTTTTGGTAACCTTCGAAGGACAGTCCCACAATAGCACTCACCACTGTGGATTCAAGGTCGTAGTAGGCTGTTTCTAGTCGCTTGCGACAATCAGGGACCATCATACGCGATTCGGCAAGAACGTTCTCCTGCATGCGAGCATGATCACAGCCACGAGCTTTAGTAACCGGCATTTACAACAAATTCGACAAGCTGTGTTAAGCGACTCAGCTGCGTGTAGTCACGTGGAAAATACGTGCCTGTTGTTTAATGTCGTGCGAATCTGCACCGCTAGCCTTCATCTCGTCTACTCTCGCAGCATCCTTCTCTACTTCTTTCTCATACGACTTCAACTCTTTTAGCAACCGTTTGCAGATTCCTGCTCGCAGCTTCAGAGACTTGAGATCCGCCATGGAAAACTGTTATTTGAATCGACGCGACGAAACACACCAATAGGCTACGAAACAGGAGTTAAAATGGCAACACTCGCGTAGCTTGCGGGAGAAACGCTCTTCCTGGCTTCTAGCTGGAAGCGTGTACGCTATCGAAGTCTTTGGCCGAAAATAATCAAGGAACTCGGATCAAAAGATCATGGCACTCGCAATCACGCATTCCTCAGTTCATCGAAATGGTAGGCGAAACGGAATTCCCAAGCAGAACTGGAAGTTCCTGATCAGTGAACAAATTCCCTAATTCCCAACAACGGATCTCGCTTGTATCGCGATGTCTTCGCATTAAACAACCTTGTTTCACAACACTGCTCTCGCCAATGAAACAGACCTCAACCAATGAAACCGAGGCTGCTCGCTCGAGGAATTTCGGAGGCTTGTTTCAAACCACCGTTCCAGACAATGACACCCACAGACAGAACAAGACGACACCCGATTGTTCTCAAGACGAAATCGCAACAGTAACTGAAGGTTGAACGACACAGGGACTGGACTGCAATGTCCACCTACTGGCGGCAGGATGCAGCTGCACAAAGCCGAGCCGACCTGAACCTACCTTCCCCACCATACAGGTCACATCCCAGGACGTCTTCTGGTCTGAGCGACGAGGCTTCAAAAGACTTCAGAAATTCCCAGTTTGCAATGCAAGTAGTGGGTGCGACGTAACTTAGGGTTAGAAATAGTGGAATCTGGAGAATCTGGCACACGTTAGAGGCGTTTATTCCGTCAAAATACTTCTCAACAGCCTTAACTCAACATGTGCAAGCTCCTTATGCGACGAACGGTTTCAGTAGTACGGCCATGGCTCAACAGATTGCTTGCAGGTGCTGTGCGCTCTTCGTAGGTGCAACACACAACCGTCACTCTCACATTTAATAGCGTCGACTTTCATCCTCTTGCTAGCAGTCAACCCTCCACTTTTCACGTGTCAACACCAATCCTTAGCCCCCTCATCCTTGCTCTCTTCCGTTTGCTTTCTTTCGCCTAGCCTTTCTATTCTTCCTTCCATTATCAACGTCTAGCCTTTCACTACAGTACCCATACTTACCCTTTCCTTCCTCCAACCCCCCTCCCCATTCTTGCGTGTGCAACTGCTCCCTGGCAGCGTCATTCTTTCTCGCCGTGATCTTCCCAACCGCAAGAGCCCAATGTACGTGCTTATCTCCGCGCATTCCACGCTCCTCTGCGCCGTTTTACGCTCCTTTTCGCCGTTCTGTCGTGCTTCTCTACGCTATTTCATGCTCCCCGCCAACGTAGCCTTTCTAACCTCCTTCCCACGGAGTTCAGGCGTCTTGGTCTCCCTCGTACACCCACACTTCCAGTACATCCCAAAACTCTCTCTCCTTCCCCCCCCTCTCCCACACAGCCTTTCTGACCTCCTTCCTGCACGGAACAGGCGTCTTGGTTTCAAAGCATTCCAAAAACTGCCTCTTTCTCCTTTCCGTCTCTCCCCTCTCCCACACAGCCTTTCTCACCTCCTTCCTGCACGGTTCAGGCATCTTAGCCTCCCTCGTACTTTCAGACTCCTCCGAATCCTGCCCGGGAATCTTAGTTCAGCTGACCGTGGGGGGTAATGTTGAAAATCCCCCTCTCTCTCTCATGGTAGAGCGGCCCAGGAGCGCAGCAGCAGTGACTGGAGGGGTACAAGTGAAGAGCACAAAAAAAGCGGAACAGGTGAGTTGGCTGGATGTGTGGGTACGTGGATAGGTGGGTTGTGAGAGGTTTGTAAAACGGTTGTTAGGTGGTGTCCCTGTCTCCTGTATCCCTTGTCTTTCAGAAATAGGTGGGTAACAAGGGCCCCTGTTTTCATTCACCCCCCCCCCCCCCCCCTCTCTCCCCTCCCCATAATCCCCCATACCCTGACCCCCTCCCCTTCCCTCTCCCTTTTCCCCAGGTCCGTCGTACCTTCAGCTTTTCCCACCCCACTCCCCCCCCTCTCTCCAGCTCTTCCGGTTTGCCCCTGACTGGGAGAGCATTGCACCGACTGTCTACTCGGTGAACAGCTGCCAGCCTGGCACCAACCTCCACCTGCCATCTCTCGCCCGCCAGAAGGCCTACCTGTGGCCGGCAGAGATGGAGTGGTGGATAGTAGCTGAAGGGGAGAGGGCAGCGGCTCCTCTCCTCCTCCTTTTGGGGACCCTGTGGGTGACTCCTCTCCTCCAACACCCGATTCCCTGTCCCTCCCCTCCCTTTCCCACCTCAACCCCCACTCCTCTCCAGCGTTTCCGGTTTCGCACTGAATGGGAGAGCACAGCACCGACCGTATATTTTGTAAACAGCTGCCAGCCTGGCACCAACCTCGACTTGCCGTCTCTCGCCCGCCAGAAGGCCTACCTGTGGCCGGCAGAGATGGATTGTGGCGGAAGGGAGGATGGTGGCGGCTCACAGGGACTCTGTGGGGGACGCCTCTCTTCCACCCCGATTTCCCGCGCCGAAATACGGTGCTTCGTTTGCGAGCGATGGAGTGGTGTATGGCGGGGCGTATGTCAGCGAGCTACGGTGAGTTGAACAGGGTACAGTAGGCTCACAGGGACCCTGTGGGGGACACTTTTGAGTCGACGCAAAAGCAGGCTCACAGGGACCGTGTGGGGGACGCCTCTCTTCCACCCCGATTTCCCGCGCCGAAATACGGGGCTGAGTTTGCGAGCGATGGAGCGGTGTATGTCAGCGAGTTGCGGTAAGTTGAACAAGGTATCGTAGGTTGGAGTGCTGTGGTCGCAAAGTGAGTTCCAGCCATGAAAAAGCCACGCTTTTGCGCTCGCTCATTCGGAGTTCTCACCTCGCCGGTATCAGCAGTTTTTTCGCCAATTTGGAGTTCTAGTCCATTCTGATTTCTCACCTTCCTCTCCTGCTGCTCTCTTCTTCATCATATTTGTTTGAATTGGTATTTGGTTGCAGGTTTAGCTCTCGTGTGGAGCTCAGCTACACAATCACGCTCATCGGACCCTCGACCAACCCGGTGGCATTAGAGCTTCTCTTTCTACAAAGCATTCTAAAGGATCGCGTCGAAAGAGAAGCTTTAATGCCATGCTTCTGGTTCACATCACTGCCCCATGTGTGGAACTGCTATGGCATCCATTCGCTTTCTTACCGAGATTTTGGATTGTTATACGAGGGAGAGGTTTCTGGAGTGGTATTTAGGAGTCTAAGGTTTAGATTAGGTGACTTGGAGGTGGATGGTAATATAACAGCTATACCACATGCTCGACATTTACGAAAAGGTTGATGCTATTGTTACTGTACCCATGTTTCTTCCTTGTATGGTATCCTCCCTCGTGTTTGTTCTAATATAACAAGGGTTCTATCTAGCATTCAATAATATAGAGAGCTGTGGGCTTTCAGTCCATTGGGCTTCTCTCACACCTTCGAGAAAGCGATCATGTCAAACGAGCGTCTTTGCCAACTTGAAGGTCAGTGCGATGTTGCGTGCGTACACAGATGAGAATAATTCTGCACCTCAGCAGAAAAAAACACGATATGCATTGCTTATGTCGTACAGGTTGTCCACGCGCAGGCCTCCACCAACTGCATAAGGGTTTATATGACCTTGAAATTATTGTCAACAATTTGAAACTATGATAAACATATCGATATCTTTCCTTGAAAACTCCGAACGCTTTCTTGAAAGCATCGTCCCAACCCAACCTCGAGTCGTTCAAAAGGGGGTTGTCAAACTCGCACAGATTCCATTTCCTCCTGACAGAGGGAGGGGGGGAGATTCGGGATGAGACGTGACTCAAACAGAAGTAGTAGCAAACATTACGGTTCAGTAAGTTCCGTAACGTTCCAGAGGGATATGTGGACCTGATTTGTCCGAAACGAATTCCGAAAATGCTTTCTGTATGCCTGACAGACAGATTCACCTGCCATGAATTCCTGCCATGCCATAATTTCACAAACCAATCTTCTTCTGATGCTTCCATCTCCATCTTCTCTTCATCCCTTGCCTTTTCACTCCTCGCCAAGGAAGCTGGTCGAGATTGTTGATTAAATAGTCGATTAGATTGTGCCATTTTTGCGTTCTCTGTGAACCCGCATTTGAGCACGCAACTCCATGCTCCTTGCCTGGAGCACCTGCCACGTGCATTGCTCCGTGCATCTGACACCGAATCCCGCCTTGTTACACGCTCGTCGTCCCCTAGCTTTGGTGTATCTTGAGAATCCCCAACAACCACCTGCGAATACGGCGAGCAATCCGGCACCGTTACACGGTTATCGACCGCGTCCTTCGCGCCTCTTCGGCTCGCACTCACCGCGCTTCCCATCGCTGCCGAGAATCGGACGCCCAAAAATCTGCAAAGGGAGATATCCGCCAGTGCTCGCAGGGGAAGTTGCGGGGGAAAGCGCGAGCATTGGCGGTGTTAAGTCCGCGGATTTGCGCGGAATGGGGGGAGGAGTGGCGGAGGTGTTGCGCGGGCGGTGGTGGGAGGATCAAGCGATGTTTGGATACAAGCGGGAGAGAGCGCACGTGCCTCTGCACTCCCATGCGAGCGTCGACGGTACGGATGATGATTACATTGACATGTGATGCCGTGGAGGAGACATGCTACACACGGATGTTCATAATGCATGTTATGCACTTTCAAGATTGCATGTTATACATCGCATCACCATGAACGTTAATAATCATGGCATCGTCAACATTGATCGTTCAGCGTTCAGGATTGGACCTTCAGCGATTCATCACGCACGAAAAGCACGAGCATCCCTCACCACTTACACAATGACCATGCCTCCCCTGCTTCCTCTCTCCCAACACCCCATCAGACGCCCTTCGTTTCTGGTACCACCGAGACAGAGCAGCCACGTTCGAGGCAGCAGATGCTGCCACCTGGGCGCCTGGAGCTGGCGCTGACGTGGCGGCAGTACGAAGTGCCAGGTGGTGGGTCCACGGGCTGCCACGTGTCACCTCTCTGAGCGGCTCCTGGCGGTTCCGGCTGTTCCCAAGGCCTGAGGAAGTTCCCGAAGGTTTTTTTGCGCCTGGATTTGATGTCTCTGATTGGTCAACGCACCCAGGTAATGGGTTCGTGAGAAGTGGTGGCCTTAGAAGATTGCTCTTCAGCTTGATTCTGACTTAGCAGATTTACCCCTATACCAGGACCAGCCAGCCTCTCACATTTAAAGTCGTCCTCCTTTTATGCAAACGTTCCCCCCTCCCTCCCTCCCTCCCTCCCTCCCTCCCTCCCTCCCTCCCTCCCTCCTCCCTCCCTCCCTCCCTCCCTCCCTCCCTCCCTCCCTCCCTCCCTCCCTCCCTCCCCCTCCATCCCTCCCTTCCCTCCCTCCCTCCCTCCCTCCCTCCCTCCCTCCCTCCCCCTCCCTCCCTCCCTCCCTCCCTCCCTCCCTCCCTCCCTCCCTCCCTCCCTCCCTCCCTCCCTCCCTCCCCTCCCTCCCTCCCTCCCTCCCTCCCTCCCTCCCTCCCTCCCTCCTCCCTCCCTCCTCCCTCCCTCCTCCTCCCTCCCTCCCTCCTCCCTACCTCCCTCCCTCCCTCCCTCCCTCCCTCCCTCCCTCCCTCCCTCCCTCCCTACCCCCTCCCTCCCTCCCTCCCTCCCTCCCTCCCTCCCTCCCTCCCTCCCTCCCTCCCTCCCTCCCTCCCTCCCTCCCTCCCTCCCTCCCTCCCTCCCTCCCTCCCTCCCTCCCTCCCTCCCTCCCTCCCTCCCTCCCTCCCTCCCTCCCTCCCTCCCTCCCTCCCTCCCTCCCTCCCTCCCTCCCTCCCTCCCTCCCTCCCTCCCTCCCTCCCTCCCTCCCTCCCTCCCTCCCTCCCTCCCTCCCTCCCTCCCTCCCTCCCTCCCTCCCTCCCTCCCTCCCTCCCTCCCTCCCTCCCTCCCTCCCTCCCTCCCTCCCTCCCTCCCTCCCTCCCTCCCTCCCTCCCTCCCTCCCTCCCTCCCTCCCTCCCTCCCTCCCTCCCTCCCTCCCTCCCTCCCTCCCTCCCTCCCTCCCTCCCTCCCTCCCTCCCTCCCTCCCTCCCTCCCTCCCTCCCTCCCTCCCTCCCTCCCTCCCTCCCTCCCTCCCTCCCTCCCTCCCTCCCTCCCCCTCCCTCCCTCCCTCCCTCCTCCCTCCCTCCCTCCCTCCCTCCCTCCCTCCCTCCCTCCCTCCCTCCCTCCCTCCCTCCCTCCCTCCCTCCCTCCCTCCCTCCCTCCCTCCCTCCCTCCCTCCCTCCCTCCCTCCCTCCCTCCCTCCCTCCCTCCCTCCCTCCCTCCCTCCCTCCCTCCCTCCCTCCCTCCCTCCCTCCCTCCCTCCCTCCCTCCCTCCCTCCTCCCTCCCTCCCTCCCTCCCTCCCTCCCTCCCTCCCTCCCTCCCTCCCTCCCTCCCTCCCTCCCTCCCTCCCTCCCTCCCTCCCTCCCTCCCTCCCTCCCTCCCTCCCTCCCTCCCTCCCTCCCTCCCTCCCTCCCTCCTCCCTCCCTCCCTCCCTCCCTCCCTCCCTCCCTCCCTCCCTCCCTCCCTCCCTCCCTCCCTCCCTCCCTCCCTCCCTTCCCTCCCTCCCTCCCTCCCTCCCTCCCTCCCTCCCTCCCTCCCTCCCTCCCTCCCTCCCTCCCCCTCCCTCCCTCCTCCCTCCCTCCCTCCCTCCCCTCCCTCCCTCCCTCCCTCCCTCCTCCCTCCCTCCCTCCCTCCCTCCCTCCCTCCCTCCTCCCTCCCTCCCTCCCTCCCTCCCTCCCTCCCTCCCTCCCTCCCTCCCTCCCTCCCTCCCTCCTCCCTCCCTCCCTCCCTCCCTCCCTCCCTCCCTCCCTCCTCCCTCCCTCCTCCCTCCCTCCCTCCCTCCCTCCCTCCCTCCCTCCCTCCCTCCCTCCCTCCCTCCCTCCCTCCCTCCCTCCCTCCCTCCCTCCCTCCCTCCCTCCCTCCCTCCCTCCCTCCCTCCCTCCCTCCCTCCCTCCCTCCCTCCCTCCCTCCCTCCCTCCCTCCCTCCCTCCCTCCCTCCCTCCCTCCCTCCTCCCTCCCTCCCTCCCTCCCTCCCTCCCTCCCTCCCTCCCTCCCTCCCTCCCTCCCTCCCTCCCTCCCTCCCTCCTCCCTCCCTCCCTCCCTCCCTCCCTCCCTCCCTCCCTCCCTCCCTCCCTCCCTCCCTCCCTCCCTCCTCCCTCCTCCCTCCCTCCCTCCCTCCCTCCCTCCCTCCCTCCATCCCTCCCTCCCGTCCTCCCTCCCTCCCTCCTCCCTCCCTCCCTCCCTCCCTCCTCCCTCCCTCCCTCCCTCCCTCCTCCTCCCTCCCTCCCTCCCTCCCTCCCATCCTCCCTCCCTCCCTCCTCCCTCCCTCCCTCCCTCCCTCCCTCCCTCCCTCCCTCCCTCCCTCCCTCCCTCCCTCCCTCCCTCCCTCCTCCCTCCCTCCCTCCCTCCCTCCCTCCCTCCCTCCCTCCCTCCCTCCCTCCCTCCCTCCTCCCTCCCTCCCTCCCTCCCTCCTCCCTCCCTCCCTCCCTCCCTCCCTCCTCCCTCCTCCCTCCCTCCCTCCCTACCCTCCCTCCCTCCCTCCCTCCCTCCCTCCCTCCCTCCCTCCCTCCCTCCCTCCATCCCTCCCTCCTCCCTCACCTCCCTCCCTCCCTCCCTCCCTCCCTCCCTCCCTCCCTCCTCCCCTCCCTCCCTCCCTCCCTCCCTCCCTCCCTCCCTCCCTCCCTCCCTCCCTCCCTCCCTCCCTCCCTCCCTCCCTCCCTCCCTCCCTCCCTCCCTCCCTCCCTCCCTCCCTCCCTCCCTCCCTCCCTCCCTCCCTCCCTCCCTCCCTCCCTCCCTCCCTCCCTCCCTCCCTCCCTCCTCCCTCCCTCCCTCCCTCCCTCCCTCCCTCCCTCCCTCCCTCCCTCCCTCCCTCCCTCCCTCCCTCCTCCCTCCCTCCCTCCCTCCCTCCCTCCCTCCCTCCCTCCCTCCCTCCCTCCCTCCCTCCCTCCCTCCCTCCCTCCCTCCCTCCCTCCCTCCCTCCCTCCCTCCCTCCCTCCCTCCCTCCCTCCTCCCTCCCTCCCTCCCTCCCTCCTCCCTCCCTCCCTCCCTCCCTCCCTCCCTCCCTCCCTCCCTCCCTCCCTCCCTCCCTCCCTCCCTCCCTCCCTCCCTCCCTCCCTCCCTCCCTCCCTCCCTCCCTCCCTCCCTCCCTCCCTCCCTCCCTCCCTCCCTCCCTCCCTCCCTCCCTCCCTCCCTCCCTCCCTCCCTCCCTCCCTCCCTCCCTCCCTCCCTCCCTCCCTCCCTCCCTCCCTCCCTCCCTCCCTCCCTCCCTCCCTCCCTCCCTCCCTCCCTCCCTCCGTACTTTCCTTCCTTCTTCTCGCCCTTTTCCCTTCTCTCCTCCTCTGTCAAACACCCCCCGCCTCTCTTGCCATTTCCTCTCCTCTTCACCTTTCCTCTCCTTGCCGGCCTGCATGCAGTCCCATCCCACTGGCAGCTGCAGCTTCAGCAACAGAAGCAGAAAAAACAGCAGCAGCAGCAAGCAGCAGAAACGGGAAGAGACGAGGCAACGTATGCTGCAGCTGCAGTTAACGATTCAACAGTATCGTCACCACCCACACCTTCTGCAACACCATCAGCATCAGCAGCACCAGCAGCGGTGGCAGCAGCAGCACCAGCAGCGGTGGCAGCAGCAGCACCAGCAGCAGCAGCGTGGGCGTGGGAGGAGGTGGAGGATCCACCTATCTACACCAACATCCAGTACCCCTTCCCCATCCAGCCGCCCTTCGTTCCCATTGACAACCCCACTGCCTGCTACCGCCGCCGCTTCTCACTCCCTGCCTCCTGGTCAGGTAGGCTCTCGTGTTTCCGGCTTTTTTCGTGGATTTTTTAGTAGAGCTGTCTGAAAAACAGACTGTCACCAGTAGCACCAGTATCAGCACCAGCAGCAGCATCAGCGGTGGCAGCAGCAGCAGCGTGGGCATGGGAGGAGGTGGAGGATCCGCCCATCTACACCAACATCCAGTACCCCTTCCGCATCCAGCCGCCCTTCGTCCCCACCGACAACCCCACCGCCTGCTACCGCCGCCGCTTCTCCCTCCCCGCCTCCTGGTCAGGTAGGCTCTCGTGTTTCCGGCTTTTTTCGTGGATTTTTTAGTAGAGCTGTTTTGAAAACAGACTGTCACCAGTAGCACCAGCATCAGCACCAGCAGCAGCATCAGCGGTGGCAGCAGCAGCAGCGTGGGCATGGGAGGAGGTGGAGGATCCGCCCATCTACACCAACATCCAGTACCCCTTCCCCATCCAGCCGCCCTTCGTTCCCACCGACAACCCCACTGCCTGCTACCGCCGCCGCTTCTCCCTCCCCGCCTCCTGGTCAGGTGAGCTTTTATGTTTCCGGGTTTCAGTGAGGTAGGTCCCCTCCCACTCTCCGTGCTGCCATGCAACCCCTGCCAGGCCAGCACGCCTTTAACTCTGAGTCCCTCCCTCCCACCCAAGCGTCCCTCTCGCCTCTCTTCCCTCTCCCTGCTGTCATCAACCCCCCTGCCAGGCCAGCACATCACGCTGTGCTTTGAGGGAGTTGACTCCGCCATCCACGTGTGGCTCAACGGTCACCACGTGGGGTACAGCCAGGACAGCCGCCTCCCTGCTGAGTGCAACGCTCCCAGTCCCACCTACTCACACTCCCCCTTTCCACAGTGTGTGCTACCATTCAATCCCCTGCCAGGCCAGCACATTACTCTGTGCTTCGAGGGAGTGGACTCCGCCATCCACGTGTGGCTGAATGGGCGCCACGTGGGATACAGCCAGGACAGCCACCACCCTGCAACTGAAGACTCACAATCGTGTCTCTCCCATTCCCCCTCCCATTCCCCCTCCTACACCCTCTCCCTTCCCAGGCCAGCACATCACGCTGTGCTTCGAGGGAGTGGACTCCGCCATCCACGTGTGGCTCAACGGTCACTACGTGCGGTACAGCCAGGACAGCCGCCTCCCTGCCGAGTGCAACGCTCCCAGTCCCTCTCTCCCTATCCCACGCCCCCCTCCCCTCTCTCCTCTCTCCGTTCTGCCATCCAATCTTTTCCAGGCCAGCATATCACGCTGTGCTTCGAGGGAGTTGATTCGGCCATCCACGTGTGGCTGAACGGTCACTACGTGGGGTACAGCCAGGACAGCCGCCTCCCTGCCGAGTTTAATGTCACACCCTATTGTATCACACGTGGGAAGGAAAAAGGAGGAATCTCCACTTCTGAGGGGAAGACTCTTGAAGCTGAGGGGGAAGTGCGGGTGGGAGGAGGGGATGTGGAGAGAGCGGGGGATGGAGAGGAAAGGGATGGGGATGGGGAAGGAGAGGGGGAAGGGGAGGGGGAGAATGTGTTGGCAGTGATGGTGGTGCGGTGGAGCGATGGGTCGTATCTGGAGGACCAGGACCACTGGTGGCTGTCTGGCATGCACCGCGACGTCACTCTGCTCTGCCGCCCGCAGGTGAGATTTGATTCACCTGCCTGTGATAGTACGAGTGGGACCTGGGGTGGAGAGAGAGGAAAGCAGGAAAGGAGATGGGGATGGGGATGGAATTGGGATACTATGGGGATGGAGATGGGAAGGGGAAGCGGAAGGGGAGAATGTGTTGGCGGTGATGGTGGGCCGTATCTGGAGGACCAGGACCACTGGTGGCTGTCTGGCATGCACCGCGACGTCACTCTGCTGTGCCGCCCACAGGTGAGATCTTATTCTCCACTCTGTCGGGTTCGATTCCCTCCATCTGGCCCCACAGCCAAGCTCTTCATCCTCTCCCCTCCCCTGTGAACTGGGGTCTCCGATCCGAGGACCATAGGTGACTTGCTTAAGAACCGAGGGCATATGAAGTTCTTAGTTCCAATCATCTGTTTCCTGTCCTGTACCTGTTTTCTATGTGTTCCTGTGTGCTGTGAGCCTCCTTCAGGTGCATATAGCGGATTTGGAGGTGAAGACTGAAGTGGCTGACGACATGCAGTCTGCAACGGTCAAGGTGAGATGGTTGATTCCGCTCATACGGTTGTACATGGTTGTATGTGGTTGTGTGTGGTTGTATGTGGACTTGGAGGTGAAGACTGAAGTGGATGACGATCTGCAGTCTGCATCGGTGAAGATACGATGCTTGCTGCTTCTTGTTGCTTGGAGAGGGGTCTGTGGGTGGGTGTATGGACGGCTTTTGAGGCGCCTCAAAAGTTGTATGTGGGTCTGTGGGTGGGTGTATGGAGGGCTGTATTAGGTGCTGCCGAAAGGCTGGCTTCTTAATACTTAATAATACTCCATACACCTAATACTCCCTACTTCCTCCCTCCCTTCCTCCCCTTCTTTCATTTTCCTCCTCCTCCTCCCTCGAGCTCAGCTAGAGGTTCTGCTGGAGGGCTGGCCCCGCTGCGACATCCAGTCCCTGCTCGACAGCTGTCACGTCGAGGCCTACCTCTTCGACGCGTGGCGCTCCCCCCCACCGCCGCCATCTCAGCACCCCTTCTCCCCCTCCTCCTCCTCCTCCCCCTCCCCCGATCCCTCCTCCTTTCCCTCCTCCTCCCTCTCCTCAGTCCCCATGTCCCCCACCTCCTGTCCCCCTAAAGACCCTGAATTAGACGATTTAGAAGCGCTGAGGCTCCCTGAAGCGGCGGTTTTCCAGGCTGTGGGGTTGGGAGTGGGCGATAAGAGAGGAGAAGGGGGAAGTGGGGGAGGGGAAGGCGTGGGAGTGGGAGGAGGAGGGGGAGAGGGGAGTGGAGGATGGAAGGATGATAAGGTGGTGGTGATTGGGAACACGATGCGAGTGCGGATGGAGGCGCAGGTGGATAAGGACAAACTTGTGCTGTGGTCTCCTGATCAGGTGAGAAGGAAACATCAGATGTGGTGCCGAAAGGGACTAATTCAAATGCTGAAACCACGTGAACACTGGATTCTCTTCTCCCCTTACGTGTATGAAGAAGTGTTTTGAGACGTCTCAAAACATTTCAAATGCTGAAACCACGTGAACACTGGATTCTCTTCTCCCCTTACGTGTATGAAGAAGTGTTTTGAGACGTCTCAAAACATTTCAAATGCTGAAACCACGTGAACACTGGATTCTCTTCTCCCCTTACGTGTATGAAGAAGTGTTTTGAGACGTCTCAAAACATTTCAAATGCTGAAACCACGTGAACACTGGATTCTCTTCTCCCCTTACCCCTCCCACTTTCCTTCGCTTCCTCCACTCCCCCCACCCCTCAGCCACACCTGTACACGCTGGTGGTGACGCTGGCAGATGCCTCGGGGCGGCCACAGCAGGTTGAGGCGGCGAGGGTGGGGGTGAGACGGGTGGAGGTGCGGGGGAGAGAGCTGCTGCACATCCCTGATCTCTCATCCCTCTCCCTTCCTCTGATCCCCTATTCCCCAGCCACACCTGTACACGCTGGTGGTGACGCTGGCAGATGCATCAGGGCGGCCACAGCAGGTGGAAGCAGCGAGGACTCCCTGGTCCCTGAACTCTCAAACCTCCCAACCCCCTCCCCCTCCCGCACCCCAGCCACACCTGTACACGCTGGTGGTGACGCTGGCAGATGCGTCGGGGCGGCCACAGCAGGTGGAGGCAGCTAGGGTGGGGGTGAGGCGGGTGGAGGTGCGGGGGAGAGAGCTGCTGGTGAATGGGAAGGCAGTTGAGGTGAAAGGGGTGAACCGGCACGAGCACCATCCACAGACCGGGAAGGTCAACATCGAAGAGTGCATGGTCAAAGTAAGTCAACGCTGGTCAAGGGCTGGTAACGCAGGTGGTGAGTCAACGCTAGTCAATGCTGGTCAAGGTGTGAATGGGAGGGCTGTGGAGGTGAAAGGGGTGAACCGGCACGAGCACCACCCGCAGACTGGGAAGGTCAACATCGAAGAGTGCATGGTCAAAGTAAGTCAACGCTGGTCAAGGGCTGGTAACGCAGGTGGTGAGTCAACGCTAGTCAATGCTGGTCAAGGTGTGAATGGGAGGGCTGTGGAGGTGAAAGGGGTGAACCGGCACGAGCACCATCCACAGACTGGGAAGGTCAACATCGAAGAATGCATGGTCAAGGTGAGTCAACGCTGGTCAACTCTGGTCAAGGTGAGTCAACGCTGATCAGTCTGAGTCAATGCTGGTCAAGGTAGGACTTATGCTTCTTGCTGTCCTCTTTCCATTCCCTCACTCCTTCCCGCACTCCCTCATCGCTCCCTCCCACTTCCTGCTTTACCAGGTGGTGGGATGGGAGATGAAACGATGTTCATCGCTCTGATATCCTGTTCCCAGTCCCTCGCTTCCTCCCTGCTCTTACCTCCCCATGATCTGGTGGAGATGAAGCAACACAATGTGAACGCTGTGCGATGCAGCCACTACCCCAACCACCCTCGCTCCTTCCCTGCTCTTTCCGTGCTCCCTCCCTGACTCCTCCCTGCTCCGGCCTCCCCAGGATGTGGTGGAGATGAAACGGCACAACGTGAACGCAGTGCGCTGCAGCCACTACCCCAACCACTCGTGGTGGTACGGTGGTCTGAGTCTTCTGTTCCCTCACTCCCTCCCTGCTCCCTCCCTGGCCCCACCTTCCCAGGATGTGGTGGAGATGAAACGGCACAACGTGAACGCAGTGCGCTGCAGCCACTACCCCAACCACTCGTGGTGGTACGGTGGTCTGAGTCTTCTGTTCCCTCACTCCCTCCCTGCTCCCTCCCTGGCCCCACCTTCCCAGGATGTGGTGGAGATGAAGCGGCACAACGTGAACGCAGTGCGCTGCAGCCACTACCCCAACCACTCCCGCTGGTACGCCGCCCTGAATGGCCATTTTCTCTCCCTGTAAGCTCCCCGTTCGCCTGCTCACAACAACCTGCAACACACACACACACACACACAGCCATTGTCCATCATCATTCCCATCCCCATCCTCATAATGGCCATTCTCTCTTCCTGTTAGCTCCCGTTCGCCTGCTCACAACAACCTGCAACACACACACAACACAGCCATTGTCCATCCCCATCCCCATTCCCATTCCCATGCTCATGCCCTTGTGGCTTGCCCACGCCATGCTCATGCCCATGCCATACCGATTCTTATTCCCATGTGGAAACACATGCCAATCCTCCCATCCATCTCCTCCCTCTCTCCCTTCAGGTACGAGTTGACCGATCTCTTTGGCCTTCTCGTGATAGTCGAGGCCAACATAGAGACGCACGGGTTCGATCCAGACAACCACCCTAACAGGAAGGGGCTCGATTATATTGCCATGCATATTCCACCCCCGTCCCTCTCCTCCTTCCTCCTCCCCTCTCAGGTACGAGCTGACCGATCTCTTTGGCCTCCTAGTGGTAGACGAGGCCAATATCGAGATGCACGGGTTCGATCCAGACAACCACCTCAGCAGGAAGGGGCGGCAGCCGGCCGAGGACCCCGAGTGGGCGGCAGCAGCAAGACACATGGATTTCAACTCAACCCTTGAGCCCGAGATCATTCTCCTCTCTCCCTTCCCTCTCTCCCTTCCTTCTCTTCTGACTTCTTCCTGCTTCCGTGCATCTGTATCCTCCCTCTCTCCGCCCCAGGTACGAGCTAACAGATCTCTTTGGCCTCCTAGTAATCGACGAGGCCAACATCGAGACGCACGGGTTCGACCCAGACAACCACCTCAACAGGAAGGGGCGGCAGCCGGCCGAGGACCCCGAGTGGGCGGCAGCAATGGGCGCGCGGGTGATGCGCATGTGCGAGCGCGACAAAAACCATGCGAGCGTGGTGGTGTGGTCGCTGGGGAACGAGGCGGGCTATGGGGCGACCCACGATGCCATGGCAGGTGGGACTGCGTGGGGTAGATTGGATGGATGGTATGGGATGGGGTGGCGTTACAGGTAAGATGGATTAGGCTATGGGGAACGAGGCAGGCTATGGGTGGCATGATGCCATGGCAGGTATGCGGGTGGATGGTGTGGGGATTAGCAGCGATGGGCGCGCGGGTGATGCGCATGTGCGAGCGCGACAAGAACCATGCGAGCGTGGTGGTGTGGTCGCTGGGGAACGAGGCGGGCTATGGGGCAACGCATGACGCCATGGCAGGTATGGGAGGCATGGTAAGGGGATAGCAGCGATGGGCGCGCGGGTGATGCGCATGTGTGAGCGCGGCAAGAACCATGCGAGCGTGGTGGTGTGGTCGCTGGGGAACGAGGCGGGCTATGGTGCCACTCACGACGCCCTGGCAGGTGGGTAGATGGGTGGAGTGCGGATGGGTGGTGTGCGGTTGGATGGTGTGGGATTGGGTGGTGTGGGGTTGGGTGGTGTGGGGTTGGGTGGTGTGGGGTTGGGTGGTGTGGGGTTGGGTGGTGTGCATGTGTGAGCGAGACAAGAGCCATGCGAGCGTGGTGGTGTGGTCGCTGGGGAACGAGGCGGGCTATGGGGCCACGCATGACGCCCTGGCAGGTGGGTAATTGGGTGGTGTGGGCTTGGGTGGTGTGGGGTTGAAACTGGTGGGGATGGATGGTATGGAGATTGCAGGTGCGATAGGGTTGATCGCGTGGAAATGGCAGCGATGGGCGCGCGGGTGGTGTGCATGTGCGAGCGCGACAAAAACCATGCGAGCGTGGTGGTGTGGTCGCTGGGGAACGAGGCGGGCTATGGGGCCACGCATGACGCCATGGCAGGTGGGGTGGATGGCTGGTGTGGAGATGGCAGACAGGATAGGTTGGATGGTTTGGGGATGGGTGGCTAGGCTACCAAATGTCATAGCACTTCCACATCACTCTCCCTCCCTTTCGCACCTCTACTGTTTCCTGTCCCCTTCGTTTCTTTCCCCCCTTTCTCTTCTTCCCTCCTCCCTTCCTCCTTCCTCTTCCTTTCTTTCCCTCCCCTTTCGCTCATCCAGCGTGGTTGCGTCACAGGGACCCCACTCGCCCAATACACTACGAGAGGGGCGGCTCGCGCACCACTGCCACGGACATAGTGTGTCCCATGTACATGCGCGTGCGTAGGCTATTGAGTGATATTTCTCCTTCCCATTCCCCCTTCCCCTGCTCTTCGTTCCATCCAGCATGGTTGCGACACAGGGACCCATCTCGTCCCATACACTACGAGGGGGGTACTCGCACCACTGCCACGGACCTAGTGTGTCCCATGTACATGCTACTGTTGAGTGACATGGCACTTGCACATCACTCTCCCTCCCTTTCCCCCTCTCCCCCCCGCATTCTTCCATCCAGCATGGTTGCGTCACAGGGACCCGTCTCGCCCCATACACTACGAGGGGGGCGGCTCTCGCACCACTGCCACTGACATCGTGTGTCCCATGTACATGCGCGTGCCTGACATCAAGGCTATTGTAGCCGATCCCAACGAGACCCGCCCCCTCATCCTCTGCGAGTGAGTCAATTGAAACTAAGTGGCTGAAAGTGGTGGGTACCACTGCATGTTGGCACCTCTGCTACAGACATAGTGTGCCCCATGTACATGCGCGTGCCGGACATCAAGGCCATTGCTCAAGACCCCAAGGAAACCCGCCCCCTTATCCTCTGCGAGTGAGTGATTTGATCGATGTTTTCTTATGTACTGCCCTGCCTTTTGAGGCGCCTTAAAATGCACCTCACTACACGCAGATTTGATCGATGTTTTCTTATGTACTGCCCTGCCCCCAACTGGATTGCATTCCTCGCCCCTGCTGCTGCCTCGGACATCATGTGTCCCATGTACATGCGCGTGCCTGACGCGCATCACTGCCACTGACATCGTGTGTCCCATGTACATGCGCGTGCCTGGCATCAAGGCTAAAGCTGCCGGCCCCAAAGAGGCCCGCCCTCTCATCCTCTGCAAGTGAGTCGGACTTTCTTATGTGGCTCAAATCGGTTGGCTTGGCACCACTGCCAGAGACCTAGTGTGCCCCATGTACATGCACAAAAGAGCACTCCCATACATTTTTTTCCAAAGAGGCCCGCCCTCTCATCCTCTGCGAGTGAGTCGGACTTTTCTATGTGGCTCAAATTGGTTGGCTTGGCACGGCTTGGCACCACTGCCAGAGACCTAGTGTGCCCCATGTACATGCCCATGCCTGACGGAATGCATGGGCATCGATGCACCATGCCCCTTCTCACCTGAATACTACCTCCCCCAGGTACGCCCACGCCATGGGCAACAGCAGTGGCAACAACTACAACCATTGAGTCGACTCTCATATCATGTCATTGTCTCCCCATGTACCACCTCCCCCAGGTACGCCCACGCCATGGGCAACAGCAGTGGCAACAATCACAACCTTTGAGTCGACTCTCATCTCACCTCATTGTCTCCCCATGTACCACCTCCCCCAGGTACGCCCACGCCATGGGCAACAGCAGTGGCAACCTGGATGTGTATTGGGACGCCATCGAGTCGACCCACGGGCTGCAGGGAGGCTTCATCTGGGACTGGGTGGATCAGGTGCGATAGGTTTTATCTGGGACAGGCGTTACCTATCGTGGAGGAGCATTGGGATGTATAGAGTCAACCCATGTGCTGCAGGGGCTTCATCTGGGACTGGGTGGATCAGGTGGGTGAGACAGGGACAGGCTTTATCTGGGACAGGATTTATCTGGGAGAGGCTTTATCCAGGAAAGGCTTTACCTGAGACAGGCTTTATCTGGAACAGCCATTATTCATGGCAGTGCTAAGAAATTCCCGCCTCTTGCTCGCCCCCTCTTCCCTTCCTACTCGCCATTCATGTGATAAACACTCGCCATCTTGCGATGAACAGTCTCACCCCACCCACCCACTGCACCCCACCCCACCCCGCCTCATCCCACACCACCCATGCCCCTCATCTCCCTCCCTTTCAGGGCCATTGGAAGGACATGGCTCCAGGAATCAGCACGCAGGTCGACAAGATTACCAGCAGCGGTACCAGCTGTGGCATCAGTGGTACTGCAACAGCAAGTCTCACCCAATGCCATGCTCCGCATCTCCCTCCCATTCAGGGCCTTTGGAAGGACATGGCACCACGCAGCGGCACAAAGATCGACAAAATTACCAGCAGCGGTACACAGATCGACAAAATTACCAGCAGCGGTACCTGCAATGGCATCACTGGCACTGCAACAGCAAGCCCTGACAGTGATCCGAGTGCCAGAAATGCTGCAGAATCAAATGGTGATTCTCCTTCTGTTGGTGCTGCGGACGAAGTCCCAAGCGGTGCGCCTGTCGAAGCTGGGGTACCAGACTCAGCGCCACGACCACCTGAATCAGCACCTGAGTCAGCACCTGAGTCGTCGCCTGAGTCGGCAGCTGAGTCAGCACAGGAAGGAGAAGCGACAGCTGCGGCAGGGGTAGAAGGAGAAGCAAGAGCTGCAGCAGCAGCAGCAGCAAACCCTGAACCAGCATCCTTGGCATTAGCATCACCAGCAGCATCGCCAGCAGCAGTTCCTAAAGAAAATGAAAGTAGTGGCAATGAAACTGGAACAGAGAGGCAGCAGGAGCAGCAGCCATGGGAGGAGATGGAGCTGCCTGTGAAGCATTCTGGAAGGTTCTGGGCGTATGGGGGCGACTTCGGGGACACACCCAATGATCTTAACTTCTGTATCAATGGACTCGTGTGGCCTGATAGGACTCCCCACCCTGCCATGCGCGGTGAGCATACTGCCATGCACGCTAAGCACCCTGCCACCCTGCCATGTACTGTAAGCTCCCTGCTGTGAGACCGATTAGAAGGGGTCTCTACCCTCCACTTTTGCATCAACGGGCTCGTGTGGCCTGATAGGACTCCCCACCCTGCCATGCGCGGTGAGCATACTGCCATGCACGCTAAGCACCCTGCCACCCTGCCATGTACTGTAAGCTCCCTGCTGTGAGACCGATTAGAAGGGGTCTCTACCCTCCACTTCTGCATCAACGGGCTCGTGTGGCCTGATAGGACTCCCCACCCTGCCATGCGCGGTAAGTGGGTTGGCATGTGCGGTAAGTGGGTTGGCATGTGTGGTAAGTGCGAGACTTGTTATAAGAGGCCTCTACCCTCCACTTTTGCATCAACGGGCTCGTGTGGCCCGATAGGACTCCCCACCCTGCCATGCGCGGTAAGCACCCTGCCATGCGTCGTAAGGGCATTGGCTTGTGAGGTAAGTAAGCATAGAGTCATGCGAGGTAAGCACCCTGCCATGTACGGGGTGCCTTGTGCCATCCCACCTGTATCGTCTTCCTCTACCCCTCCACTCTCCCATTCCTCCCTCCACCCCTCCACGCCCCACTGTCAGAGTTTTTTTTACATATATATATATATAGAACGAGTTTGCACTATAACGATGCAAATACATTCACAGTCGTGACTGGATTCTGGAGGGAAACAGCTAACCCTTGTCGGAAAACAGGCGCCTCCCCCCTACACGCTCCTACGTGGGCGGTGGAATGTCTTGGGGTTCTGCCAAAGGGATAGGAAATCTACCTTCCACGTGGCCTGTTCCCCTGCCTCACTGATCCTCGCAATCGCCCTCCTCTCATCCCCAGCCAGGCCACCCCACGGGTCTCGTGGCTGCCCCTGGGTCACCCCGCCTGCTGCCTTCCTCTGTTTCTCCGCTCTGTAGAGTCTCGCATGTCGCATGAAATCGTAGATAGCCGCCTGTGCCACCTTTTTTTTTTGGAACTTCTCCTTTCGGTACACTGCATCCACCCTGGCCAACCAGATTCTTCGCATCGTCACCGCTGTCAATGTTGCCCCCGGAAAGCCGGACTTCGTGGCCCCTTCGCGAAACAGCATGTCCCCTAGCGAAATTGTCTGGTCCGCCGGGTCTATGATTCTCAGTGAACTCAGTAGCGCGCCGATTACCGGCTGGATGACCGGGCAGGCGAGCATGCAGTGAACTAGGGTTTCAGGCTCCCCGCAGTGTGGACAGCAACCTCTGGCGCCCAGAAAAACCAACCTCCATCAGAGCTGGCCCATGTGTATCGCTACTTTGGCTTCAAGTGGACGGAGCAGAGACCAAGTGCATGGCCTCACATCTTCCCTCCCGTATCGATCATTGCCGGTCATCTCTTTCCCCTTTCCCTCCATCCCTCCTCCACGCCCCACCACCAGAGCTGGCCCACGTGTATCGCTACTTTGGCTTCAAGTGGACGGAGCAGAGCAGCGATGAAGTGGTGCCTCGTGTTATCCCTCCTGTATCCTGTTCCCCTCTTTTCACCTTTCTCCACCCCCCTCATCCCCTCCACCCCTCCATCCCTCATTCATCCCCCACCACCAGAGCTGGCCCACGTGTATCGCTACTTTGGCTTTAAGTGGACGGAGCAGGGTGACGTTGAGGTATGACGTGTGTCGAGCTGGGAGCATGCACAGCGGTGCTGAGGGATGTAGAGTGCTGCAGAGTGGTTTAGAGGGATGCATACCAATAGAGTGTTTGTGGGTGTGAGGGACCCGCATGCCCACCACGTACACCCCTCTGTACCGCACTCAATCTCTTCATCTCCGCCCTTATCACCCTGTCCAATCTTCAACTCTTCTTAGTCACCTCCCATATACTCCCACAAAATACGCCTCTCACCTACCCCTCCCTCCTACACCTTCCCCTCTCTCCCTCCACACCTTCCCCTCCCCCCCCCCCCCTTTCTCCTTCCCCCCCTCTTCCCCCTCCTACTATCCACCAGGTATTCAACAGAGGGTTTCAACCAGCCCTCCTCCGCCTTCTCCTTCTCCTTCTCTCTTGAGACGTCTCAAAAGTCCTCTCACGTATCCCCCTTCTACTCCCTTTCCCTTCTTCCGCCTTCCCCACCCGCCCTTCCACCAGGTATTCAACAAGAGCTTCTACCAGCCCTCCTCCGCCTTCTCCTTCTCCTTCTCTCTCTTCTCCCTCCCTCCCCCCCCGCAATCCACCACCGCCCTCCCACCCTCTCCTCCCACTCCCATCCTCTCCTGCCCACTCGCCATTCCTACCATCCTGCCACGTCAGAGCCATGTCATCCCCAGCCCCATCCCTGCTGACCTGGACTGGGCGGCGCATGATGTCAGCGCTGACTCAGAGCTCTTTGCACTGTTCACTGCTACAGTGAACGAGAGAACAAGGTGGTGCGCTCCCGGGCAGGTTGTTGCATCTGTTCAGCTGCCCTTCAAGCTGCCCGAAGGAGCTGTTTCCACAAAGCCTGCCATATCCGAACCTGGGGTGTCCGAGCCTGCTATACCCATCCGCCAATCATCTGTTCTTGTCACATCCACTGATGGCTCGTTCGCAATCACTGTTCACGTCAAGACCGGTGGCGCACTTTCCTGGAAGGTGAGACTTGTTCCTTTCAATAGTTTTCCTCTGTTCACTGCACAGCTTCTTGTTTTTGTTTTTCTTTGATTGTGAATATTAATAAACAAAAGGAAGTGAAAGAATTACCCCCCTTTTGAAGTCCCCCGTCCAATCCTTCGCTCCCCTTATGCCTTCAACCCCCCCCTAAACACCCCTTCCCCACTCCCCCTTTCTTCCCCCCCCCCCACACAAATCACACGGATCAACGGCTCAGATGTGCTGCTCCCCCCCGTTCCATTCCTTGCCCTGCCTCGCCCTGTGGCGGGCACCCACGGACAGCGACAAGGGAGGCGGCGCCGCCAGCTACGCTGCCCGATGGAAGGCTACCAGGCTCAGCACCCTCGCTACTGCCCCGGGCTGTTTCCCACCCACTGTTCACACCTGCACTCTTATCCTTCCATTTTTTTCCTCAGGTCAACGGTTCAGACGTGCTGCTTCCCCCGTCCCTCGCTGCCCCCTGCCTCGCCCTGTGGCGGGCACCCACGGACAACGACAAGGGAGGCGGCGCCGCCAGCTACGCTGCCTGATGGAAGGCTGCCGGGCTCAGCACCCCTGCTGCTGCCCAGAGCTGCTCCCTTTGGCCTCTGCCCCTGAAATCCACTCACTCTTTCCCACTTCCTCCCGCTCCCTCCCCTCCTGTGCGGAAAACACACACCCTCAGATCAACGGTTCAGATGTGCTTCTGCCCCCGTCCCTCGCTGCCCCCTGCCTCGCCCTGTGGCGGGCACCCACGGACAACGACAAGGGAGGCGGCGCCGCCAGCTACGCTGCCCGATGGAAGGCTGCCAGGCTCAGCAGCCTCACTGCTGCTGACGCTGGGGGGGTGATTTCCCTAGGGGGAGATGCTACAATGGTTTCTGTAGAAGGAGGGAAAGGAGTTGGAGAGGAGGGAGAGAAGGAGGGAGTGGAGAAGGACGAAGAGGGGAGTGGTGAAGAGGGAAAGGGCACGGAGGGGCAGGAGGGAGAGGGTGATGATGAGCCCTTGAAAGTTTCGATTGGAAAGGATGGGACGGTTTCCGTGGTTGTAGAGGCAACTTTTCGACCCCGGGCAGATGAAATTTCTGAGGAGGGAGTTGTGGAGGCGGGTGCTGCCCCAACCAATCTGGTCGAGGCTTATGGAGGGGTGGAAGTTGAAGCATCAGCGAGCGGCGGGCAGGCAAAGAAACTTTCTGACGTGGACTGCTGGGTCCGGCTCAAGTCAGAATGGCAGATCCATGGCAGCGGGCAGGTTGTTGTGGAATTTTGGGTGGACCCAAGCCCTGCCCTGCCGCCCCTACCGCGCGTCGGAATGCGGTTCCGGGCAGCAAAAAAACTCTCCAACGTGGTCTGGTCCGGGCGGGGCCCGCATGAATGTTATCCTGACCGGAAGCAGTCTGCACACGTGGCCCTTCACTATTTGCCGGTGAAATCCCTGCACGTGCCGTACATTGCTCCTGGGGAGAATGGAGCGAGAGTCAACACTCGTTGGGTCACACTCTTTACAAGCACACAGGAGAGGGAACAACAGGGATCAGTGGAAAACCCACAGGGAGGTGCAGAAGGCGGCGGTTCACAGCCAGAAGCAGAGGGGGGAGCACAGGTGGAAGCGCAAGGGGAGGAAAGAAAGGAGGCGGATGGGGGGAAGGGGAGGGAGGTATTCCAGAAGGTTCCGTTAGTAGGGCTTGTTATGGAACCAGTGGAGATAGGTGGAGGGGAGGGAGGTGGGGGAGGGGGTGAGGAGGGTGGGAAGGGAGGGAAGCCGGTGGTGCACTTCAGTGCGAGTGGGTATGCTGCAGAGGAGCTGCATCGAGCACAGCATGAGGAGGAGCTGGTGGAAGACGCGGAGTTCAACCATGTGAGTGGGCTGGGAAGGGGATGTCTTAGGAGTCGACTCAAAGAGAGGTGACTCTATAATGGGTAACTCTATAGTGAACTGGAGAGTCATCGGGATCGGGCACAGCATGAGGAGGAGCTGGTGGAAGACGCGGAGTTCAACCATGTGAGTGGACTAGGGAAGGGATATCTACGTAGTTCTGGACCTGTTCCTTCTTCCTTTTACAAGCACCTGCGCCTCTCCTTTTCCCTTGCCCCTTTTCTCTCCCACACTCCATCCACCCTTTTCATCCTCGGACCATGCCATCATGGGTTGGACGCCTGTATGGCCCCTCCCGCCTGACGGGGGTGGGAAGGGCAAATTGGTGGGAAGGGCAAATTGGTGGGAAGGGCAAATAGGTGACAGTATCTGCCGCTTTGGATCTTGATCATGCAATCATGGGGTTGGGCGGCGATGACAGTTGGACCCCTGGTAGGTTTTTCTCCATACTCACCCGCACCCCGCATCCCTCTCCTTTCTCCCTACCTCTCCCTGCCATGCAGGTGCATCTGGATCATGCCATCATGGGGGTGGGCGGCGACGACAGCTGGACCCCATCGGTGCACAAGGAGTTTCTGCTGCCGCCCCACCCGTACGCATTTGGAGTGGCATTCCGGCCCCTTACTGAGTGAATGGAGTGACGCTGCACAAGGCTTTCGAGGCGCCTCAAAAGGCAGCGTAGCGTTCCGGCTGGGAGTGACTCATTGATCGGTGGCTAATGGGTTTCTGGTGCAAACCACCCCACCTGTATGCATTTGGGGTGGCATTCCCGCCTCTGATGCATCAAGTAAGCCTGCAGTACGGTATGTTCTCCTGAGATACGGTACCGTCAGCCCCCGATAGAAGCGCCCATGGGGGTATAAAAAAACACTGTTTTTTAGGGGGTGCGCTTATAATTGAGGAAATTTATAAGCGCCGGCGTTTATAAAATGGCAAAAATGAATGTCTATCTGTTTTACACCAAACTGTAGATCAGGTCTACGGTAAATCCTGTAGAACAGGATCCTAAATTTCTGTTCTGTAAGTTGCTAACACATAGGCTGGGCTGCAAGACCCCCTAATAGACCATACTATGTGCATGATGCACCCTATTAAGAATTGCTCACATAGGTGGAGAAGAATTTATCTATTACAGGTTGGTGCAGTATGAGAGCGTAGTGTATCAGCTGGATTTGGCTTTGCCGGTCTTCTGCCCCATGAGTACAGCAGCAAAGAAAATGAGGACGAAACCGAGCATGAGCACAGCGGCAGCAGCGGGAATGAGCACGGCATAGATGCGCGGGAGGAAGAGCGCGTTGATAAAATGGCCGTCTGGGAGAAACGGCTGGGGGTGGGAGGGAGTGGGAGGGAGTGGGAGGAAAGGGCGATAACGGGGAAGAGAACGGGGGAAACAGCGGCAGCAGCGGGGATGAGCACAGCATAGATGCGCGGGAGGAAGAGCGCGTTGATGAAATGACCGTCCGGGAGAAAGGGCTGTCGGGGAAAGGGAAGGAGCGAGCGAGTGGGGGTTGGGGTGGGGAAGGGGAATGGGGAAAGGGGGGAACAACAGCAGCAGCGGGGATGAGCACGGCATAGATGCGCGGGAGGAGAGCGCGTTGACGAAATGGCCGTCCGGGAGAAACGGCTGGTGTGGGAGGGGGGAGAGGGAGGAGGGGAGTGGGGGGTTGGGAATGGGAGGGGGAAACAGTGGCAGCGGGGGATGAGCACGGCGTATACGCGCGGGAGGAAGAGCGCGTTGACGAAATGGCCGTCCGGCAGAAACGTCTGGGGGTAGGCCGGAGTGCGAGGAGTGTGGGGTGGGGAGGGGAGTGGGGAACAGCGGGAATTGTTGGGAGAAAAGGAAAGAGGGGAACGCGAAGGAGGAGACAGCGGGTGGAAGAGAAACGAGCAGGGCACGCATGGATGCGTGGGATGAGGAAGAATTTGATGAAACGTCCGTCTGGACAAAACGGCTGGGCAGAGGAGGCAATGGATCGGGGGAGGCGATAATTGACGACGACACGGGGAGCACTGTAACCAGAAGTCGCGACCTAGCCGGACGCGAGCACTCATCGCCGAAAGCCAGACCAGTATTGGAACGATCTTGTCTACACGCGATACTCTGTACGAGAACATGGTACTTACTGTAACGAGGACCCAGATGCTGTAGTATGAGAACACGGTAAGCGCGATCAGAACCAACACGCCACCGACTATGCGATCCACGGTGTCGCTCATCGCGTCTCGTAGATGCTACGAAGGCATACGATTTTTTTTTTTTGCAGTTCCTAAGAGCAACTACCCTCCTGTGTGAACCAAGACCTCCCCCGCCGCCGCAAGTCCCGCTAGAATGTGATGTGGATGGCTGGAGGGTCTTTTAGATTTGCGAGCTAGAGTGCTGACTCTTGGGTGAAATAGCTATTTTGCAAATGGAAATGGTTTACATTTTGATAATAGCCACGGTTACAGTTATTTCGCGAAACAAGGGAAAACTGGCTGACGAAAGTCTACAAAATTCCGAGCCTCAAGCCGTTGTGAGCTGGTTTGCAGAACTATCATCGGGCAGCTCGAAGTGGGTCAAGGGTTGTTACATCATTCCGTGCGAAGAATGGCAGGCGAGGGTAACATTGAAATGTTACTTCGTGAGTTGGCTTGGCTACCGCCAGAAACCTGCAAATCCTTTTTTTTTCCAAAGCACACCCAGAGCTCCAGGTGTGCAAGGGCAGATTCTCCTGACTCCTGATCCGGAGTCATCAAAATTCAAGGATTTATGCCGTATCTGATTCTGATTGGGGGCGAGCGTAACGGCAAGGATGAAACAGACGATCAGGATGCCTGCAATGAGGCCTACAAACGGTTGGATGTGCCTTGAAAAACACGAGGGCAATTCCAAGCAGCACGATAGGCTCGGAACATTGCCTCACCGTGCCACCCTCCCCCTCTTATGGTTTCTTGCAGCCAGCAAGACAATCCGCCAGCACACCATCCCTTTCTAATTCCACTTCCACCCATGCGTACTCCTCTCCATCCCTCTCTGTCCACCTCCCCCACCGTCTTCCTCCACCCACCCACCCGTCCATCCATCCATCCATCCTTCCTCTCTCAGAAAGCATTCACAAATCTTGGTTCATTCAGGGCCAGAACCAGAACCTGGTTTTCAGGAACAGGACAGACTACGGAAAGATTCTCTCTCCGTGTTGGTGGTGCATTCAATACTGCCACATTTGCTATGTTAGGGTTGGGATTAGGATAGCTTCTGGTTGTCTCCCATCCTAGTTTGCTGCTCTAAGACGGAAGTGTCGGCGACGGTTTTGAGAAAGTTCTGACCGCTGTCGACGTGGACAGGTGAGAGTCTACGTAACTCGCAATGCCATTTAAAATGTCAATGTTGCGTAAAACGGATGACTTTGCGAGACGTGCAAGTTAGTTTTCAATGGTGCATTCATCGCAGATATGACGAATGGCAGGAAGCCGCAGACTATCTCGAACGCGCTATCATTGCATTTCAATGTTTCGCCATCTGTTACCCAACTATCGCATCTCCTTTCGTCTGGCGTCACGCCTTACTCTAGTGTATGTCGTGCCGGTGCATTTTCTCGACATGATGATGCCTAGAATATTTCTTGTGCATCGACAATGCTTGCTGATAACTCGCGTAACTAATTTGCCCAGCTTTGGTAAGGTTGCGAAGTTGCCTGACGCTGAGCCGTCCCAACCGTCTTCCCTAGCAATGTCCCAGGACCAAACTTATTCTAAACGAAGCAATCATTTTGTTTCTCGAAACGTTTTCCTTAGTCGAAGCTGCAGCGTTAGCTCTGCATCGTGTGTGTGGAACTGGCCGAGCCTATGTACGGTTCGTTCACCCGATTTTTGCGTCATTTTGTTTCGTAAATGTCGTATGCCATGAGATTCAAAAGTCATGCTCGCCGATGTTGACGATGCGGGGAGTGAGCGTCCAGGTATACATGCATACGGACGGCCTGCTCACAAGTTTCCTGAACCGTCGAATATCAGATTCCTCTAGTCGACTCGAACCGCATCATGTACAGTAGTTGCGTTTCCGCCTTAGCCACAGAATCACCATCAGCCAAATTTCGGAAACGAGCGATTAAGAGAACGAACGAGTCTGTCTACCCCTAACATCCCTAACTTTCGCGGACTCCTTTCCCCCCCTCCGCCAATCCCTCCCATCTCCCAGCGACGGCGCCCGCTATACCTGTGACCGAAGCTGCTGGCTGGACCTGCCGTTCGTGCTGCTGCTGGTGGCGCCGCTCTCGCTGCACCTTCAATCATTTGAATCACTTCCCTTCCTATCCGCTGTTGTTGTTTGTTTGTTTTGTTTGTTTCTTTTTTTTCCTTCCCTCGCTTCGCCAATCCCTCCCATCTCCCAGCGATGGCGCCCTCTATACCTGTGAGCGGAAGGCGCGGGCTGGACCTACCGTTCGTGCTCCTGCTGGTGGCGCTGCTCTCGCTGCACCCTCTGCTGCTCGGTGCGGCCGACACCGGCCCGCAGCAGACGCCTGACAGTAAGTCACGTGTGCACGGAGAGAGATGTTCGACAGAGGTGTTATCTGGGTGACATTCGAATCAAATCTGCTTGGGACGAATGCACAGCCGGGTGTAGTGCGGTGCGGTGCGGTGCGGAGCGGTGCAGCCGACACTGGCCCGCAGCAGACGCCAGGCAGTCAGTCGGTAAATGCACCAAACGGACAGAAGTGTTCAATTGCCTTTTCATCATACGCTGCTTGAAGCGCCCGTCTCCTCCTCAGTGGTGGCGCTGATACAGCTGCACGCAGTGCTGCAGTCAATGGCCCCTGGGGTGCTGTCGACGTGGGGAGGGGAGGGGGATCCATGTGAGAGGTCTGAACCATTGGCATCCACTCCTCCCCCCCCCTCCCCCCCTTTTCCCCCTTACCCCCCCAGTGGCGGCGCTGCTGCAGCTGCAGGCAGCGCTGCAGTCAACGGCCCCTGGGGTGCTGTCGACGTGGGGAGGGGAGGGGAGCCCGTGTGAGAAGGCCTGGACCACTGACATCCGCTGCGACCCTGTCACTCGCCGAGTGGTGCATCTGTGAGTTGCTGGTGATTCACATGCAGCTGCTTGTCTAGTGTGCCGCACGCACGTGTGTCCATGCCATGCCACATGCCATGCAAGAAGGCCTGGACCACTGACACCCGCTGCAACCCTGTCACTCGCCGCGTGGTGCACCTGTGAGTCGCTGGTGGTTCACTCACATGCGCCATGTCCCATGTGTGTGCATGTCATGTCATATGTTCACATGCAATGGATTACTGGCATAGATCAAACGTGACCCCGTCACTCGCCGCTGGTGTTTAGCAAGGACCATGTAGTGTCCTGTTTGTGCATGTCTCCCTTGTGTGTCCATGCTTGTTCATGTGTAATCACGTGTGTCCATGTGTGCGCCATTCCGTGCGCGGCGAAAGCACGCAATTGTGTCACTACACCCTTCTTGCGTCCTCACCGCACGCTTCTCACTCACACCCTCACATCCTCCTCATGCCCTCACCATTTCCTCATCACGCCATGTCTCCTTCCACCCATAACCTCTCCCCCTCTCGACATATTTCTGCCCTGTCGTGTGCTCCTCTGCTGCTGCGCTGCTGTGCTGCTGGGCTGGGTTGCCCCCATCACCACAGGGATCTCAAGCGGGCAGGCCTCGTTGGGAACATACCCACCTTTGAGCTCTCCCAGTTCGATGCTCTCACATACCTGTAAGCACACATATAGACATTTTCTCAATCCCAAGGTTTAAGAATACGGTTTTCGTATTATACGGGCCGTTTTTTACGGTCGTATTCTATGGTCAGTTATTTTAAAAAATGTGACCGTATTTTCGTTATATATATATATATTTTGTGCGGATGAATTACCCTTTGAAAAGCGACTAAAAAGTACCGGCGAGGGGGCAACAGCTGTAACACGTTTCTCCCGTCCCTCTCGCTCCCGTTCTTTTCTCCCTTACCCAGGGACATGACGGCCAACAACTTCTCCGCGTTCAACGGGCAGGCCTTCATCGTGCAGATGACCAGCCTGCAGCACCTGTACGTGCCGTGCTGTGCTGTGCTGTGCTGTGCTGTGCTGTGCTGTGCTGTGCTGTGCTCCCTTGACCCATCCCACCTCAATGCTCCCAAAACCAGCTGGCTTATGAGTCGACTCGAAATAACACCAGCCTGCAGCACCTGTACGTGTTGTGCCCCTTCTTATGCCACCATGTGCATGTACCTCATCAGAGAAGGCTTCTCCTTAAAGCACATCTATGGTGCCTGGGAGGCTCCCTATTGGAGTGACTTTTGAGAATTCTCAAAAGACTTTTGAGAAACTTTTGAGAATTCTCAAAAGTCACCTCATCAGAGAAGGCTTCTCCTTAAAGCACATCTATGGTGCCTGGGAGGCTCCCTATTCCCCCACCTGTCTTGCATCACCGTTGCATTACATCACGATCCCTTTCAACTCAAGTCCTCTTTCTCTTCCGCAATCCATCCAGGTCCCTTGCAAAGAACAACATGAAGTGGTTCCCCACGGATGTGGACATGCTCACGAGCCTCACCTTCCTCACGAGCCTCACCTTCCTGTGAGTCAGTCAGCATACCTCGTCCCCTCACCTTCCTCACGAGCCTCACCTTCCTGTGAGTCAGTCAGCATACCTCGTCCCCTCACCTTCCTCACGAGCCTCACCTTCCTGTGAGTCAGTCAGCATACCTCGTCCCCTCACCTTCCTCACGAGCCTCACCTTCCTGTGAGTCAGTCAGCATACCTCGTCCCCTCACCTTCCTCACGAGCCTCACCTTCCTGTGAGTCAGTCAGCATACCTCGTCCCCTCACCTTCCTCACGAGCCTCACCTTCCTGTGAGTCAGTCAGCATACCTCGTCCCCTCACCTTCCTCACGAGCCTCACCTTCCTGTGAGTCAGTCAGCATACCTCGTCCCCTCACCTTCCTCACGAGCCTCACCTTCCTGTGAGTCAGTCAGCATACCTCGTCCCCTCACCTTCCTCACGAGCCTCACCTTCCTGTGAGTCAGTCAGCATACCTCGTCCCCTCACCTTCCTCACGAGCCTCACCTTCCTGTGAGTCAGTCAGCATACCTCGTCCCCTCACCTTCCTCACGAGCCTCACCTTCCTGTGAGTCAGTCAGCATACCTCGTCCCCTCACCTTCCTCACGAGCCTCACCTTCCTGTGAGTCAGTCAGCATACCTCGTCCCCTCACCTTCCTCACGAGCCTCACCTTCCTGTGAGTCAGTCAGCATACCTCGTCCCCTCACCTTCCTCACGAGCCTCACCTTCCTGTGAGTCAGTCAGCATACCTCGTCCCCTCACCTTCCTCACGAGCCTCACCTTCCTGTGAGTCAGTCAGCATACCTCGTCCCCTCACCTTCCTCACGAGCCTCACCTTCCTGTGAGTCAGTCAGCATACCTCGTCCCCTCACCTTCCTCACGAGCCTCACCTTCCTGTGAGTCAGTCAGCATACCTCGTCCCCTCACCTTCCTCACGAGCCTCACCTTCCTGTGAGTCAGTCAGCATACCTCGTCCCCTCACCTTCCTCACGAGCCTCACCTTCCTGTGAGTCAGTCAGCATACCTCGTCCCCTCACCTTCCTCACGAGCCTCACCTTCCTGTGAGTCAGTCAGCATACCTCGTCCCCTCACCTTCCTCACGAGCCTCACCTTCCTGTGAGTCAGTCAGCATACCTCGTCCCCTCACCTTCCTCACGAGCCTCACCTTCCTGTGAGTCAGTCAGCATACCTCGTCCCCTCACCTTCCTCACGAGCCTCACCTTCCTGTGAGTCAGTCAGCATACCTCGTCCCCTCACCTTCCTCACGAGCCTCACCTTCCTGTGAGTCAGTCAGCATACCTCGTCCCCTCACCTTCCTCACGAGCCTCACCTTCCTGTGAGTCAGTCAGCATACCTCGTCCCCTCACCTTCCTCACGAGCCTCACCTTCCTGTGAGTCAGTCAGCATACCTCGTCCCCTCACCTTCCTCACGAGCCTCACCTTCCTGTGAGTCAGTCAGCATACCTCGTCCCCTCACCTTCCTCACGAGCCTCACCTTCCTGTGAGTCAGTCAGCATACCTCGTCCCCTCACCTTCCTCACGAGCCTCACCTTCCTGTGAGTCAGTCAGCATACCTCGTCCCCTCACCTTCCTCACGAGCCTCACCTTCCTGTGAGTCAGTCAGCATACCTCGTCCCCTCACCTTCCTCACGAGCCTCACCTTCCTGTGAGTCAGTCAGCATACCTCGTCCCCTCACCTTCCTCACGAGCCTCACCTTCCTGTGAGTCAGTCAGCATACCTCGTCCCCTCACCTTCCTCACGAGCCTCACCTTCCTGTGAGTCAGTCAGCATACCTCGTCCCCTCACCTTCCTCACGAGCCTCACCTTCCTGTGAGTCAGTCAGCATACCTCGTCCCCTCACCTTCCTCACGAGCCTCACCTTCCTGTGAGTCAGTCAGCATACCTCGTCCCCTCACCTTCCTCACGAGCCTCACCTTCCTGTGAGTCAGTCAGCATACCTCGTCCCCTCACCTTCCTCACGAGCCTCACCTTCCTGTGAGTCAGTCAGCATACCTCGTCCCCTCACCTTCCTCACGAGCCTCACCTTCCTGTGAGTCAGTCAGCATACCTCGTCCCCTCACCTTCCTCACGAGCCTCACCTTCCTGTGAGTCAGTCAGCATACCTCGTCCCCTCACCTTCCTCACGAGCCTCACCTTCCTGTGAGTCAGTCAGCATACCTCGTCCCCTCACCTTCCTCACGAGCCTCACCTTCCTGTGAGTCAGTCAGCATACCTCGTCCCCTCACCTTCCTCACGAGCCTCACCTTCCTGTGAGTCAGTCAGCATACCTCGTCCCCTCACCTTCCTCACGAGCCTCACCTTCCTGTGAGTCAGTCAGCATACCTCGTCCCCTCACCTTCCTCACGAGCCTCACCTTCCTGTGAGTCAGTCAGCATACCTCGTCCCCTCACCTTCCTCACGAGCCTCACCTTCCTGTGAGTCAGTCAGCATACCTCGTCCCCTCACCTTCCTCACGAGCCTCACCTTCCTGTGAGTCAGTCAGCATACCTCGTCCCCTCACCTTCCTCACGAGCCTCACCTTCCTGTGAGTCAGTCAGCATACCTCGTCCCCTCACCTTCCTCACGAGCCTCACCTTCCTGTGAGTCAGTCAGCATACCTCGTCCCCTCACCTTCCTCACGAGCCTCACCTTCCTGTGAGTCAGTCAGCATACCTCGTCCCCTCACCTTCCTCACGAGCCTCACCTTCCTGTGAGTCAGTCAGCATACCTCGTCCCCTCACCTTCCTCACGAGCCTCACCTTCCTGTGAGTCAGTCAGCATACCTCGTCCCCTCACCTTCCTCACGAGCCTCACCTTCCTGTGAGTCAGTCAGCATACCTCGTCCCCTCACCTTCCTCACGAGCCTCACCTTCCTGTGAGTCAGTCAGCATACCTCGTCCCCTCACCTTCCTCACGAGCCTCACCTTCCTGTGAGTCAGTCAGCATACCTCGTCCCCTCACCTTCCTCACGAGCCTCACCTTCCTGTGAGTCAGTCAGCATACCTCGTCCCCTCACCTTCCTCACGAGCCTCACCTTCCTGTGAGTCAGTCAGCATACCTCGTCCCCTCACCTTCCTCACGAGCCTCACCTTCCTGTGAGTCAGTCAGCATACCTCGTCCCCTCACCTTCCTCACGAGCCTCACCTTCCTGTGAGTCAGTCAGCATACCTCGTCCCCTCACCTTCCTCACGAGCCTCACCTTCCTGTGAGTCAGTCAGCATACCTCGTCCCCTCACCTTCCTCACGAGCCTCACCTTCCTGTGAGTCAGTCAGCATACCTCGTCCCCTCACCTTCCTCACGAGCCTCACCTTCCTGTGAGTCAGTCAGCATACCTCGTCCCCTCACCTTCCTCACGAGCCTCACCTTCCTGTGAGTCAGTCAGCATACCTCGTCCCCTCACCTTCCTCACGAGCCTCACCTTCCTGTGAGTCAGTCAGCATACCTCGTCCCCTCACCTTCCTCACGAGCCTCACCTTCCTGTGAGTCAGTCAGCATACCTCGTCCCCTCACCTTCCTCACGAGCCTCACCTTCCTGTGAGTCAGTCAGCATACCTCGTCCCCTCACCTTCCTCACGAGCCTCACCTTCCTGTGAGTCAGTCAGCATACCTCGTCCCCTCACCTTCCTCACGAGCCTCACCTTCCTGTGAGTCAGTCAGCATACCTCGTCCCCTCACCTTCCTCACGAGCCTCACCTTCCTGTGAGTCAGTCAGCATACCTCGTCCCCTCACCTTCCTCACGAGCCTCACCTTCCTGTGAGTCAGTCAGCATACCTCGTCCCCTCACCTTCCTCACGAGCCTCACCTTCCTGTGAGTCAGTCAGCATACCTCGTCCCCTCACCTTCCTCACGAGCCTCACCTTCCTGTGAGTCAGTCAGCATACCTCGTCCCCTCACCTTCCTCACGAGCCTCACCTTCCTGTGAGTCAGTCAGCATACCTCGTCCCCTCACCTTCCTCACGAGCCTCACCTTCCTGTGAGTCAGTCAGCATACCTCGTCCCCTCACCTTCCTCACGAGCCTCACCTTCCTGTGAGTCAGTCAGCATACCTCGTCCCCTCACCTTCCTCACGAGCCTCACCTTCCTGTGAGTCAGTCAGCATACCTCGTCCCCTCACCTTCCTCACGAGCCTCACCTTCCTGTGAGTCAGTCAGCATACCTCGTCCCCTCACCTTCCTCACGAGCCTCACCTTCCTGTGAGTCAGTCAGCATACCTCGTCCCCTCACCTTCCTCACGAGCCTCACCTTCCTGTGAGTCAGTCAGCATACCTCGTCCCCTCACCTTCCTCACGAGCCTCACCTTCCTGTGAGTCAGTCAGCATACCTCGTCCCCTCACCTTCCTCACGAGCCTCACCTTCCTGTGAGTCAGTCAGCATACCTCGTCCCCTCACCTTCCTCACGAGCCTCACCTTCCTGTGAGTCAGTCAGCATACCTCGTCCCCTCACCTTCCTCACGAGCCTCACCTTCCTGTGAGTCAGTCAGCATACCTCGTCCCCTCACCTTCCTCACGAGCCTCACCTTCCTGTGAGTCAGTCAGCATACCTCGTCCCCTCACCTTCCTCACGAGCCTCACCTTCCTGTGAGTCAGTCAGCATACCTCGTCCCCTCACCTTCCTCACGAGCCTCACCTTCCTGTGAGTCAGTCAGCATACCTCGTCCCCTCACCTTCCTCACGAGCCTCACCTTCCTGTGAGTCAGTCAGCATACCTCGTCCCCTCACCTTCCTCACGAGCCTCACCTTCCTGTGAGTCAGTCAGCATACCTCGTCCCCTCACCTTCCTCACGAGCCTCACCTTCCTGTGAGTCAGTCAGCATACCTCGTCCCCTCACCTTCCTCACGAGCCTCACCTTCCTGTGAGTCAGTCAGCATACCTCGTCCCCTCACCTTCCTCACGAGCCTCACCTTCCTGTGAGTCAGTCAGCATACCTCGTCCCCTCACCTTCCTCACGAGCCTCACCTTCCTGTGAGTCAGTCAGCATACCTCGTCCCCTCACCTTCCTCACGAGCCTCACCTTCCTGTGAGTCAGTCAGCATACCTCGTCCCCTCACCTTCCTCACGAGCCTCACCTTCCTGTGAGTCAGTCAGCATACCTCGTCCCCTCACCTTCCTCACGAGCCTCACCTTCCTGTGAGTCAGTCAGCATACCTCGTCCCCTCACCTTCCTCACGAGCCTCACCTTCCTGTGAGTCAGTCAGCATACCTCGTCCCCTCACCTTCCTCACGAGCCTCACCTTCCTGTGAGTCAGTCAGCATACCTCGTCCCCTCACCTTCCTCACGAGCCTCACCTTCCTGTGAGTCAGTCAGCATACCTCGTCCCCTCACCTTCCTCACGAGCCTCACCTTCCTGTGAGTCAGTCAGCATACCTCGTCCCCTCACCTTCCTCACGAGCCTCACCTTCCTGTGAGTCAGTCAGCATACCTCGTCCCCTCACCTTCCTCACGAGCCTCACCTTCCTGTGAGTCAGTCAGCATACCTCGTCCCCTCACCTTCCTCACGAGCCTCACCTTCCTGTGAGTCAGTCAGCATACCTCGTCCCCTCACCTTCCTCACGAGCCTCACCTTCCTGTGAGTCAGTCAGCATACCTCGTCCCCTCACCTTCCTCACGAGCCTCACCTTCCTGTGAGTCAGTCAGCATACCTCGTCCCCTCACCTTCCTCACGAGCCTCACCTTCCTGTGAGTCAGTCAGCATACCTCGTCCCCTCACCTTCCTCACGAGCCTCACCTTCCTGTGAGTCAGTCAGCATACCTCGTCCCCTCACCTTCCTCACGAGCCTCACCTTCCTGTGAGTCAGTCAGCATACCTCGTCCCCTCACCTTCCTCACGAGCCTCACCTTCCTGTGAGTCAGTCAGCATACCTCGTCCCCTCACCTTCCTCACGAGCCTCACCTTCCTGTGAGTCAGTCAGCATACCTCGTCCCCTCACCTTCCTCACGAGCCTCACCTTCCTGTGAGTCAGTCAGCATACCTCGTCCCCTCACCTTCCTCACGAGCCTCACCTTCCTGTGAGTCAGTCAGCATACCTCGTCCCCTCACCTTCCTCACGAGCCTCACCTTCCTGTGAGTCAGTCAGCATACCTCGTCCCCTCACCTTCCTCACGAGCCTCACCTTCCTGTGAGTCAGTCAGCATACCTCGTCCCCTCACCTTCCTCACGAGCCTCACCTTCCTGTGAGTCAGTCAGCATACCTCGTCCCCTCACCTTCCTCACGAGCCTCACCTTCCTGTGAGTCAGTCAGCATACCTCGTCCCCTCCCTATAAGCACACTCACTTTCTTTCCTGTAAGTGCACAGCACGGACACCACCGAAGAGAGGTGTACGCCTCAATCCAACAGAGGAACAACATGAAGTGGTTTCCCACTGGTGCGGACATGCTCACGAGCCTCACCTTCCTGTGAGCACGCTTCCTGCCTATGAGCAAACCTCCTGCCTACAAGCAGCTGACCTTCTCGTTATAAGCAGCAGATGTCTTCCCATAAGCGCACTCACCCCCTCTACGTGCATTGCTGAGATGTCTCAAATGAGAAACAAACATCATGACGTGGATCCCAACGGGTGCTGACATGCTCACGTTCGAGATGACTCAAAAGTCTGCTCACCAGCCTCACCTTTCTTCCTGTAGCTCCTCCCCTCCTCCACTCCCCCCTGCTGTCTCTCCCCTTCGTATCGTGCCTTTTATGATTCTCCCACCTTCCCAACGCGCTATGCCCAAACTCTCTCCCCTCGCTCCCTCTTCATCTCTCCTCTCCCTTCTCAACCTTCCTCTCTCCACTCTTCCTTATCTCTCCTTCTCTCCCCCTCTCTCCTCCCCCTCCCTTTGCAGCGATCTGAGCAACAACAAGTTTGACGGGCAGATCCCTATGGACATCTTCCAGCTTCGGAACCTCGAAGTGCTGTGGGTCTCTGCTCCCTATGCTTGCTTGTCCTGCCCGCATCGTTGCTGTTCCCTCTCGCTTTGCGCCTTCTCTTCCCTGTCCCATCCACGCTCCTGCTTGCTTCTCCCTCCCTCGCCTTATGTGCTCTCTCAATGGCCTCGCCCTCCACACACAGGCCTTTGGGAAACTACCTGTTCAGGGAGTGTGCCTTTAAGACCTCCCAAAAGTCCTCCCTTTCTCCCTTTTCTCGAAATTGCCTCCCCTCGATGCCCCCACCTGCCTGACACAGGTCGTTGGAAAACAACCTGTTCACAGGGAGTGTGCCTCGCGCTCTCAGCAATCTTGTCCGCCTCAAGACGCTGTAAGCACAGTCATAGCATTTCTGAGTCGATTCAAAGTAGACACTGTAAGCAAGAGCCATCCAGACACTGTACGCACAAGCAGTTGCAGAATCTCTAACGAAGCCGCCTTTCAACAACAGCGCTTGCATCTTGTCTTACTTCCGGACTATCAGTAGGAGCTTCCATAGTTGCAGCGTGCACCCTATTTGCAAGTCAAGATAAAGAAGCACATTTTCATCTTTTCCCTCGCCTTTCACACCCCTTTTGGACTGCCCACATCCATGCACATGCAGCAATCTCGGGAAGAACGATTTCTACGGCCCGCTTCCCCAGTTCTTTGGGGCCATGCACGACCTGGTCAACCTGTGAGTAGGAACAAGCAATTCACCGTCTGTGACGTTGCGTGTGCCATTTCCATGTATGCTTCCTCCTAACACGGTTATTGAGATGTCTCAAAATGGCTGGGATGCTATGCTGTAGTAACCTAGCCTTTCCTCGCCTGCTTGGAATGTCTATGCTTCCCCTCCTCATCCCCTCACCCCTTAGCCTCACTCGCTCTGTACGCACCATCACCTTCCGCTCACATATCATGTTCGTCTGTCTGCTAATGGTTGCTCCTGTGTGCTGCATGCTGGCTCCCTGGCGTGGCTCTGGCGTTGCTCGTCTTGCTGCCTGGCTCGAATGGCATGGCCTGACATGGCATAATGGTGTGGTGTGGTGTGGTGGCAGGAAGATGGACCTCAATCGCTTCGAAGGCACCATCCCAGAAACCTATGCCATTCTCAGGAACCTCCGTCGCTTGTACGATCCCTGCGTGCACTCTAAGGGTTGTCGTTTTGTTTACTGTCTCTGTCTGTGTGTTTCCGTTTTTGTTTCATTGGGTTGTTTGTTTGTTTGTTTGTTGGTTTTTGGGAGGGAGAAGAAGAGTTGGGAGTAAGGGCGGGTATACCACCTCTCCTCTCCGTCCACACTTTGTCGTCAGCCATGCCACACCTGGTCTGGTCCTACACCTTTGTCCCCCCTCCCCACTCCTCCCTTCTCCAAAAATCATAAACTCTAATAAAACACACTCCTAAATTTCTCTTTCCTCTCGCTCCATCGCTCCCCCTCCCACCAGGGATCTGAGCTCCAACAAGAACCTCACTGGCCCTCTCCCCGGCTTCCTGGGCGAGCTCGGTCTGCCTTGCAGCTCTCCCTTCGCCTCTCTGTCACTTCCACCCCCCCCTCTCCGTCCCCGCATCTCTCCCCCTCTCTCCCCCTCCCACCAGGGGCCTGAGCTCCAATAAGAACCTCACCGGGCGGTTGCCCAGTCCAAGAAAAGCCCTCGTTTCACACATTCTTCCCCCTCTCTCCCTTTCTCCCTTGCTCCCCTTTCTCTCTCTCCCTCCCACCAGGGACCTGAGCTCCAACAAGAACCTCACCGGTCCTCTCCCCAGCTTCCTGGGCGAGCTTGGTCTGCTGCAGTCACTGTGAGTCAACGGAGTCAACGCTGCCTGGGTTTTTTGTGGTTGGGGGGGAGGGGGGAAGATTTTGAGCGAGTCAAAGCAGTCACGGTGCACACGTCTTATGAGCGGGAAGAGAGTGGAGAGGAGGAGGGGCGGAGATTCAATGCAGTCAATGGAGTCAAACAGCTGCTTCAAGGGCTCCACTCCCTCCCGCTTTCCCCGTCCACTTCGCCTCCGCTGTCTCTCTCTCCTTCCCGGCCCAACAGCTCTCTGGACGACTGCGACTTCACTGGTGGGCTCCTCGAGTCTCTTTCTCGTCTCCCCTACCTCGCGGAGCTCTTTCTTGAGCACAACCGCTTCGATGCCTCCATTCCCTCCTTCCCTGCCTTCCACCCTTCCTTCCATTTCCCCTCCCCCTGTCCCGCCCTCCCAAACAGCTCGCTGGACGATTGTGACTTCACCGGTGGGCTCCTCGAGTCCCTCTCTCGCCTGCCCTACCTCACGGAGCTATTCCTCGAGCACAACCGCTTTGAGGGAACCATTCCCGAGGCGTACGGGCACTTCCCGCGCATTGTGTCTCTCTACCTCAGCAACAACCGCCTCACGGGGGGGATCCCCGACAGCATGTGTGGGCTGGAAACGGCGGAGCTGCTGGTGCTGGAGAGGAACCAGCTCACTGGGCCCGTGCCGCCGTGCATGATGCAGCTGCAGGGGCTGCTCATTCTGTAAGTGCCTCTGCCTCTCCTCTCACTCATGGATGATCGAAGTTCTCTCTGTAGCTGAGCAACAACCGCCTCACGGGGGGGATTCCCGACAGCATGTGTGGGCTGGAGACTGCGGAGCTGCTGGTGCTGGAGAGCAACCAGCTCACTTGCTCTGTTCCCCCGTGCATGATGCAGCTGCAGGGGCTGCTCATCCTGTAAGTGCCTCCCACTCATGGATGACCTTGATTGCATCGTGTCGCTCTACCTCAGCAACAACCGCCTCACCGGGCGGATTCCCGAGAGCATGTGCGGTGCGGGCTGGAAACAGCAGAGCTGCTGGTGCTGGAGAGAAACGAGCTCACTGGGCCCGTGCCATCATGCATGCTGCAGCTGCAGGGGCTGCTCATCCTGTGAGTGCGTTGTGCCTTCTTGTGTGTTTGCCTCCTGTATCATGCATGTTGATACGTGCTCTGCCTTTTGAGTCGACTCAAAAGGGCTGCTCATCCTGTGAGTGCGTTGTGCCTTCTTGTGTGTTTGCCTCCTGTATCATGCATGTTGAAACGTGCTCTGCAGCAGACACGTCCCAACCCAACCGGCTGCTCACCACCCATGCAGTTTGCGTTTTGAGACGTCTCAAAACCTTTCCCTCCGTACTGTACCTAATCCCTGTCTTCCAAACCCCCTGTCCTTGCCCCACGCCACAGGGACTAGTCAGAGAACTACCTCACGGGCACACTTCCCAGAGTCCCTCTCGAGTCTCTCTCGGCACACCCCTCTTTCCAACACCACCCCCCACCTTCTCTCCCCCCTCATGCCGAGGGACGTGTCAGAGAACTACCTCACGGGCACACTTCCCAGAGTCCCTCCCGGCAGTTTGCGTGAAAGACACAGGCGGGAATCGTGGTCCCAAGCCGCTCTCTCCCAACCCCTCTCTCCCCAACCCCCCCTGTCCTTGCCCCATGCCACAGGGACGTGTCAGCGAACTACCTCTCGAGTCCCTCTCGGCACACCCCTCTTTCCAACACCCCCCCCCTCCTCTTTCCAACCCCCCCCCCCTCTTTCCAACACCCCCCCCCCCCTCCTCTTTCCAACCCCCCCCCCCCCCCCCCCCCCCCCTCTTTCCAACACCCCTCAGGGATGTGTTAGAGAACTACCTTACAGGCACACACACTTCCTCGAGTCCCTCTCGGCAGTTTGTGTGCAAGAGACAGGCGGAAATCTTGGTCCCAAACCGCTCTCTCCTAGCCCATCTTTCTCTCCCTAACCCCTCTTTCCACACCCCCCCACCTCTCCGCCTCCCCCCCCTTTCTCCTCCCCGACGCCACAGGGTCGTGTCAGAGAATTACCTCACGGGCACACTTCCCAGGGTCCCTCCCAGGAGGTAGTGTGCATACGACAGGCTTGAACCACTCTCTTCTAACCCCGCTTTCCACCACCCCGCCCCCTCCCCCCCCTCTCTCCTCCCCGACGCCACAGGGACGTGTCAGAGAATTACCTCACGGGCACACTTCCTAGACCCCTTCCGGGCTCACCCATGCAGTTTGTGTGAGTGACACAATCGAATTCTTTCCTTGTAATGCTTTGAGACGTCTCAAATCCGTTAGTGTCACAACCGCGATTTTTTCTCTAAGCATTGAGTTTCTTGCTCCAAACCTCAATCCCCATTGCTGGTTGCCTGGGTGATGTTTCTCTGTCTATGGGTGCCTGGGTTATGTTTTGAGGCGCGTGTAATGAGTCGAGTTTTGAGTCGACTCAAAACTTGCCTGGGTGATGTTTCTCTGTCTATGGGTGCCTGGGTTATGTTTTGAGGCGCCTCAAAACTAGACTTTGCTCCTCCATCTCTGGGTGCCGCCTGGGTTATGTTTCACCCACAGACAGAGTATTATGTGTATCTGTCTCTGCTCATAAATCCCTTGACTCAAACTCTGTTGCCTGCTGCTGCACGGCCTTTATGTCTCCCTCTCTTCCCTCCCCTCAGCTCCTATTTCTCATCACCCACCATGGGCCATCCCTCGAATTCTTCCTTTGAGTCGACTGAAAAGCCCTCCCCTCAGCTCCCATTTCGCATTACCCACCATGGGCCATCCCACGAATTCTTCCATCTCTTGAGTGATTGTTCCCAAAGAAAGTTTTGAGTCGACTCAAAACTAGGCTCCCTCTCTTCCCTCCCCTCAGCTCCCATTTCGCATTAACCATGGGCCATCCCACGAGTTCTTCCATCTCTTGAGTGATTGTTCCCTAAGAAACCCTACTCCCCACCGCCCACCCTCCCTGCCTCCCTGCAACCCCGACTCCCATCCCTCCCTACCTTCCCTGATTCTGTCCCCTTTCCCCAGCCACATGAACAACTGCTTTGATAACGTGCAAGACAACTCCCCGTCCTGCCCGGTAGCACAGCCGGGTGGGAGGGAAGCAACGAGCATATCCCCAACCTCCACTCCCTCCCCCCTTCCCTCCCTTGCCCCTTCCATCCCTCTTTCCCTCCCCCCCTCCCAGCCACTTGAACAACTGCTTTGATAACGTGGCTGACAACTCCCCGTCCTGCCCAGTAGCAGCACCGGGTGGGGGAGAGGAGCAGATAGGCGCCCCCCTGGACCAGCAAGGAGGCGGCCCCCCTGACCAGCAAGTGGGAAATCCCCTCGACCAGCAGCCGGGGGGGGATGTTAACCAGCAAGTGGGGGTCCCGATTGACCGGGAAGGAGGTGGGGTGGGGCAACCAGGAAGTGTCTTTTGAGTTGAGTCAACAATCATTCTTCCTTTCCTCCCTCCCTCCCTCCCTCCCCCCCTCCCAGCCACTTGAACAACTGCTTTGATAACGTGGAAGACAACTCCCCGTCCTGCCCGGTAGCAGCACCGGGTGGGGGGGAGGAGCAGATAGGCGCCCCCCTGGACCAGCAAGGAGGCGCCCCCCCTGACCAACAAACCGGAAACCCCCTTGACCAGCAGCCAGGGGGGGATGTTAACCAGCAAGTCGGAAATCCCCTCGACCAGCAGCAAGGGGGGGATGTCAATCAGCAAGTGGGGGTCCCGATTGACCGGGAAGGAGGCGGGTCTGTGAGCCAGAATGTGGGGGTTCCCCAGCAGCGACCGGGGGGTGGGAGCATCGAGCAGCAGGTGCCAGGAGGTGTGCCCGTGCCTGGCGCCAACACCCCGCCCTGCCCTGACAGTGAGTATTCTTAACACCACTGGTGACCCTAAACCCTGAATGTTAAACCCTAAACCAGCAAGTCGGGGTCCCGATTGACCGGGAAGGAGGTGGGTCTGTGAGTCAGAATGTGGGGGTTCCCCAGCAGCGACTGTGGGGTGGGAGCATTGAGCAGCAGGTGGGGGTGCCCATTGGTCAGCAGCTTCCAGGCGGCGTGCCCGTCACCCGTTCCTGGCGCCATCACAAGTGGCACGGCACAATATAGAGTTTTCCTGTTCGTTCTCTCACTTCTCCATTCCCAGTGGGCCCACTGGTGGCGCTGCAGGCAGCTCTGCACCAGTCCGACATGAGACCAGACCAGAGGGAGACCGCGCCAGTCCTCCCCCGTTTCCCTGCAGACGTGAGACCAGGAGACCCTGAAACAACCATCTGTTTTTCCTTCTCCCCCTTCGTTCCCACGTTCCCAGTGGGCCCACTGGTTGCGCTGCAGGCAGCACTGCGCATGGACCAGGGGTCAGCAGAGTGAGACCGTGAGATCCAGAACGGACCCACTGTAACCCAGTCTCCTCTTTCTGCTTCCTCTCCTTCTCCCTTTTCTCCACACGTTCCCAGTGGGCCAACTGGTGGCACTGCAGGCAGATCTGCCCATGGACTCCCCTCCCCATACGCCCTGCAGACGTGGGACCAGAGGGAGACCCTAAAAGGACAAACTTTCTCTATAATCACTTCCTCTTGCTGCTTTCTTCCGTTCTCTTTTCCCCCCATTCCTCACGTTCCCAGTGGGCCAACTGGTGGCGCTGCAGGCAGATCTGCGCCTGACCTCCCCCGTGTCCCTGCGGGCGTGAGACCAGAGGGAGACCCTTAAGGGACCAATTATTTTTCCGTCTCCCCCTTCTTTCCCATGTTCCCAGTGGGCCCACTGGTGGCACTGCAGGCAGCACTGCGAATGGACTCCCCAGACGCCCTCCAGACGTGGGACCAGGGGTCGGACCCCTGTGACGGCACATGGGAGACTGAAGTCATCTGCGACCCCATGACTGGCCACGTCATCCGCCTGTAAGAATCCCCAGAAGTTTCTTGCAAAATTATGAGTTTTCCAAGAAACGCACCAACAATACGGCTAGTAGGCGTGGGACCAGGGGTCGGACCCCTGTGACGGCACATGGGAGACTGAAGTCATCTGCGACCCCATGACTGGCCACGTCATCCGCCTGTGAGTCCGTGCCTAGGAAAATGCATCACAAACAGTTTTGAGATTCTAGAAGAAAGTCGCCTGCAGACATGGGACCAGAATCAGGCCCCTCTCATAGCACATGAGAGACTGAGCAGCCCGAGCACCTCATGCTTCCTTCCTCCCTTCCCGTTTACCCTGCCCTTTCCCGCCTCTTCCATCCCCATCTCCCTCGTTTGCTCTCCTTGTGCAGTGATCTCCGCCGGGCCAATCTGTCAGGAGCCATCCCTGCAGCAGAGCTGGCGCAGCTGAACCGACTCACATACCTGTGAGTATGAGTATAGTGATGCGTCGATGCATGTTATTGAGATGGCGCCCGAATCAAAGCATCTCTGCAGGCTGCAGCAACATCTCAAGTGCCTGAAAAAAGTTTCCGAGGCTGTGCATTGAGTGTTTCAAAGACGAGCACCCCTTCCCCCTACTCCCATTTCGATTTCGCCTTATGCGCTTGTCCTGCTTCCGGGTGCCACCCCATTCATTCCGCCTGGCTGCAGTGACCTCGGAGGCAATGAGTTCTCATCCTTCATCCAGCAGGATTTTCTGGAGAGACTCACGCGCCTGGAGCACCTGTAAGTATGATGCTTAGTGCGTGCATCACATGTAAGCCTCATACTCAACTAATGAACTGCTTAATGGGTGTGATGTTTAGTGCATAGGCACCTGGTTATTGCGTCGTATCCGTATGCTGCAAACTTTCAAACTATGCTCTGACCACCAGGCTTTCATTTGCTGCCTCTTCTCCCCCCCCCGTCCCGCCCCCCTCCTTCAATCGGCTGCTACTAGGCTGCTGCCTCTGCTTTCCTTCCCCCATTCCACACGTCACTTCCCACGTGACTGGCCCTCTCCTTCTCCACTCTTCCCCCTTCATCTCCTTCCCCAGCTCCCTGGCAGAAAATCAGCTGTAGTGGTTCCAACCTTCATTAAAGCTCTCCTCTCATTACCTTGTTGTTCGTTCGCCATTTCCCAACCCTGCCCTCCCCTTTCCCTTTCCTCCCCTCTTCAGCTCCCTGGCAGACAATCAGCTGCAGTGGTTCCCAACCTTCATCAATGCCCTCACCCGGCTCACATCGCTGTAAGTCCGCTCACTCGCACACTTTGCTTTTCTCCTTCCGTTCGCTTTCACTTTAACTAAGAAATACATTTAGCATTTAGGTTGCTGTTTTCTGCTCTGAAAATTCCGTCCACACATAACCCTTCTCCTCTCTGCCTCACACCTGTTCCCGTCCGTTCCACCCACCCACTTACCCCTTTTCTCCCTCCGTCTTTCCAGTGATCTGAGCACCAATCAGTTGACGGGCGACTTTCCCGAGGACGTGCTTGTCATGCCCAACCTGCTGCACCTGTGAGTGTTTCTCTATCAGTGAGGGTGGGGGAGTCAGTGAGTGCCCTGTACCAGGAATTCTCAGCAATCCCTTGCCTTGTATTTCCCCCTCGATTTCCTCCCTACCTCCCATACACAGCAAGCGGGAGGAGACGTTTGAGTCGACTCAAAGTTATCCCTTGTATTTCCCCGTCTATATCCTCCCTCCCTCCCATACACAGCAAGCTGGAGGAGAATCACTTCTCTGGCAGCGTTCCTGATACCATCACAGCCCTGAGCAAGCTCCGATCCATGTCAGTATCATTCATTCGTTTAATGGATGCTCACAGTTCAGTTCATGGATGTATCACGTATGTATGTATGTCATGTCAGTCATTCAGCGCTATGAGTCTGTCTGTACAGCCAGCCATGTGCCTGTTACGATGGCTGCCAGTCAGCTGACAGCTCCCGATCCCACACACACGTGAACAGTGAAAGTGTGTGCGTGTCGATCTGCAATCCCTTCCCCTCCCTCTCCACCTCCCCCTTGCTGATCCCAGCTGCCGCTCGTTTTCATCCGTCCCTGCAGCACCCTCGCCAAAAACAGCTTTTACATGTCTTCTGTCTGAATCCATTCTTTTTGAAGCGCCTCAGAAACAGACTCGATTCCCCGACCCTCTCCTTCCGTCCCTGTTGTCTGTCCCTGCAGCACCCTGGCCAGCAACAACTTCACGGGCCTTCTGCCTGAGTCGTTTGCGCAGCTCACGTCGCTGCAGGCCATGTGAGTGGCGTGGCACACGAGAGAAAATAGCAGCCTAGCGTGCTCGAATCTGAACTCTCAGTAGTCGCTCGCTAGTGCATCTCACGTCCCTGCAGGCCCCTTGAGCGGAGGAGCCCTTTGATGCACCCACAAAGTCCCTCCCCCTGCCCCCCCCTTTTTTTTTCCACCTCGTGGCAGAACGCGATCACTGCCTGCCCCCTCTCCCCATTCTCAATCAACTCTCGCATTCATTGTTCTCCATGCCCTTCTCCTCTTACTTTCCCTTCCCCTTTCACACCCAGCTTTGAGATGTCTCATCTCAAAGCCCCCTCTCCCCATTCTCAATCACCACTCGCATTCATTGTTCTCCATGCCCTTCTCCTCTTTCTTTCCCGTCCCCTTCCTCACCCAGTTTTGAGACGTCTCAAAGCCCCCTCTACCCATTCTCAAAACTCGCATCCATTGTTGTTCTCCACGCCCTTCTCCTCTTTCTTTCCCTCCCCTCTTCCTCCCCCACACCCCTGTCTGCAGCAACCTTGCAGGCAATCAGTTCGCCGGCCCTCTGCCCGCAAGCTATGCTGGTCTCACCAACATGGTCTTCTTGTGAGTGCTGGGCGGTGTTCTTGGGAGTGCTGGGCGGTGTTCTTGTGAGTGCTGGGCGGTGTTCTTGTGAGTGCTGGAGGGTCTTCTTGTGAGTGCTGGAGGGTCTTCTTGTGAGTGCTGGAGGGTCTTCTTGTGAGTGCTGGAGGGTCTTCTTGTGAGTGCTGGAGGGTCTTCTTGTGAGTGCTGACAGTGGACTTATGGGCTTATTAGAGCGTGCTAGATGTGTGTATAGTAGTGGTGGTGATAGATTGGTCAGCTGAGCTGATTTCAATTCAAGTGGCAGCACATGCTCTAGAGGGGGGCATTAAATGTTTACTCGAGTTTACTCACTTCCCCTCCCTCCCCTCTCCCCCCTCCCCTCTCCCCCCTCCCCTCTCCCCTCTCCCCTCCTTCTCCCCTCCTTCTCACCTCCCCTCTCCCGCCCATTCTCCTCTCCTGGCAGCAAGGTGGCCACAAACGCTCTCGAGGGGGGCATTCCGGACTGGCTGGGCTCGTGGCCACGTCTCAACCACCTGTGAGTGCCCATGGTCTATGTATATGCGACACCAGTCTCACTATTACTGAGAATTCTCAATGATACCCTGGGATGCTACACCATTTTAAACCACTTTCTCTTTCCCGAAACCCACTCTTCCACCCTCTCCCCTCCCTCCCCACCCCACCCCTCCCCTCCCATTCCTTCCCCCCACAACCCCGCTCTCCTGTCTCTCGTTCTCTTCGAATCCACACAGGTCGTTGTTCCACAACAGGTTCACGCGACCCATCCCCGCCTCTCTTGGCAATGCCAAGAACCTTGCTACCCTGTCCAAATCACCTTCTCTTCCCTCCCCCCTTCACCCCAACAACCCCCCCTCCCTCCACTCCGCTCCTATATCCACACAGGTCGCTGTTCCACAACAGGTTCACGGGACCCATTCCCGACACTCTTGGCAACGCCAAGAACCTCGCCACCCTGTGCGTTTCTCCCTTCCTCACTCTCTAAGTTGGCTTTTGAGTCGACAACTCTCTTGGCAATGCCAAAAACCTCGCCACTCTGTGCGTTTCTCCCTTCCTCACTCTCTAAGTTGGCTTTTGAGTCGACAACTCTCTTGGCAATGCCAAGAACCTCGCCACTCTGTGCGTTTCTCCCTTCCTCACTCTCTAAGTTGGCTTTTGAGTCGACAACTCTCTTGGCAATGCCAAGAACCTCGCCACTCTGTGCGTTTCTCCCTCCTCACTTTCTCGGTCTCCAATTTGAGACTCTTGATGACGAAAAGTTTCAAGTTTTGAGGCACCCTTAGCATACCTCCCATGGAACTGATTGCTCCCCACGTGCGCTCTTTCGTATTTGTGTGGTTTCTCCCCCGTCCCTCTGTTCATGATTTCACTTCTCACTCCAACCAACCCCACTCTCCGTCTCGACCCACTCTCTCTTCCTCAAGCCCTCACCCTCTCTCTGCGGGGTGCTGGATGAAAATCTTATGACTGGGTCCACCCTCCCTGACACCCTCAGCTCAATTTGTGAAATTTCTCAAAGTCCGTCTCAACCCTATTATCCGTCTCCACCCACTCTCTCCTCCTCAAACCCTCACCCTCTCTCTGCCTGCAGGGTGCTGGATGAGAATCGTTTGACCGGGTCCCTGCCTGACGCCTTCAGCGCGCTCACCAATCTGGAGGCATTGTACGTACATGTCTCATGCGCACATGCACACACATGCACATGTGTGCACTTACAAATTCATGCATGCACACAAGATACACCTGACGCGGCCTCGGCTCGCTCATCAATCTGGAGGCATTGTACGCACATGGCTCATGGGCACATGCACATTCGCGCACACGCACTTTGATTTCCCCTTTCTCTCTCTGCGCTCACCTCTTACTCTCTCTCTCCCCCTCTCTCTCCTGTCTCGCCATCACACAGCTACGCTGTGGTGGGCAATCAGCTGGACGGCACCATTCCTGACTCCCACTCCTCCACTTGCCCCTCCTTTTCTCTTCTCACTCTCACCTCCCCTCCGTCTCCTCGCTTCATGCCTCCCCACCACGCAGTTACGCTGTGGGCAATCAGCTGGACGGCACCATTCTAGACTCCTACTCCTTCGATTTTCCCACTCTTAATCTTCCCGCTCTCACCTCTCCTTCCTTTTTTCTCCCCTTTCTCATCTCGCCACCACGCAGTTACGCTGTGGGTAATCAGCTGGAGGGCACCGTTCCTGACTCTTACTCCAACCTGCAGAAGCTGCGATACATGTGAGTGCGATGACTGATAGATGCGAGATGATGGGGGTATGTGCGATGAGGGATGTGTGCATGCGAGATGATGAATGGGTGCATGTGAGATGATGAATGGGTGCATGTGAGATGATGAATGGGTGCATGCGAGATGATGAATGGGTGCATGTGAGATGATGAATGGGTGCATGTGAGATGATGAATGGGTGCATGTGAGATGATGAATGGGTGCATGTGAGATGATGAATGGGTGCATGTGGGTAATCAGCTGGACGGCACCATTCCCGCCTCCTACTCCAACCTGCAGAAGCTGCGATACATGTGAGTGGGATGATGCATGTGCGCATGTGCTGTTATGGATGTGCGCTTGTGGGATGATGCATGCTACGCTGTGGGCAATCAGTTGGCTGGAGGGCACCATTCCTGACTCCTACTCCAGCCTGCAGAAGCTGCAATACATGTGAGTAATGCGATGATGGTTGGATGCGTGCATGTGAGATGATGGATGGGTGCATGTGAGATGATGGATGGGTGCATGTGAGATGATGGATGCGTGCATGTGAGATGATGGATGGGTGCATGTGAGATGATGGATGGGTGCATGTGAGATGATGGATGCGTGCATGTGAGATGATGGATGGGTGCATGTGAGATGATGGATGTGTGCATGTGAGATGATGGATGTGTGCATGTGAGATGATGGATGTGTGCATGTGAGATGATGGATGGGTGCATGTGAGATGATGGATGTGTGCATGTGAGATGATGGATGTGTGCATGTGAGATGATGGATGTGTGCATGTGAGATGATGGATGTGTGCATGTGAGATGATGGATGTGTGCATGTGAGAGGATGGATGTGTGCATGTGAGATGATGGATGCGTGCATGTGAGATGATGGATGCGTGCATATGAGATGATGGATGTGTGCATGTGAGATGATGGATGCGTGCATGTGAGATGATGGATGGGTGCATGTGAGATGATGGATGGGTGCATGTGAGATGATGGATGCAATGTGACATAATGATTGCTTGTAGTGATGAAAGATACCCTGCTGCTCCCCTATCACCCTGCCTGCTCCACCCTCCCACGCCCACGTCCCACCCGGCCAATGCCACTCTCAGGCCCATTTGGCCAATCCCCCAAATCGCCAATGCCTCATCTCACTTTGTCCTCCTTTGCATCGTGTGTATTCCTCTGCTGCTGTGCAGCGATCTGAGCTTCAACACCAAGATCACGGGCGCCCTGCCCGAGTTCCTGAGCGGCATTCAGTCTCTCGAGTCAATGTGAGTCAATGGGAGTCAATGTGAGTCAATGTGATTGAGTGAATGTGAGACAATAGCGATCTGAGCTTCAACACCAAGATCACCGGTGCCCTGCCCGAGTTCCTGAGTGGCATTCAGTCCCTTGAGTCAATGTGAGTCATTGGGAGTCAATGGAGTCAGCAAGAGTCAATGTGAGGCAATGAGATTCACGGAGTATGAGAGTGAATGTGAATCACTGTGTTTCAACGGGTCGATGCGAGTCAGTGAGGCTTCAGAGAATCCCTATGTCAACTCAAAAGTTCCATTCTGTCCCCAAATCACTACCCCCGTTCTTTTCTTCCCATGGGCGAATTGACTAAAAATTCTCTTCCTTCTCCCACACTCTCTTCCTTCCAGTGCATTTAAGGAGTGCGATTTCACAGGATCCCTACCAGTGGGCTATGCCAAGCCAAGCCGCCTTTTGAATCGACTCAAGAGTCCCGTCCTGCCCCCACCCCCTTCCAGTGCTTTCGAGGATTTTAATTTAAGGGGTCCCTCCCTGTGGGCTATGCCAAGGTTCCCTTTGAGTCGGCTCAGAAGTCCTGTTTTCCTGCCCCCACACCCACTCCCACTTCCATTCTTTCTTCCAGTGCTTTCGAGGAGTGCGATTTCACAGGGTCCCTCCCTGTTGGCTATGCCAAGCTGCCTGCACTCGCAGAGCTTTACCTCGACCGCAACAACCTGGAAGGTTCCATCCCGGGCCTGTACGGCGACATGCCGAACCTGGCCACGCTCTACCTCAGCAGCAACCGGCTGTCCGGGGAGATTCCAGGAAGCTTCTGCCGGCTGGGGAAGGCCAAGACGATTGTGCTGGCGCGGAACGAGCTGAGGGGGGCCATTCCGGATTGCATTATCAGCAACCTCAAGGAGCTGCGCCTGCTGTGAGTCACTACGCTATGCCTATGGCGCGCCGTGTGTGTGTGCGTGCTGAGGGGGACCATTCCGAATTGCATCATCAGCAACCTCAAGGAGCTGCGCCTGCTCTGAGTGGACTCTATTTTCCTGGTATGGGTGAGTGAGATCCGTGTCTTTGTCCGCTGGCACGGAACGAGCTGAGGGGGGCCATTTCGGATTGCATGATCAGCAACCTCAAGGAGCTGCGCCTTCTGTGAGTGACTATGCTATGCCTATGGCGCGCTGTGTGTGTGTGCGTGCTTGTGTGCGTGCTGAGGGATGGCATTCCGGATTGCATCATCAGCAACTTGAAGGAGCTGCGCCTGCTGCGAGTGACTTTTTGAGAATTCTCAAGAGCTGCTCTGTGCCTGCTGTGAGTGAGTGAGGTCTGTCTCCTTGCCTGCTGGCACAGAACGAGCTAAGGGGGAGCATTCCGGATTGCATTATCAGCAACCTCAAGGAGCTGCGCCTGCTGTGAGTGAAATTTGCATGCAGGGGATCAATTTGTCTGACGTTGTTATGGTGTGTGTGTGCATACGTGCGTGAGCGAATGAGTGAGTGCGCCTGTCATGTCACCTAGCAGGCTCTTGTTGAGTCGACCCCCCCCTGCTCTTCCCGGCTCCCCTCCCCTCCCCACCTCCCCCTCTCTCTCCTACAGTGACCTCTCTACCTCACCGGCCCTGTGCCTGTAGCTCCGGCGGGCTCTTAGAGTCAGCTCCTAACCCCCATTCTCCTCTGTTCCCCCCGTGTCCCCCCTCCCCGCTCCCCTCTCCCCGCTCCCCTCTCCCCGCTCCCCGCTCCCCGCTCCCCTCTCCCCTCTCCCCTCTCCCCTCTCCCCGCTCCCCGCTCCCCTCTCCCCTCTCCCCGCTCCCCTCTCCCCTCTCCCCGCTCCCCTCTCCCCGCTCCCCTCTCCCCGCTCCCCTCTCCCCGCTCCCCTCTCCCCGCTCCCCTCTCCCCGCTCCCCTCTCCCCGCTCCCCGCTCCCCGCTCCCCTCTCCCCTCTCCCCGCTCCCCGCTCCCCTCTCCCCGCTCCCCTCTCCCCTCTCCCCTCTCCCCTCTCCCCGCTCCCCTCTCCCCTCTCCCCTCTCCCCTCTCCCCTCTCCCCTCTCCCCTCTCCCCTCTCCCCTCTCCCCTCTCCCCGCTCCCCTCTCCCCTCTCCCCTCTCCCCTCTCCCCGCTCCCCTCTCCCCTCTCCCCTCTCCCCTCTCCCCTCTCCCCTCTCCCCGCTCCCCTCTCCCCTCTCCTCTCTCCCCTCTCCCCTCTCCCCGCTCCCCTCTCCCCTCTCCCCTCTCCCCTCTCCCCGCTCCCCTCTCCCCTCTCCCCTCTCCCCTCTCCCCTCTCCCCTCTCCCCGCTCCCCGCTCCCCTCTCCCCTCTCCCCGCTCCCCTCTCCCCTCTCCCCTCTCCCCCCTCCCCTCTCCCCTCTCCCCTCTCCCCGCTCCCCTCTCCCCTCTCCCCTCTCCCCTCTCCCCTCTCCCCTCTCCCCGCTCCCCTCTCCCCTCTCCCCGCTCCCCTCTCCCCGCTCCCCTCTCCCCTCTCCCCTCTCCCCTCTCCCCGCTCCCCTCTCCCCTCTCCCCTCTCCCCTCTCCCCGCTCCCCTCTCCCCTCTCCCCTCTCCCCTCTCCCCTCTCCCCCCTCCCCTCTCCCCTCTCCCCTCTCCCCGCTCCCCTCTCCCCTCTCCCCTCTCCCCGCTCCCCTCTCCCCTCTCCCCGCTCCCCTCTCCCCTCTCCCCTCTCCCCTCTCCCCGCTCCCCGCTCCCCTCTCCCCTCTCCCCTCTCCCCTTCCAACCAGAGACGTCTCTGACAACTACCTCACTGGTCCAGTGCCTGCCGTCCCAGCGGGCTCTTGTTGACCCGACCCCCCCCCCCCCCCCTCCACCTCTCCTCCCCCCTCCCCCAGAGACGTCTCGGACAACTACCTCACTGGTCCAGTGCCTGCCGTCCCAGCGGGCGGCCCTCTGCAGTTCGAGTAAGCGTTTCCCGCCCCCATGCCACGTGCTCGCTTATTAATGACCGCCATTCTGTAGACGGTGTGATTTTTCCGTCTTTTTAAGCAACTGTCTGGCGACATCAGAGGGCGCGCAGAGGAACCCCTGCCGGCCCCTCCTCGCCCGTGCCCACTATGCACCCTCCTGCTTCCATTCCGCTGCCTCCCATCCTAACCACCACCCCTCTCCCCATCCAAACCACCCCTCCTGCCTCTTATCCTAACCACCTCTCTCCCCACCTGCCCCCTGTGTCGCCCATGTCTGTCCTGTCCTCAGCTTCTCGAGCAACTGCCTGGAGACATCAGAGGGCGCGCAGAGAAACCCCTGCCCGTCCTCGCCCGTGGCCCCCACCACACAACCTCCTGTTGTAACCAGCCCCTCTCTTCACCTGCCCCCCCCCCCCCCCTGTCCCCCCTGTCCTCAGCTTCTCGAGCAACTGCCTGGAGACATCAGAGGGCGCGCAGAGAAACCCCTGCCCGTCCTCGCCCGTGCCCCCCACCACACAACCTCCTGTTGTAACCAGCCCCTCTCTTCACCTGCCCCCCCCCCCCCCCTGTCCCCCCTGTCCTCAGCTTCTCGACCAACTGCCTGGAGACATCAGAGGGCGCGCAGAGAAACCCCTGCCCGTCCTCGCCCGTCCCACAATACAGCCTTCCATCCTAACCACCCCCTCTCCCCACCTGCCCCCCATGTCCCCCCTGTCCTCAGCTTCTCGACCAACTGCCTGGAGACATCAGAGGGCGCCCAGAGGAACCCCTGCCCCTCCTCGCCCGTCGCCCCCACGCAGCCTCCTCCCAATGAAGCAGCTCCCAGGCAGCCGGGAGGCTCAGAGCCCTCCCCTGCTGAGACCACTGTCGACCCCTCCGCCTCCTCCGCCCTGCCCTCACCCGACGGTGAGTGCCGACCCCTCTGCCTCCTCTGCCCTGCCCTCACCCGACGGTGAGTGCCAGGGGTTAGATGTTGCACTGATGGAGATGCTGGCGGGGCTGAGGGCAGCAGCAGGGATGGACGTGCTGCCCATCTCTCTCCCTGCCTTCCTCTCCTCTTCTCCTCACCATTCCCCTTCCTCATCCTTACTGAACTCCCTTCTTTGCTATCCCACCACCAGCTGTTGCGCTGATGGAGATGCTGGCAGGGCTGAGGGCAGCAGCAGGGACAGATGTGCTTCTCTCTCTCTCGCTTTCTCTCATGTTCTCCTCCGCCCCTTCGCCTGTTCTTCCCACCGTCTCCCAGCTGTTGCACTGATGGAGATGCTGGCAGGGCTGAGGGCAGCAGCAGGGACGGACGTGCTGCCCTCGTGGACGCAAGACTCTGTCCCCTGTGATGGCTCCTGGGCCACGTCCATCAAGTGCGACAACCGCACCCCTTCCTTCCCCTCCCCCTCCCTTTTCCCAGCTGTTGCACTCATGGAGATGCTCGCAGGCCTGCGAGCAGCAGCAGGGACGGACGTGCTGCCCTCGTGGACGCAAGACTCTGACCCCTGTGATGGCTCCTGGGCCACGTCCATCAAGTGCGACAACCGCACCCGCCAAGTCGTGCACCTGTGAGTTACTCACCCCGTGTACAGTCTCTGTGTATACGCGTAAGTACCACGGGCACCCCTGTGATGGCTCCTGGGCCACGTCCATCAAGTGTGACAACCGCACACGCCAAGTCGTGCACCTGTGAGTCACTGAAACTGCTGATGCCACTGTGGACATAGATGCACATGTGTACCCCTGCTGTTGCTCCTGTCCTGGGCTACATCCATCAAGTGTGACAACCGCACCCGCCAAGTCGTGCACCTGTGAGTTACTCACGCCGTGGTATACAGTATACACGTACGTACTGCAGGCGCTCTTGTGATGGCTCCTGGGCGACCTCCATCAAGTGTGACAACCGCACGCGTCAAGTCGTGCATCTGTGAGTCACTCACTCCACGATAACCGTCCTGTAGCGTCACACATATATAGAAATGTATGCGATATTGGTGTAGCGTGTGTGCACCCCTGTGACGGCTCCTGGGCCACGTTCATCAAGTGTGACAACCGCACGCGCTTACACATTAAGCACCGTGGCGAATCGCGGTTTGGTCCGGTTGGATTCTGGTTCGTTCGATTCAGGTTGGTCGCAAACTGGTTCGAACAGAAGAGCAGAAAGAAGGAACCAGTTTGGTTGGTACTATGCTTCATGTCTGTGTCTCACTCTCTCCTCCCCTCTCTTCTCCCTTTGTTTCCAGTGATCTGCGTCGTGCCGACCTTGTGGGGGACGTTCCTTGCTTCGGTCTCTCCCAGCTGAACGCCCTTACATACCTGTGAGCACCACCGGACCCCACCGCACTGCACTGCAACGTTCTCACATACCTGTGAGCACCACCATACCCCAATGCAATGCACCTCAACGCTCTCAACCCTGCTCCCTCGTCTCCTGCCTGCCTGCCCGCTGCTCTGCTCCTACTTGATCGCAGCACCCTGCCCTCTACTGCTACAAGCCTACAACCCGTGACTGCTCCTTGATCCTCCTGCTGCTATCGCAGATTCACAGTTTTCACAATAGTCTTTCTCCCTCAGCTCATTTGTCTCGTCTGCCCATCGCAACCCCTCTCAGCCCCTCACGCTCTCTCCCTCCCCTCTCTGCAGCCCTACCAGCGATCTGGGTTCCAACACTGTTTCCTTCCTTTGCTTCTGGCCTTGGCCTGCCCCCCTCCGTTCTGCTCCACCAGTGACCTTGGCTCCAACAATTTCACCTTCTTCCGCCAGGCACCGTCTGCCTTCAGAATTTTGAGATGCTCATACCACCAACACTAACCTCGGACTTGGCCCCTCTTCCCCCGACCCCTCTTCCCTTCCCACCTTGCTCTTCCCCCCTCCGTTCTGCCCCACCAGTGACCTTGGCTCCAACAATTTCACCTTCTTCCGCCAGGCACCCTTCTGCCAGCAGATGACCAACCTGCAGCATGTGTAAGCCAGCCACTATGTGACGTTACATGGCATGGCATGATGTGGTGGCGTGCCGTGTTTTGAAACGCTTTTTTAGACCTTCTTCCGCCAGGCACCCTTCTGCCAGCAGATGACCAACCTGCAGCATGTGTAAGCCATCCCATGACATGGTGTGATGTGACGTGACATGAAATGACATGACATGATGCAACATGACATGACAGCATGCCGACATGACATGACACGACAGGACAGGACATGAATCACAATACAGCTTGAAGTGAACCGTGTGCCAATCATTCACCTCCCTGTATGCCATTCATTCCCTTTCTATTTGTGAGGCGCCCAAAAAATAGGCATGAGTCACAATAGAGCGTGAAGTGAACCGTGTGCCAATCATTCACCTCCCTGTATGCCATTTATTCCCTTTCTATTTGTGAGGCGCCTAAAAAATAGGCATGAGTCACAATACAGCGTGAAGTGAACCGTGTGCCAATCATTCCCCTCTCCATATGCCATTCATTCCCTTTCCTCCCCGTGCTGCCCCCTCAGTTCGCTGGCAGAGAATCAGCTCAAGTACTGGCCTGAAACTGTTGTTGGTTACTGGCCTCAGCTCACATTCCTGTAAGTCACAATCCAGTACGATCTATAATCAAACGTGATGGTGTATTCAGCTGCCGCAGAGATAGCCTGCCAATCGCATTCCGCAGGCTAACAGATGGCAGCTCGTGAAGGATTCCCTTCATCACGGGCACCTCGTGCAGTCTGTCTGTTGTTGTCTACGCCTCTCTGCTCTCTCTTCTAGTTTACCGCTGTCCCCCCCCCAAAAAATAAAAATAAAAAAAAACGCATCACCGTCACATTTCTCTTACATAATGTGCTACGTGCACTCGGCATGGCATGCATGGCAATGAATGAATGAATGAGCAGGAGCCTGGCGGCCAACCTCCTCGCTGGCCCCATTCCAGAGGACATCGGCGACCAGCTCTCCACCACGCTCGTGCACCTGTGAGTGGGTCTTCCGCTCTTTTTTTTTAGACGTCTCAAAGGCCCTCAGCACCACCCTCCAAGGGTTTCTGAGTGGACTCAAGAGTCACTCCGTTCCACCAGAGGACATCGGTGACCAGCTCTCCACCACCCTCGTGCACCTGTGAGTGGGTTATCAGGTCAGGTCTTTTAGAGAGCTCCTTCTGAGGTTGCGGGGCTCCAACGCAGAGAAAACGGTGCTCCTCATATGGTGCTCAATGGCTGGCTCTCTCTCTTGCCCCTCTCCCCACCCCTCCATCTTTCTTCTTCCCTTCCTCCCCTTTACCCCCCCTTTTCCCTCCCTGCAGCGATCTCATGGGAAACTATTTCAACGGCACTGTGCCCAGCTCTCTCGCCCCCTCTCCATCTTTCACCCTCCCCATTCCTTCCTCACCGCAGCGACCTCATGGGCAACTATTTCAACGGCACGGTGCCCAGCTCGATTTCCACCTTGCAGAAGCTCAGATACATGTATGTGTGGCTGCTTGGTTGGTGTATCATTGGTTGGTGGGGTGGTGTGGTGGGGTGGCATGGTGAGGTGGCATGGTGAGGTGGCATGGTGAGGTGGCGTGGTGGGGTGGCATATCTGGGTGATGACCCATGGTATCTCACTTTCGTCGTCCTTTCCTTCTCTTTCCTCCCTTTCAAATGGTCCCTCCTCCCAGTTTCCCTCCCATATACCAATTTGGGTTTCAACTCCAACCTCACATTCCCTGCTCTGTTGTTGCATTACATTTTTCCTCTTGACTGCCGATCCCTGGGACCTCAGGTTTGCCGTTCCTCATCTCCCTACCTAGGGTTGAGCAAAAAAGCGAACACCTGTTCGGTTCACCTCGAACACGTTCGAGGCGAACCGAACAGGTTTGTTTTTTTTGCTTAAAGTGTTCGCCAAACAGTGTTCGAGGTTCGCCCGAACACGCCTTCACAGGCGAACGGCGAACACCTGTTTTTGCTTAAAGTGTTCGCCAAACCGAACAGTGTTCGCCAAACCGAACAGTGTTCGGTTCGGCAAATGCCTGTGTTCGTGTAGGGGCGAACGCGAACATGTTCATGTTCGCCCCTTGCTCATCCCTATCCCTACCTTCCCCACTCCCCTTCCCCCTTGTCTCTCCTTCCCATCCCATGCAGCGATCTGAGTTTCAACTCCAACCTCACCGGCCCAGTCCCAGAAGCGCTTTCTCGCATCGAGTTCACGTTTGAGTCGACTCAAAAGAACGGGCGCCTATATGATACTCCTCTCCTCCTCTCCCTCTCTCCCTCCCTTTCAGCGATCTAAGCTTCAACTCCAACCTCACCGGCCCTGTTCTAGAGGCACTCGCGTTGCTTCTCTCCCTCACGGCTCACGATCCCTGGGAGACCTCACATTTGTCATCCTTGCTTCCTCTTCTCCCCTCTCCCTCACCCTCCCACACAGCGATCTGAGTTTCAACTCCAACCTCACCGGCCCTGTCCCAGAGGCACTCGCTAAAATCAATACCCTCCGAACCATGTGAGCAAACTTAACTCAACAACGTGCCTTGGAATCTCCTTTAAGCATAGTATATTGTAGGAACTGGTTTTGCAGTACCTCTCAATTCCTCCCCTCTCAAGCACGTTTCCCCTGTTTCCATCATCTCAAACCCAACCATCTCAGCTCGTCTGTGCTGAAATTTTAGCCACTGACACAACATTGACCTGGAGGCGTGCAGCGCCACAAGTGCTATTCGCGCACGCAATTCCTGTCAAGCCCCTGGACCTCGGATGTCCCCTCATCCCCTTGCTCCCCTACCCCTTCAAACCCCAGTAATTTGGAAAGCTCCAGCTTCACGGGGGTGCTCCCCAAGAGCTATTCCAGGCTGCCCCTCCTGGCGAGCCTCTAAACACCCCACCCACTAGCGCTACTGCCCCTGCTCTTACCACTCTTCCCGCACTGCACAAGAACGGGCTGGACGGTGCCATCTCCGCCTCCTACGGCTACATCCCCAGCCCGTCTCCTCCACTCAACCCTCCTCTCAGGGCACAACCCGCTGCAACCAACACCGTTTCTCCCCGTCCCTCCCTCCTCCCCCCACCCCCCCCCCCCCCCCGCCCTCCCCCTCCCCTGCTCCAAACCCCAGCAACTTGGAAGGCTGCAGCTTCACAGGTGTTCTCCCCGAAAGCTACTCCCGGCTGCCCTTCCTGGCGAGCCTGTATCTCGACAAGAACGGGCTGGACGGCGCCATCCCCGCCTCCTACGGCTACATCCCCAGCCTCGTGAACCTCTATCTCAGCAACAACGATCTCTCAGGGCACATTCCGGAGAGCCTGTGCCGGCTTCAGAAGGCCGAGGCGATCGTGCTAGAGAGGAACTCTATAGGGGGGATGATCCCCGCGTGCCTCGTCACCATGGAAAACCTCCTCATCCTGTGAGTGCTGCGGGTACTGTGTACGGATGTGGTAACATGGTATGGTAACATGTGTCTGCTGTTAACTGGAGTGCCTCGTCACCATGGAAAACCTCCTCATCCTGTGAGTGCTGCGGTTACTGTGTACGGATGTGGTAACATGGTATGGTAACATGTGTCTGCTGTTAACTGGAGTGCCTCGTCACCATGGAAAACCTCCTCATCCTGTGAGTGACTTCGACTGGCTGACTGACTGGATAATTGTTGGTGTGCTTTAAAGCAGCTTGCAGGAGCTCAATAGGGGGGGACGATCCCTCCCCGTGTGCGTCGTTACCACGGAAAACCTCCTCATCCTGTGAGTGACTGGACTGACTGATTGGTTGATTTGATTGGTGTGCGACATGGGCTTTAAGGTGGCTTGCAAGAGCTCAAGGGGAACTCAACAGCAGGGAAGTTCAGGTAATATGGGAGGGTATGGGAGGAGACTGCACTGCACCGCACTGCACTGCACTGCACCGCACTGCACTGCACTGCACTGCAAGCACCAACGTGTGATAAGTCGATCGTTGAGTCGACTAAAAAATCAACTTATCACACTCAGGTGATACGGGAGGAGATGGGAGGAGAGACTGCACTGCACTGCACTGCACTGCACTGCACTGCAAGCAATTAGAGTATTTTTGAGAATTCTCAAAATTACTCTGCAACACTCAGGTGATCCGGGAGGAGATGGGAGGAGAGACTGCACTGCACTGCACTGCAAGCACCAAACCAAGAAGCATACACGAACTGACCTCCTCTGCCTTCTATCCGTCCCTCTCTCCGCCCTCCCTCCTCTCAACCCCCCCGCCTCTGCACCACCCCACAGCGACGTGACAGGCAACTATCTCAAGGGCCCCATCCCCAAGGTGGAAGCAGGCTCCATCCTTCAGTTCCTGTAAGCCACTCTGTTTCTAGACCTATAGAGTTCCTCTTGCTGACCTTTGAGTCGACTCAAAAGTCACCTCAAGGCCCCCATCCCCAAGGTGGAAGCAGGCTCCATCCTTCAATTCCTGTAAGCCACTCTGTGTTTTAGAATCCCTCCTGAACTTCCCTGCTGTTGAGTTCCCCTTGAGACGCGCGTCTGTTGAGTTCCGTTTGATACAAGACGCGCGTATCAGAAAATAATGAAGTTTGACTAGAGACATGGACCCGTCCCCCCTCCCCTCCATTAAAAGAAAAAGAAAAAAAAAAACTGTAAGGTGCGCACTTCTCTGATTATTCACTTTCTTTTTCTCACTTTCTCCCATCCCCATTCGTTCCTCTTCCCATGCAACACATGAGAGCAGTTATGCTGGCAACTGTTTGGACGGTCAGGATCGCGGCAACGACCCGTGCCCTATCGAAACGGCAACGGACCCCAATAGCAGGCTGCCACCTGGCAGCCACCAGAACCAGCCGCTGTGGGAGAACGCACAGACCCCCGAGGAGAACGCCTGGCCGGGCACTCCCACGTGGGGGGAGGCTCAGGCCGCTGCTGCTGCTGTTCCCGCCCCCTCGGGACCGCCAGGTGCGTACTGTGGTGCTTGGATTGACAACCTGCCACCAGGCACAGGCTTAGGCACAAGCACAGTGGGTTGAAATTAGCCACACTAGACATCACTTGCAGAGGCAGAGCATCAGTGCACTGCTCTTCTTCCTCTGCTCAGCCACCGTTCCTTTTCTGTACCTCTTTCCACCCTCCCCTTTCCCCAGTCACGCAGTGGGCTGGAAGCCGATTCTGAGTTATGTGATGATAGCGCTGCTCTCAGTGGCGTTCGTCTTCCTCCTCTGCTCCGTCTTCTCCATGCTAGCCAAGCAATAATCCCCCTCACACTCTCCCCCTTCCCCCTTTTCACCACCCCTTCTAAACCCCTGGTACTTCCTACCCCTCGCTCACAACCCTGCAGTGGACTGGAAGCCCATTCTGAGCTACGTCTTCTTGGCGCTGCTCTCAGTGGCGTTCGTCTTGCCAAGCATCAGACCCCCTCACACCCCCTCCCTCCCCTCCACTAATGCAGTGGACTGGAAGCCCATCCTGAGCTATGTCTTCTTGGCGTTGCTCTCAGTGGTGTTCGTCTTGCCACGCATAAGACCCCCTCACACCCCCTCCCTCCCCTCCACTAATGCAGTGGACTGGAAGCCCATTCTGAGCTACATCTTCCTGGCGTTGCTCTCAGTGGCGTTCGTCTTCCTCCTCTGCTCCGCCTTCTCAATGCTAGCCAAGCGCCGCCGCTACACCGCGGTTGACTTCTCTGCTCCACGCGTCGACCAGCGTACGCTGCACTGCTTTGGCTGTCTCTCTTTTGCTGGTTTCTTTCTTCTGTACTGTACTGTGCTCTGCATTTTTTTCTTTCCCCACTCCGCGCGTCGACCAGCGTACGTTTCACTGCTCCTCTTGCTGCTCTGTTTTCCAAGAAACTCCTTTCCAACTCTTCATCTTCTCCTTACTACCATCTTCCCGCCTCTCTCCTGCTCCTCCCTTTTCTCCCTCACCCCAAAGTCCCAGTGATAGAACACGGCCTGTCAAAGATCAAGCGGGCCTTCAAGGCCCCTCCTCCCTCTCTCCCTTGTTTTCCCCACCCCGCCTGCCACTGCTCCCACCCTCCAGTCCCAGTCACGGAGTATGGTCTCTCTAAGATCAAGCGAGCCACCAAAATTTTCACCACCGGTGTTTGGCAAGGGCAGCTTCGGCACCGTGTATCTCGCTGACGACTTCCTGCCCCTCTGTTGCCCCCAACCTGCACCCTCCCCCTTCCCAACACAGTCCCAGTGACCGAATACGGCCTGTCCAAGATCAAGCGCGCCACCAAGAATTTCACCACCGTGTTTGGCAAGGGCAGCTTCGGCACCGTGTATCTCGCTGACGACTTCCTTCCCGATCAGATCGAGCCGCGTGCGATTGTGAAGCGCGCCCACGAGCCAGAGAGTGAGTGTATGGGATGGGGGAAGGGCCCAAGGGGGCGCGGGTGGGGAATGCATGTGCTCATTCAGTCCAGCTGTCAAGGCGCCGTGTGTGTGTGTGAGGTGACTAGTGAGTTGGTGACTAGTGAGTTGGTGACTAGGCACCGTGTATCTCGCTGACGACTTTCTGCCTGACCAGATCGGACCGCGCGTCATCGTGAAGCGCGCGCACGAGCCCGAGAGTGAGTGGTAGCTGTATGTTGTGGCGTATGGCATGGGGTATGGGATGAAATAGGGGATGAGATATGCTTGTGTCGTTTTTTTTTAAGTTTCCAACTCCAACTCCTCTCCCTAAATAGATGACGTAGACCCAGTTCCGGGAGAAGGTGCAGCTGCTGGCCAAGGCGCGCCACCGCTACCTTGTGTTCCCCTCCAAGGCTGCTCACTCTCCTGGCTTCTTGAATACCTATCCCATCCCACTCCCACCCTCCCCACCTTGTACCAGAGATGACTGAAGCCCAGTTCCGGGAGAAGGTGCAGCTGCTGGCCAAGGCGCGCCACCGCTACCTGGTGTCACTGCGGGGGTACTGCATCGGCAAGGCGGAGAGGATTCTGGTGTTTGAGTTCCTGCCGCACGGCTCGCTCTTTGACCGGCTTCACCGTGAGTGCTGGTTGGTGTGAGGACTAGGCTAGGGCTTCAGGTGTTGGTTGGTGCCCCCTCAGGGGTACTGCATCGGCAAGGCGGAACGCATTCTGGTGTTTGAGCCCCTCCCCCACGGCTCCTTGTTCGACCGGCTTCACCGTAAGCCGTCTTTTCATGCCTTGATACTCCAGTATGCTCCACTAGAACGGGGTGCACTGCACGGTCAGCTTGTGAGGGTACTGCATTGGCAAGGCGGAGCGCATTCTGGTGTTTGAGCCCCTCCCTCCCCCACGGCTCCTTGTTCGACCGGCTTCACCGTAAGCCGTCTTTTCATGCCTTGATACTCCAGTATGCTCCACTAGAACGGGGTGCACTGCACGGTCAGCTTGTGAGGGTACTGCATTGGCAAGGCGGAGCGCATTCTGGTGTTTGAGCCTGTCTTCAGGCTCTGACTTGGATCCCCTGCCCTGGGATGCACGAGTGCACGTGGCAGTCAACCTGGCGTCTGCCTTGCCTGTCTGTCCGGCATGCACACTCTCGCCCTCCTCTCATCTTTTATCATTTCCTGACTTCTCCCACTCCCCACCACCACCAGGCTCTCGTGTGGATCCCCTGGCCTGGGATGCTCGAGTGCACGTGGCAGTCAACCTCGCGTCCACCTTAGCTGCTCTGCACGCACACAGAAGCACTCTCGGTCTCTCTTTCTCTCTTATGTCTATTGCCCCCATCACTCCCTCCCACCAGGCTCCGACGTGGATCCTCTCCCCTGGGACGCGCTAGTGCACGTGGCAGTCAACCTGGCCTCGGCCTTGGTTACCACACATACGCACTATCGCTCTCCTCTCATCTTCTCTAACCTTATCCAGACCTCTCCCACTCCCACCAGGCTCCGGCGTGGATCCTCTGCCATGGGATGCGCGGGTGCACGTGGCAGTCAACCTGGCGTCCGCCTTGGCCTCTCTTTCTCCTCTCATCGCCCACGTTCTCACCTCTCTCACTTCCTACCATTACAGGCTCCGATGTGGATCCTCTGCCATGGGATGCGTGCGTGCACGTGGCAGTCAACCTGGCGTCCGCCTTGGCCTCTCTTTCTCCTCTCATCGCCCACGTTCTCACCTCTCTCACTTCCTACCATTACAGGCTCCGATGTGGATCCTCTGCCATGGGATGCGCGCGTGCACGTGGCAGTCAACCTGGCGTCCGCCTTGGCCTCTCTTTCTCCTCTCATCGCCCACGTTCTCACCTCTCTCACTTCCTACCATTACAGGCTCCGATGTGGATCCTCTGCCATGGGATGCGCGCGTGCACGTGGCAGTCAACCTGGCGTCCGCCTTGGCCTCTCTTTCTCCTCTCATCGCCCACGTTCTCACCTCTCTCACTTCCTACCATTACAGGCTCCGATGTGGATCCTCTGCCATGGGATGCGCGCGTGCACGTGGCAGTCAACCTGGCGTCCGCCTTGGCGTTCCTCCACCACGGCTGCGACCCGCCTCTCGTGCACCGTGCGGTGACCTCATCCAACATCCTCTTGTCGGCTGATATGAGCGCCAAGGTGCGTCGTCGTTTCTCTGGCATGGGCCTCTCTGGGTGTTGGTTTGTTCCGCCTTGGCGTTCCTCCACCACGGCTGCGACCCGCCCCTGGTCCACCGTGACTTTTGAGAATTCTCAAAAGCGACCCGCCCCTGGTCCACCGTGACTTTTGAGAATTCTCAAAAGCGACCCGCCCCTGGTCCACCGTGACTTTTGAGAATTCTCAAAAGCGACCCGCCCCTGGTCCACCGTGACTTTTGAGAATTCTCAAAAGCGACCCGCCCCTGGTCCACCGTGACTTTTGAGAATTCTCAAAAGCGACCCGCCCCTGGTCCACCATGACTTTTGAGAATTCTCAAAAGCGACCCGCCCCTGGTCCACCGTGACTTTTGAGAATTCTCAAAAGCGACCCGCCCCTGGTCCACCGTGACTTTTGAGAATTCTCAAAAGCGACCCGCCCCTGGTCCACCGTGCTGTCACTTCTTCGAACATCCTCTTGTCTGCCGACATGAACGCCAAGGTGGGCTGGGCTGTTCTCTTTGAAACGGGCATTGCTCTCTCTGTACGTTCTTCCAGCCTTGCCGTTTCTCCACCATGGCGGCGAGGCGACCCATGTTTTACCATGTCTTAATGGTAGCGCGGCCCCAACCGCCGGCAGCGGGGAGCACCAGCAGCGGGCCACGACGACTTTTGAGGTGCCTCAAAAACAGGAGCACCAGCAGCGGGCCACGACGACTTTTGAGGTGCCTCAAAAACAGGAGCACCAGCAGCGGGCCACGACGACTTTTGAGGTGCCTCAAAAACAGGAGCACCAGCAGCGGGCCACGACGACTTTTGAGGTGCCTCAAAAACAGGAGCACCAGCAGCGGGCCACGACGACTTTTGAGGTGCCTCAAAAACAGGAGCACCAGCAGCGGGCCACGACGACTTTTGAGGTGCCTCAAAAACAGGAGCACCAGCAGCGGGCCACGACGACTTTTGAGGTGCCTCAAAAACAGGAGCACCAGCAGCGGGCCACGACGACTTTTGAGGTGCCTCATAAACAGGAGCACCAGCAGCGGGCCACGACGACTTTTGAGGTGCCTCAAAAACAGGAGCGCCAGCAGCGGGCCACGACGACTTTTGAGGTGCCTCAAAAACAGGAGCACCAGCAGCGGGCCACGACGACTTTTGAGGTGCCTCAAAAACAGGAGCACCAGCAGCGGGCCACGACGACTTTTGAGGTGCCTCAAAAACAGGAGCACCAGCAGCGGGCCACGACGACTTTTGAGGTGCCTCAAAAACAGGAGCACCAGCAGCGGGCCACGACGACTTTTGAGGTGCCTCAAAAACAGGAGCACCAGCAGCGGGCCACGACGACTTTTGAGGTGCCTCAAAAACAGGAGCACCAGCAGCGGGCCACGACGACTTTTGAGGTGCCTCAAAAACAGGAGCACCAGCAGCGGGCCACGATGACGATTCCGCCAGCAGCAGCAGCAGCGGCGGCGGGAACAGCAGCCTCACTGCTATTGGAAGCGATTTCAGAAAGAAAACAAAATCCTTCCATTCCCTCCCCCCCTCTCCCCCCCTCCCCCGCCACCTCTTCCCTCCTTCCCAGCTCTCTGACTTTGGTCTTGCTCGTGGCTCCACCTCCCACGCTGCGTTCGACGAGCCGCCCCGCCGCCGCCCCAACCGCCGGCAGCGGGGAGCAGCAGCAGCGGGCCGAGACGACGCCTCAACAAGCAGCAGCCTCACTGCTGTTGGCAGCAGCGGCGACGGCAGCAGCGAGACAGAATCCGATCTGCATTTGACAACCAACAGCCACGCATGACAAGGACTCTGCCAGCACACAACTCAAACTGACTTCTCTCTTTCCCTCCCCATCCCCCCTCTCCCTCACCTTCCCCTTCCCAGCTCTCTGATTTCGGTCTTGCACGCGGCTCCACCTCCCACGCTGCGTTCGACGAGCCGCCCCGCCGCCGCCCCAACCGCCGGCAGCGCGGAGCAGCAGCAGCGGGCCGAGACGACGCCTCAGCAAGCAGCAGCCTCACTGCTGTTGGCAGCAGCGGCGATGGCAGCAGCGAGACAGAATCCGAGCTTCTACAGCCAGTGGTTACGCGCACGGACGCGCGAAAACTGGATATCTATGGGTTCGGAGTGGTGCTTTTGGAGCTGATCACAGGGCAGAAGGCCATGAAGGATGTGCATATCACGAGTCTTGCCGCCCCTTTCCTGGAAGATACCCAGATGATGCCGCTGATGGTTGACTCGGCTCTGGGCGGGTTTTTCAACCAATCGGAGCTGATTGAGCTGGCGACGATCGCGAGGGATTGTGTGAAGGAGGATCCGAATAGCCGCCCGACGATGCTCGAGGTGGTGAGGACGATGGAAGGGAGTATTGAGTTGGCCGTTGACTTGTTTGACCCGCTTGACTCGGCGGATTCAGCTGCTGGGAGTGCTAAGGCTGGGACCCCGAAGACTGGTGGGGCCGGGTATGCGGCGCTGAGTGGTGGGTCGGGGATTGCGGGGGATGCAATGGGAAGTGGAGGAGTTGGGAGCGGTTCGGGGGGGAGTGGGAGGCAGGGCACTGGGGGCGGGACGTGGGCGCCTTTAGAGTTGTTTTCGGGGTCGTTTGGGAGGCGGTCGGGGCGTGAGAGGGAGGGGGGAGGAGGGGGAGGAGGCAGGGGAGCAGGAGGGGCGGGAGGGGTGGAGAGGGGGGATGTAGAGGCAGGGTCGTCACTGCTCTATATCACTCCCAAGGATGGGCAGCACTAGTGAGGGGAGGCGTGGTGTGGAGTGGGAAGGAGGGGGATGGGAGGCAGGGCAGTGGGGGCGGGATGTGGGCTCCTCTGGACTGTTTTCAGGGTCGTTTGGGAGGCGGTCGGGGCGTGAGAGATTTTTGAGACGTCTCAAAAATCTACTTTCTACACGTTTGGGAGGTGGTCGGGGCGTGAGAGAGAGGGGGGTGCTGGTGGGGGAGGGAGGGGAGCCGGAGGGACGGGAGGGATGGAGAGGGGCGATGTTGAGGCAGGGTCGTCGCTGCTCTATATCACTCCGAAGGAGTAGCCCCCGAAGGAGTAGCCCCCGAAGGAGTAGCACCCGAAGGAGTAGCACCCCGGTGAAGGGATGAAAGCAAAGAGGTTCGAGAACAAGGGACGTGGGATTATATTTTCCCATTTTAGAAGAACTCTCAGTAGCAGTGTATGAGACGGAAGGGGGGGAGGGAGATATGACGACAAGGGATCGATCGACGGGGAAGGAGTGAGGGATGTAGAGGCTGGGTCGTCGCTGCTGTATATCACTCCCAAGGAGTAGCACCCCAAGGAGTAGCACCCGGGTTTGCTGATGAGTGTTGGAGGGAGGATTGATGTGTGAGTTTGTGGTGCCAGGGAGGAAGGATTCTGAAGTGGGAGGGTTGTGCAGTGGAACGTGGGCAAGAAGTTTCTGTGCAGTTTGGTGAGGCCCCTCATCATTGTTATGCTACGCTATTTATTCGCTGTAGGGTTGGTCCGTCACTGGATCATTATTCGTTATGGGATTATCCTTTATGAGGCTCTAGTCTAGACATTGTAGCATTACAGAAAGTGCACATGTGGGATGCTTGGGAGACAGGGAGGGGTTATAGGCAGGCATTGCCTTCTGTTCACTGAGATGTGAACTCTGATGTTAGGTCTGTGATTTGGCTTTTGTAACACCTGGTTATCAGTATCTTTTGTTGGGTCAATTTATGTTACTGGGTTATACAGAGAAACATTAGACCATTCATCTCCCCCCATCTCTAATCCCAACAGTGTAAACCAAGCTATAAGCGATAACCTATATGGCGGCCTGATTTGTCAATCTACATACATTCCTTATACAGCTTCATAATACTCTACAGCAAGTGATCCAATATCGAGGATAATGGATGGCAGGAAGAAGAAGAAACCAATGTGTGCCATGGCAGTCGCGGCCTTGGACCTCCCACAGAAGAAATTCCAGGGGGTGTTACCCTCGCAAATGGTTTGCTGGTAAGGGAAACCACCCTGGTCATTGAAGGTAGTTACCCCTGCTGCTGCTGCTCCTGCTGACAGCAGTAGTGCTGCTGCAATCTGTGTGGTGCAGGAGCAAGCAAGTAGGGGAGATGATGTAGGGCGGGCGATGAAAATGGAAAGCAAGATTGAAACAAAACAGCGAAAGTGAGAAATGGTTTATCTGGAGGCACAAGAAGCGAGTGCTCTTCCTCCAGATATCATTCACAAGCGTTCAGAAGACGGTTTTGAGTGGCACATGAGCCACAGCAGCAGGAGCAGCAGGAAGAACAGGAATTCTAAATGCGGCTCTGGCGCCCTGTATCCTCATGGTAAGCATCCCGTTCAGTTCTCTGATGGAACTTACAAAGTCTCCGATGATCCTTAGGATCTTGAAGATGGCCGAGTGGGACGTCATGCCAGCAGCCAGCAGCCCAAGATCGATGAGAAGCAGCAGCAGAGCCCAGAATCCGGCGATCACGCTGGCAGCAATGAGGTAGCGGAACGCGTGGAAGGACGAGTAGCTTATCCCGGCAACCTTGGCTGTCAGCATCACTGCCAGCGCACACACCGCTGCGAACAGCTGGGGTAAGGGGAAAGGGCAGGGCGTAAACGGGGGGAGAAGGGAGCAGCAGTAGAATCAGCAGCAGCTGAACCAACACCACCACCAGGAGGAGCAGCAGCAGCGCCCAGAAGCCAGCGATGACGCTGGCAACAATGAGGTAGCGGAAGGCGTGGAAGGAGGAGTAGCTTATCCCCGCGACCTTGGCTGTCAGCATCACTGCTAAGGCGCACACCGCTGCGAACAACTGGAGGGGGAAAAAGGGGGAGGGAAGGGGAGAAGGGAGGTTGGGGCAGGGATGTGTTGACAGCAACAGCAGCAGCTGCACCAGTAGCAGCAGCAGCAGCAGCAGCAGCGTCCAGAAGGTGGCAATGACGCTGGCAGCAATGAGGTAGCGGAAGGCGTGGAAGGAGGAGTAGCTTATCCCCGCGACCTTGGCTGTCAGCATCACTGCTAGCGCACACACTGCTGCGAACAGCTGGGGGTGTGGAGGGGGAGGGGGAGGGGAAGAGGGGGAAGGTTGATCGGGAGAGAATGGACGTTGGGGTTGGGTGAGGTTGTGTGAACACCGGCGATCTTGGCTGTCGGCATCACTGCCAGCGCACTCACCGCTGCGAACAGCTGGGTACAAACAGCAAGGTAGGGGTGGGAGGGAAAGGGAAAAAGGGAGGCTGAGACAGGGTTGTACCACCACCATCACCATCACCATTTACAGCAGCAGCAGCAGCAGAGCATGCTTTAGCAGTTAGCATGCTTTTGCTAAGGAGATTACTGCAGGAGCCGCAGGAGCGGGCTGACCAAGTGGTGGAAGGAGCGAGGGCTCTTTGCAAACATCTTTTGCTTGCCATCCTTCCCCGCTCCTCCCCCTCGTGTCCTCGTGACTTATTTTACTACCAGTAGTATAACAGCCAAAACCAGGCAGGTCCGGGCAGAACCGGCCACAATCGGGCACAACCGGGAAGAACCGGGCATAATTGGGTAAACATCGTAGCGGTAACGGGATTACCTGCAGGAGTCGCAGCAGCGGGCTGACCCAGTGGTGGAAGGAGCGAGGGCTCTTTGCAAACATCTTCCGCTTGCCATCCTTCCCCGCGCCTCCCCCTCCTCCGCCCCCTCCCCCTGCTCCAGGCAGCATGGCAGCTAACCAAAGCTTCGGCAAGCACGATTACTTTGCTATCAAAGGCGATGGACGGAACCTGACACAGCCAGATAAAACTCTGGCAGAACCGGACCGAACCTGGCAGAACCGAACCTGACGCTCTAATTGACGATTTTGCTCTCAAAGTCACGGGACTGGTTGATGAACCACACAGCTAGCACCACAGCTCCCTATACCAGCCTAATCTTCTACTGGCGTGAAGCGGAAATGAAACACTGGAGAGAGGACGAGGAGCATAAATGCGTTTCCGCGCTACCACATTCGTTGCTGCCGTCTCTCCCTTCATATAAGTCGCCACATTGTGCCCCTCCCTGTGCACAGGCCACAGGCACACCCCTCCTTTTTTGAGACGTCTCAAAACGCATTGCCCCTCCCCGTGGGCGGGCACATCACTCCTGCTGCTACTGCTGCAGCTGCGGCTGCGGCGCCACGAGCGCGTGGGGATAGATGGCGGAAGGAATCCATCAATGCGCGAATCACACTTTACGCTCGGCGCAGCAGCCGCCGCAGCAGCAGCAGCCGCAGCGGCAGCAGCACGTTGAGTGAGCTGGTAGCGCTGGTAGCGTCGTGGAGTGGTATAGAATTGGGGGCGGAGCAGGCGTGCGGCGCAGCCGAAAGTAACATCTCGTTTCCCCGCGCCCGCAACTTGCTTCGTGCGGTTCGCCCGACTCCCCCGTTCGCCTCTCTCGCCCCTCGTCGCTCATTCCCTCACTTCCCCCGCCACTCGCCTGACCCTGACTGTTACTGTACTCCCCTCGTTCCCCCCACGCTCGCTTCCCCCTCGAGGCGGAAAGTGACGAAAATTGAATAGCAAGCTGGCGAGTGTCGCGAATCGAGTCGCACATTGGACATGCAACGAGGCGCGGTCTGGTTTGATGTTGAGCCATCTAGGCGCGCTTCGGCGATGCCCAGCTGGGAAGGGGCTCGGCTTTTCGACCTGCAGATGACGTGGCGATGCGAGTGGCTCAGATTGACCTGTCGCCAGCTGCTGATTGCATAGATTTTCTCGAAAGGGGGGCAAGAGCAAGCAATTGTCAGACTAGATAGTGGGTCCCCTAAAGAGCACCCTCTGGAAGGAAGGAAGAATAAAACAACAAAACTCATCTTTGAATAGCATTCTACTTATGTAATTTTTTGTGAGTTTAGCAAATTTCGGGGATATTCGTGGCGAGTACAATTTGAACACCTTTTCTGCACGGCAAGCAATTTCCATCCAAACAGCCTCTGTCGTGACTTCCCAAGCCTTGTCTTCTCGTCCTTCGCCATGCCGTTTCCTGTGTGCCACTCGAAGCGTACTCCCCATCACCTACTCTCGCGTTCAAGCGAGCAGAGTAATTTTGTTCGCATCACGATATAATTCACCGTTGCGGCCCAACCCGCGGCCAGATTCAGTGAATCTGTCGCCATCATGCCGTCCATGCCCCGGCTCGGCATGTTCTGGGTGGCAGCGATCGGAGTGGGGGTCGTCACCTGCGCCGTCGTCTTCGTCCGTCAAAAGAGCCCGACGTTTTTCGTCAACCTGACGGCGGACGGCACGCCAGGGAGGGTTTTCAGTCGCGGCCCGTTCCGAGTGGTGGAGGACAGCGTGCGACCTCGGGACTGCTCTTTCGCCCAGGTATGAATATATGATTTATGTGCATGGACTCTTCTGTCATGCAATATGGATTCCACGTGTAGAAAGAACATTTTTGAGACGTCTCAAAAATGTTCTTTCTACACATGAATATAGGATCTATGTGCATGGACTTTTCTGTCATGCAAAATGGATTTACATGGCTCGTGTTGAGTATGGATAGCCTATTTAATCGCTGGGTATGGATACTAACAAGTACTGGATTTCAATCCGCTCGTTCTTCCTGAAAACGTCTCGTCCCAGTCCCATCCCATCCCATCCCATGCCGGCCCCATCCCCGTTCCGTTCCCATCCCGTCCAATCAGGAGCCACTACCCAAGCCTGTCCGTGTCTGGCTCCCAGTCCTAGATCTTCCCAGCAAGGAGTTATCTGATTCTTCCCTAGCTGCCACTGTTGCTGTTTCTGCTGCTGACGCTGAAGCTGAAGCAGCTCCTGGCGATTCACCTAATGAGAAGCTCGAAAACACCTGGCAGCAACAGAGGAGCACCTGGCAGGTGCCAGTGGTGGTGTTTCAGCACGGGTTCGCATCTCAGAACTATTTTTACTCCGACCTGCTCTCGAGAATAGCCTCGCATGGCTACATTGTGGTGGCACCACAGGTAACACCTTCCCCAGGTATCCCTGCCTTACAGCTTCTACTCCGACCTGCTCTCGAGAGTCGCCTAGCCTCCCATGGCCACATCGCCATTGCCCCACAGGTAATACCTTCCTCAGTTAGCACCTGCTCTTTGGTAACACCTGCCTCACATAGGATGAGACCTACTTCTACTCCGACCTTCTCTCAAGAATCGCCTCTCATGGCTACATCGTTCTGAAACCTCAGGTATTACCATCTCCAGGTAGCACCTGCCACTCAGCCTCTCAGGTAATACCTGCCTCGCATGAGACAAAACTCTTAACTCTCCTGACCTGCTCTCGTGATCTGCCACTCAGGGCTACATCGTCGTGGCTCCTCAGATGTCGCCTTCCTTACATAAGACTAACAATCATTGCTATTGGTACAGTACTGGTAATGCCTGTTACACCTGCGTATTTCCCACCTTTTCCCCTCTCCCCTTTATCTCCCTTTCCCTAACCCCACCTTCCCACCCCCTCAGATGTACTCAATATTAGCTGGATTCGACACAATGCCAGAGATGCGGGATGCTGTGAAAGTCATCAACTGGTTACACGCCAATCTGCACACTCTAATCGATGCACGAGTTAAGCCTGCTGCCTTGGCTGCTATACGGGCAGCTGGAAAGGAAGCAGGCAGAGAACAGGCAGCAGGAGAAGAGACAGTGGTGGTGTCGCAGCCTGATTGGTCAAGGCTAGTGCTAGCAGGCCATAGCCGGGGAGGGAAGGTGACGTTTGGAATTTTGCGAAAGCTGGTGGGGGAGTTAGTTAAGTCTACAAAGCAGCAGCAGTCTACAACGCAGCAGCGTGGGTTCATAGAGGCACAGTTAGCGGTGCCTATTCAAGCCGCAATACTCTTTGACCCTGTGGATGGAACTGCTTCTAAAGCCACCAATCCCCCCACACTCACTCATCAACCGGACTCTATCTCTCTGCTCAACAACCCTCCTGTACTCGTTATAGGCTCAGGCCTGGGTCCCATTCCCAGAGGCGGCAAATCCCCTTCCGATAAAGGTAACCCATGCGCGCCAGAGAATTTCGGGCACAAGGTTTTTTTCTCGGACCTGGTCGGCCTGGCGTACCATTTTTCGGTGCCCGAATTCGGCCACGCTGACTTTTACGATGATGATTTGGGGCCGATTTACGGACCGTTGTTTAGCAAAGTGTGCAATAACGGGCCTGCTAGGGAGCCGATGCGAGTAGCGGCTGGAGGGCTTGCAGTGGCGTTTCTAAAAGCTGTGGTTGGGGGAGGTGGGGATGGTGAGAAGGGAGGGAGTGTGAGGGGAGTGAGGAGCGGGAGGAGTGTGATGGAGGTGGAGAGAAGGGATAGAGACGGTGTGGGAGAGGTAGCAAGGAGCTTAGAGGAGAAGAGGCAGGCTTTGGAAAAATTAGTGACTGATGCTGCTGCTGATGTGGCTGACATGGCAACTGCCGTTAATGTTGCAGCTGACGTGGCAACTGCTGGTGCCGCACACAGTGATCAGGAGCAAGGCACGGAGCAGATGCATCAGCAGGAGCAGCAGGAGGAGGTGGAGAAGGAGAGGCAAAGGCTTGAGGGGGAGTACCTGAGGAGTGGGGGTAGTGGAGGGGCGTGTGGGGTTGATACGGAAGGAAGCATTGGGGGTGGCTCAGCTGTGGGAAACAGGGAGGGAGGCTGTGGTGCTGTGATTGGTTCAGGGAAGGGGAGTGATGTGAGGGATCTTTGTGATCTATTGCAACACCCTGAGCATTCTCCTGTGGTGTTGTCAGAGGTGGGGTGGAAAGTGGGGCGGCAGCAGGAAACACCTGAAGAAACACCTGCAGGAGCACCCACCACTTTATGCGGAGCAGCACCAGCTACAGTTGCAGCTGCTGCTGCCCGCTAGTGGCTTCCTCTGCTTCTGCTGTAGATGTCTAGCTGGCCGTGTCTGTCCTTGTCTTGTAGTAGTCATTGTAGATCTTTAAGATCGTAAGTTTGTTAGAACATTGTACAGCTAAAAATTAGGGGATTTTCATTTATAGCCATGCATCAAGCCCCTTTAGACTGAGGTGTAGCAAGTCCCACTGGTGAGTGTACAGGATTACTCATTACATCATCCAAATCCGCCGAGTCTCCCTGTAACCTAGCTTTTAGAAAGGCAACAGCAATTCCGGATGCAACGACATGCATCGGCCGTTTTGCCGGGCCTTTTTTGCAAGCCACCTCACTCATTGCCCCGTAAATCCCGATGTTTTTATCGTAAAAATCCAAGTGCCCATACCTGGGCACTACGACATAATACGCAGGTCCTGCTAAGTCTGAAAAAAATGTGTTGTGCCCAAAATATTTGGGCGGGCAAGCGGGCAGCCCGGGACCTTTTGGGATCGGACCGAGGCCCGAGCCTACAATCAGAACTGGGGCATGAACGACAAGGGAGTTGGGCCTGTGCATGAGAACGGGCGGCACGTTTTTGGAGGTATTTGAGGTGCCGTCCGAAGGGTCAAATAGGAGGAGGGCAGCGATGACGACAGGGGAGGAGGGAGAGACGATGTTACGTGTTACACCAAATGCCACCTTGGCACCCACACTGTGCCCTGATAGGACAAATTTGGACCAATCAGGGACAGTGTTTTTGAAAGGGTGGGTGGCAGTGGGGGAGGCGTTATTGGGTGATGATGATGGGGAAGATGAAAGATTGAAGGGAGGAGGGGAGGAGGAAGAAGACGACGAGGGGGGTGATGAGGGTGAGGAGGAGAACGAGGAGGAGGAGTGTGGGGAGGAGCTTGGTTGAAGTTGCTGCGTTGTTTCAGACAGGGGTCGTTTCTGCTTCTTCTGTTGCAGCCATGTTTCAAGGTTCGCCCTTACCCATGTGATCACGCGTACACTGCCTCTCATCTCCGGCCTTGTGTTGGATTTGCCTATAAAGGGGTACATCTGCGCACAGGCAAGACATGCGACAGGAATGGACCAGTGAGAGGAGTGTGTTTTAGGCATCTCAAACGAAGAAAAAACATTTCTTTGGGATGTAGAGATGCAGGGAAGGACTGGACGGCAACAATATTTGGGGAGGCACAGCAGTGAGCAATTATGATTGTGAGAGAAGCTGGTTTTGAGTCGACTCAAAAGGAAGCACAGCAGTGAGCAATTATGATTGTGAGAGAAGCTGGTTTTGAGTCGACTCAAAAGGAAGCACAGCAGTGAGCAATTATGATTGTGAGAGAAGCTGGTTTTGAGTCGACTCAAAAGGAAGCACAGCAGTGAGCAATTATGATTGTGAGAGAAGCTGGTTTTGAGTCGACTCAAAAGGAAGCACAGCAGTGAGCAATTATGATTGTGAGAGAAGCTGGTTTTGAGTCGACTCAAAAGGAAGCACAGCAGTGAGCAATTATGATCGTGAGAGGAGCTGGCCAAGAGAATGCCTCTGTGTGTGTTTTAGCAGCAAAGCCGGCGAAGCCGTGTTGAAATAGTGTTTGCAGCATGTTGCAGGAATGCCCACACACGCACTACCTCATCCCCTCACACCACACACACACACCCTCATCCCTCCCCCCCCCCCACACACACACCCTCATCCCTCCCCCCCCCCACAAACACACCCTCAGCTTTCCACAAACACACTCACCTGAGGAGCCACGACAATGAAGCCATGCGACGCGATGCGCGAGAGCAGCTGCGAGTAGAAGTGCGTTTTAGCTGCGAAGCCGTGTTGGAAAACCAGCACTGGCGTGGAGAGCTGCGATGAGGAGACTGGCACCCACAGGCGCAGGGGCTTTGGAGGGGCGAACTGGAGAGGACAGGGGGAGAGGAGGAAGAGGGGGATGAGAGAAGAGAGAAAGAGGAGGGAGAGTGGTGGGAGAGAGGAGGAGAGTCGGAAGCAGTGCAGAGAGCGAGAGAGAGAGAGGGGGGGGGGAAGAAGGTGCAGTGGAGAGATTTAACCTTGAAGGGGAAGGGGACAGGGAAACACCCAACATGGGAAGACACAACAGGGGTCCACGCGACAGGGGTCCACAGGACAAGGGAACCACTTTGGCGAAGCGCGAAGACCAGCACAAACGGGACACATCAGCACATCCGGACCTTGGAGTTGCCGAAAGGGACTTTGAGTTAAGTGGCATTTGAGTCGACTCAAACGACATATCAACATCCGTATGTTGGGTTTGCCGAAAGGACTCTTCTTAGCGATCCTAAGCTCGAGCACGCGATAGGACCACGCGAGAAGGCCTTTGAGGAATCTCAAAAGGCATCTAGACATTTATACCTTGGGGCTGCCGAAAGGACGCTTTGTACCGATCCTACGCTCGAGCACGCGATAGGGTCCACGCGAGAAGACCTTTCCAGGGGTGAGGTCTTCACCAATCAGCTTGCGGTTAAGGATTGACTGGATAAGAGAGCGGTCAGAATTTCGACTTCGTCTGGTTTCTATATGTGATATCAAGGATTGGGAGGAGTTTGAACTCTTTGCGAGAGCCGTCGAGTGACTAGCGATTAAGACTAAGAGGCAAATTACTGCGGCCTGACGACTTTGGCATCTCAGAAAGAAGAAAAGGGTACAACGTGACAAGGCCATGCTGACATTTCTTGCACGAAGTCCGGCATTGGAGTAAAACTATTGGATAAGTGACTGGTATAGCCGGAACGCACAGTAGACAAGGCAATTTCCCCGCACGGATCATTTCTATGGTTCACGCTGAGAGCACCGCCCCTAGGTTTCACACTCCACTCCACCAAGCACCACCACCAGCACTCGAATAAAAATGTATTTCCTAGGCTCATGCGCTCTCAGCACCGAAGCCCAGGATTCGGTACAAAGGGCTTTGATGTACTGCAAGGCGATAGCCACAAATTGGCAAACGCATTTTGCAGTATGAATAAACTCAAACAGCATTCAATACATCGTGGTTTTGTTACAGGCTGGTCTAACTTAACCGGGGAGTTTCCTGGGTTGGCCATTAAATCATCCAAATCCGCCGAGTCACCTAGAAGCTTGGCTTGAAAGAACGCCACCATCAACCCAGCAGTCACCACCCGCATCGGCCTTCTTGCCGGCCCATTCTTACAAAAATTCTTCGAAATAAAAGTAATTCCCGGGCCGAGCCAGTTATTAAAAAAATCGGCGTGCCCGTACTCGGGCACAACAAATTTCCACGCTGGGCCAACCATATCAGAGTAAAACTCTTTATAGTTGTCACCTTCAGGGGCGCATGCCCCTCCCAGTCCCGCTCCTAACACCGCTACTGGAGCCGAGACTTGAATCGAGTTCGGGACGTATGTAAGAACCGAATCTCCGGATTTCCGAGAACTTTTTTCCCCGTCGCCATTAACCGGGTCGATTAAAAACTGCGCTTTAATCGGCACCGCCGGTTTGCAGAAAAGTTTTCGAAGGACGCCGAACGCAACTTTCCCGCCGCGGCTGTGGCCAGTCAGGGCGAATTTGGACCAATCAGGCGAGGCTTTGGTTCGGTGGTGGAGGATCGGGTGGCGGGAGAGCCAATCCTTGAGGTTGTCTTTGAGCCAACGAATGACAGCACAAGATCCTTTCATCTCGTAGACGGCTCCTGTGAGGCCGATGAGAGGGTACATCTGGAGTGGAGAATGGGGTCGGGGCAGGAGGGGAAGATGGACAGGGAGGAGCGGTAAGGGTTGGAAGGCATGAGGAGGAGAGTGCAAAGAACAAAACAGGAGGTGCATTGCTTTGGTTTGGCAGTGGAATCTGGTTTGGCGGTGGAGGATTGGGTGGCGGGCGAGCCAGTCTTGAGGTTGTCTTTGAGCCAGCGAATGACGGCACAGGATCCTTTCATCTCGAAGACGGCTCCTGTGAGGCCGATGAGTGGGTACATCTGGAGGGTGGGATGGGGTCAGGGAGGAAAGGAAGAAGCACAGGAAGGAGTGGATGGGTTGGAAGGCATGATGAGAGTGCAAAGAATAAAACAGGGAGTGTTTTGCTTTGGTTTGGCAGTGGAATCTGGTTTGGCGGTGGAGGATCGGATGGCGGGTTAGCCAGTCCTTGAGATTGTCTTTGAGCCAGCGAATGACGGCACAGGATCCTTTCATCTCGAAGACGGCTCCTGTGAGGCCGATGAGCGGGTACATCTGGAGGGTGGGGTGGGAATGCAAGAGCAGGAAATGATGAATTGGGCGCATGCTAGTGGGAAGCAGGGGGTTTGATCCAGCCGACGAATATCGGCACAAGATCCTTACATCTCGTAGACGGCTCCTGTGAGGCTGATGAGAGGGTACATCTGGAGGGTGGGGTGGGAATGCGAAAGCAAGAAACGATGAATTGGGCGCATGCTAGTGGGAAGCAAAGGGGCTTGATCCAGCCGACGAATATCGTCACAGGATCCTTACATCTCGTAGACGGCTCCTTTGAGACCAATTAGAGGGTACATCTGGAGGGTGGGATGAGGTCGGGACAGTCAGAAAGAACAGGGAGGGCAGAAAGGGTAGGGAGAGCAGGGAGGGCTTGGAGGTGTTATCTGCCAAGAAGGTATTATCTATCCTGCAGGCGTTACCTGAGGAGCCACCACAGTGTACCCAGATATCATCCTTTAGAGCATGTCAGAGATCCAGTAGTTGCGAGTGGCCCGGGGGGAGGTGATACCTGGGGAGCCACCACAATGTAGCCATGAGACACCACCCTCTTGAGCATGTCAGAGAACCAGAAGTTGCGAGTGGCACGTGGGAGGTGTTATCTGCCAGGGAGGTGTTACCTGCGGAGCAACCACAATGTAGCCATGAGACACCACCCTCTTGAGCATGTCAGCGAACCAGAAGTTGCGAGTGGCCCACCCGTGCTGAAACACAACCACGGGGAAGGACTTCGGTGATGACGTGGCAGGCGCCCATAGGAGGATAGGGCGCGGAGGCAGCACCTGGATGGAGTGAGGGGAAGGGGAGGCGAAGGGACAGATGGAGAGAAGAGAGGAGTGTATGAGGCACAGTGGAAGTAGAAGCAGGGAGAAACAAGGAGAAAAGCAGGCAATGCATTGCGCACACTTTGAAAGCGAACATGGGTCCGCCAACCGACGATTGATCCACCGCCTTGTGCTGCCCCGAGCTAAACACCTTCCCAGGTAGTGTGCAATGCCATGCGGCGACTTGTGATGCCATGCGATGACAAGCAGTGAAGTGCGGTGATGTGCGGTGGTACGTTGGACACACACCTTGAAAATGAACATGGGTCCGCCAATAGAAGATCGCTCCACCGGCTTATACGGCCCACGACTAAACACCTTCCCCGGCGTGCCGTCCGCTCCTACAAGTTTCGAAAGCGCGGCCGCCGTTCCATTGACCGTCCAGGCCGGCAGACTCGGCGTGCCGTCATCCGTTCCGATCAGGATCGGAGCGGTTGGCAGGAACTCAGAGGAGGGCGATGGGGGATTTTGAGCAGACTGACTTCGGAGCGGGGAGAGAGGTCCGGGGATGGGCGTGCTAGTTTCTGGTGGGTTTGTCGCAGGAATGGATTCGGAATAAGAGGTTTCCGGGAGAGAGCTGGCAGTTGGCTGCGGATGAGGCGCGTCAGGAAGAGGCGACGCGTTGGAAAGAGGCGACGTGTCGGGGAGAGGCGACACGTCAGGGAGAGGCGACACGTCAGGGAGAGGCGATGCGTCGGACAAGATGGATGCTAAAGAGAGGGCCACAATCGAGGTTACTACTAGGATCGCGACGCGGGAAATCGCGCGAGGACGTAGGAGGGATTGGCGATTCACCGCCTGAGAGGAGACTAGGAACCCCTTGCTACTATCGCTCGGGATAAAAGAGATGAGCGAAGAAAAGCGAGAAGTCGCCATATAGATGTCAGCTGAATGCCTGGATTTCGTTCTGCACGTATTGGCATGAGCACAGATGGACCACGCTGGTAGGGCCTGGTCAACTCGGGTGATGTGGAAGTCAATTCTCAAATCGCCTCTGCTAAGTGCTGAGATATCGGTGAATGAGTTCTCGTCTTCTCAGCGCCAATGCGGGAGCTCGCGTTGAACTATTGGCCTATCCATGTCGCTCGGAAATACCTGTGAGGACAACCATAGAAGGTATGGTGGAGTGGAAAGCGTCGAGGTGGGGGCGGCTGGTGTAAAGTGCTGGTTGGAAATGAGCTGATGGAGGACAGGAAGATAGATGGAGGTGGCGTACGAGGCGAAGTGCTGGGGCAGGCGAACTAGAAGGCGAAAGCGAGGCAGCGGCGAAACTGTTACCATAGGGAACTGAGGAAACCGACGCTGCTTACGAAGCTTTCGCCAGCAAGTTGGAGGTGGTTATGTTCTGCTGGCATTTCGCCTTTCATGCAGCAGCCAGAAATCGCGCGACGTGGAGCACCGACACTAGCCACCGCTGTCCTTTCAGTGAATGGTCTCTGGTCTGGGGGTGTCATGAATTGTCCGTGATATAGCAAAGCATCGTACGTTGTGCTTCGCCCGAGTTACAATACTGTTCTGTACCAACCAAAAAAATCACATATACTGTATTTACATCTTTCGAAACATTTTCTTCCCTCCCACCCCTTTGGAACCTGGCTCGCTCGCTCCTCCCTCCCCACGAAAAGCTGGCATTTCCTCCCCAGCCTCAAGCTAAACTTCCCGCTAAACACAGCCACAAGCGAGCCTAGATTTCACCAGCAATGCGAACCTCGTATTCACATCCCGTAATCTCTCTCGTCCTCGTCCTCTTTCTCCTCTTCCCATCCCTCGTTTGTCGTGCGGACGAGACTCCCGGCAAGGTGTTCAGCAAGGGGACCTATCCGGTGGCTGCGAAATGGCTGCCACAGCGCCGACGGGTTCTTTTCAGGGTAAATGCTGTGTGTAGTAATAACTCGTGACGCGCGCGCACCATGGGTAAACCCGCTAGCGGCGTCAATGACAATGCTCCTGAGGCTACTGGCCTCGTTTCTGAGGAGGAAACAAAACTAGCAGAAAGAAAATCTCCTCGTCTCCTCTTTCCTGCTGTTCCCTTCTCGCACACTACCCGCGCGTCGCCCAATCCCTCACCTCACTCTCACTTTTCCTCACCCTCACTTTCCATCGCGCTCACCCTCACTTGTTCCCCAGCAAACCTTCCCTCCCCTCTCATCAACAAGCCTCTCCGCTTCTGCCTGCCCGAGCTGCCCTTCGAGCACATCTCCTCCCCTCACACGCTCTCTGCTTCCCCCGAACCCCCTCCTCCCCCACCCTGTTCTCCCCCCAGAGAAACCCCCCCAAGCCTCTCCGCATCTGGTCGCCCAAGCCAGCCTCCGCCACCGCCCTGCCAGTGCTGCTCTTCCAGCACGGCTTCCCCCTTACCCCATCTCCCCCCCCGTCCCCCTACCGCATCTTTCCCCCTTCCTCAACATGTTCTCCCCACAGAGCAATCCCCCCAGGCCTCTCCGCATCTGGTCGCCCAATTTCCCCCAACGCCCCCCTCCTCCCCTTCCCCCCCTCACCCTGTTCTCCATACTAGAGCAACCCCCCCAAGCCTCTCCGCATCTGGTCGCCCAAGCCAGCCTCCGCCACCGCCCTGCCAGTGCTGCTCTTCCAACACGGCTTCTCCGCCCAAACTATTTACTACTCTCGCCTGCTCTCCCGCGTCGCTTCCCACGGCTTCATTGTTGTTGCCCCCCAGGTGGGTAGGTCAAATAGGTAAGCATAGGTTCAATGCGGTGACTGGGTGCACGCACGGTGCTGCTCTTTCTCCGCTCAAGCCATCTTCTACTCTCGCCTTCTCTCCCGCGTTGCTTCCCACGGCTTCATTGTCATCGCTCCCCAGGTGGGTTCGTGCACATCCGTGCACAAATGAGTAAGCATGAAATAAGCATGAATCAATTGCGGTGAGTGGGTGGGTGGGTGCACATCCAGTGCTTCTCTTCCAACACAGATCCTCCGCTCAAGCCCTCTTCTACTCTTGATTGCTCTCCCGCGTAGCTTCCCATGGCTTCATCGTGTCGCGCCCCAGGTGTGTATAAGAGAGGAAAGAAATATCGTATTTTACCACAGCCACCAATGCAAGGCCTGAAATTCGGCATCTGCCAGGGTGATGCCCTGGCTGCGCTCTCAACTCTCCTGCACCCGCACTCTCCCCTCGTCCCCTCCCCCTCCTCCCTTTTTTCCACTCTCCACCTGCCCCTCATACCTTCTGTCATTCCAAGATGTATCCCATAACCACCACCACCAATGCAATCCCTGAAATCCTCTGGCTGCGCTCTCACCTCTCCTCCACCCTCACCCCTTCCCCCCTGTTTTTCTCCCTCTCTCCCTCCCCATTCCTCCTTTCTCACTCCAAGATGTATCCCATAACCACCACCACGAATGCAATCCCTGAGATCCGTGCATCTGCCAGGGTCATATCCTGGCTGCGCTCTCACCTCTCCTCCACCCTGTCCAACCGCTTCAAACTCCTTGCGTCTCCTGACTGGTCGAAATTCGCTATTGCCGGGCACAGTCGTGGAGGTGCTGTTTGCTTTGCCTTATTGAGGCAGCTTATCGTGCCTTCTCCGGTGCTTCTTAAGGCTGTTGTGCTTTTGGATCCTGTAGATGGTAATCCCAATGGTACCCGGTTTGGAATAAACACATTTGCTACACTCGTTAGGAAACCTGATTCGTTAACTGTTAGTGCACCTGTACTCATTATAGGAGCAGGGCTAGGGCCTGTGCCAAGGAGGAAGGGAAGAAGACCTTGTGCCCCGGAAAAGCTGGGGCATAAATACTTTTACTCGGACCTTGCTGGGCCGGCTGTACATGCGGTGATGCCGAATTATGGGCACAGTGACATGGTCAATAGCCGAGGGGATCGATGGCGTGGTGGTGAACTCAACCAAGAGCTACACTTTCCAACTGGATTTTCTACGTCTGCTAAAATAATGCATCTATCAGGGCACTCTGGGGCTCTTGCATCAAATGGGATTTGTCCTGGCGCTCGCTCGAGGAGACCTATGCAAGTGGCCACTGCTGGAATGGTGGTCGCTTTCTTGCAAGCCAAGTTGTTGAGTGATTCTGCAAACCTGGATGATATTCTTGCAACCCCAGACCACTGCCCTGTCAAATTAGACCCACTTGTATCCAAGTAAAAATTTTTAGCAATAAGACAGCTAATTTTGTTAAGCCATGTTGTATGGATTCACCTAATTTTAGCAGCTCGTTATAATTTCTCCCGGTCAATTGGCCTGACTCGTAGGAGGTTGTAGCGCGTACGTGACTTTGTTTTGTTCATGGGCGCGGTGCATCGGAACGTGTCTGGCGAAAACAGCTATCCCCTTCGCGAACCGAAAGCTCCAGTACAGAAGCCATGGCGAACCGAAAGGGTTGTCGAAGTGTTACAATTTCTAGCTGGACTCCCCGAAGCGCGCACCGAAATGTCTGTGTTTCCGTCGGTCCGCACAGAAACCTAGGCTGTCCACGTGGCAGCACCTCCTATCAGTCGTTTCCTGAAGCTTTTTCAGCTTCATTACCTCCTCCGTACTCTTTATCGTACTACGTCTGCTAAGTTCAACTGCAACCAATATAAATTCTTGCTTAGCACAACACGTACTTCTGCTAGTACTGGCCAAGCTCGCGTTTCGTTCGTTTTCCTAACGCTAGCGTCACTCAGAAGCAGCTCTAGTGGTTACCTTAGAGCAGGGCCGACTGTTGAACGAGCGTCATCGGTGGAGGATTGGCGCGAACCACTATTGCTGACGTGGTTGGAGAGATGGTTGACGTAGATCGCCGCTCCCGTCGAATGGCACAATGTAGGTTTCCGCGTGGCATCCTGACTGCTCTTGCCACGTCATCAGCTGTCCTCTTCCTCTTCGCGTCCATTGTCCGTGTCAAATGCGAGGCGGTCCGTACAGATGCCGTGGCAGCCAGCTCAAATGTAACGTCAGCCACCTCAATTGACACGACAGCTGACACTCTGGATGCAACGCCTGGGAAAGTGTTCAGCCGCGGACCCTATACCGTGAAACGCGGAGCTTTCCTTCTCAAAGGGCGACAATTCTTTCTCAAGGTATATGAACAGCCTTCCTTTTCCAGCGTTCTTCTTGTTTTCCAATGTGTGCTTTTGTTTTTCAACCTTTTTGTATTCCTCCCACTCAAACGTCCCTTCGCTTCTCTTTCCCCCTCTTCCCCCCCCCCTCCCCCCTCCCTCCGCCAACACCCCATCCGCCTACCGCATCTTTCCCCCTTCCTCACCTTGTCCTCCCCCCAGAGAAACCCCCCCAGGCCTCTCCGCATCTGGTCGCCCAAGCCTTCTACAGCCACCGCCCTGCCAGTGCTGCTCTTCCAACACGGCTTCTCCGCCCAAACCTCCTTCTACTCGCAGCTGCTCACGCGCATAGCCAAGCACGGCTACATCGTCGTGGCTCCTCAGGTGTGTGGATGCGTGCATTCGGTGTACAGATGGGTAGGAATGGGTTTAGTGCGGTGGTTAAGTGTGCATCTGGTGCTGATCTTCCAACACGGCTACTCCCAGCTGCTCACGCGCATGGCCAAGCACGGCTACATCTTCGTCGCTCTCCAGGTATGCTTCGTGCTCAGATATCCATTCCTAGCTCTCAGGTATGGGATTATGTTGGCAGTTAGGCATGGCTCGGTTCTGGTGAGTGGATGGTGGCCTCCTCTTCCTCCCTCATTTCCCCTTTCCTCTCCCCTCCCCACCCCCCCTTTTCCCCCAGATTTGTCACCACATAGATGTACCCTTCAACTACAGGCTGCAATAAAACGGCCCCACCATTCCTTTCTCATCTAGCCTCTCCCCCATCCTCCCCCCCCCAACCTCCTCCCCTCTTCCCCCTCCTACCACAACCCAGATGTACCCTGTTACAGCAGGCTACAATACAGCGCCAGAAATGCGCGGTTCAGCCAACGTCATCGGCTGGCTGCGTAAACAACTGGCCAAGGTCCTCGCCAACCGCCTCAAAGTGAAAGCAGTTCCTGATTGGGACAAGTTTGCTATTTCGGGGCACAGTCGAGGAGGTAAAATCGCGTTTGGAGTCGCACGGGGCTTGGTTAAGAAATCCCCCGTCACAATCGGGGCAGTTGTTCTGGTTGACCCTGTAGATGGCGCTTCAAACAAAACCCAGACCCCGCCAGCTACACTGACCCACCGACCAGGCTCCATCAGCCTCGGCATTCCTGTACTCGTTATAGGAGCAGGGCTGGGCCCCATTCCAAACCAACCAGGTGGTATGCCCTGTGCACCAGCGTATTTCGGCCACAAGTACTATTACTCGGATCTTGCAGACTCGGCGTATCATGTGGTCATGCCCAGGTATGGCCATGCCGATTTCAACAATGATATGCGGGTGACGGTCAATGTGTGCCCTGGAGGGCCCAAGAAAGTGAAAGCCCGGGTGGCAACTGCTGGCCTGGTGGTGGCATTTCTCAAGGCTAAGCTCGAGGGTGATTCTAGTGATTTGGACGATGTGTTGGCCAACCCAGGCCATGCTCCTGTTACGATGTCACCTGTTGAAAGTAAATGAAGACTGCCCTTGAAGCATGGAGCATTCTAAGTTACGCGGTAAGACAGGCAACTTCTGGAGCTTCCCTCCCTGATGTTGTCTCATCATCAGCCAGTTGGAATCTCATCAGCTCAAGTTTAGGTGTACCACACCACACCTAAAAGGTGTACCACAAGCCAATTCCAATGTAGAATTTGGTTTAGAGAAATAGCACTTGTAGACATGTCAAAATTACCATACAGAAGGGGAAAGCCACACAGGTCTTCCCACTTCTGCATCATCAACAAGGTATCTGGCTGGCATCGCACAGGGCTGCCAGCCAGCTCTGCAACTTGCAATCACGCAAGCAAGCACTCTCACTCCACATAGAATTATCCTAGAGCTTTACATACACCCGCAAGTGCTGTATTTACACCATTTACGCCAGCTGCACCTGAGTGGAGTAGGGGCAGGCGAGGAAATCGCCAATCTCCTGCACCAGGTACTGCTTCTCGCTCACGCTCAGGTTCATGCCAAAGCGGTGCATGCGCACGCCCTCCGAGACCTCGCAAGCTGTCATGAATCCCGCAAACTGGCCCTGAAGTGAGAGAGCATGCAACAGGGTGGACATACATATGAAAAAAAACAGTCAGACAGCTTCCAAGGGCATTCGACAAATGGAGACATTTCAGAAGATTTCCATGTTCGCACGCACGCACGCACACACGCACACACACACACACACCCACCTGCACACAGACAGACCCACATACACCCTCCCCCCCCAACCCCACACGCACACACACAAGTTCCTATCCACTTACCCCAGACACCACGATCTTGACATTGGAGATGTCGGATGCCTTGCCGTTCACTGAAGACTTGCGGCAGCAGCACTTGCGGCCAAGGAAGGATGACGTCATGGTGAACTCGGAGCGGGTGAAGGTGAGGTGGCGGCGAGTCAGTGCCTTGACAACCACGACAATGGTCACGCTGAAAAGAAGGGGTATATGTGCGGAATTTTTGAAAAATAGAGACAGTACAGATTGAAATATGCACAAAACGAAGCTAATACGTAAATGCTAGGCAAACGGATTTGTAAGAAGTATGTGGTTTGAGGAAGAAATTCACCCTGCATATGAATCCACGAGACGTGAAATGTGAACAAAAAAGAAAAACATTCAGGTCGCCTCAAAATGATGCATGGGTGCTTACATAAGGACCAGCGCCCCGAGGCCAATCAGGGGACACATGGAGCAGAAATCTGCGTTGGAAGGAGTGAGCGCATCAAGGTCGATGAAGAACACGGCAAAGATTGCCACGTAGATCTGGGACCAACAAAGCGAGCAGGTGGTACAGAGAGTTTTTTAAGTAGGACGGCGAAGTAGCAGGAAGAACACTGGCAAGAAGCAGCTGCACGTTCGGCAAAACGACTAGGTTCAGACAAAGAAACAAGGGTAATGTCTGGTAGAAAGGACGGGAAGAAGCACGGTTCACACATGAAGGAAAACATGGCTTTACCAGAAAAAAGGTGTAGAGGACGAGGCAACGGGATGTGAAACCATTCCGCGGAAGGTTAATCTCCAGGAGGTCATCGCCCTTGCGGTTCACGCCCTGTTTTCACCAAAAGGCAACGGATAAATGGCGACGAGTTAGGAAAAAGAACGTGGAGGACGAGAGAATGGGAGGTAAAACTGTTGCGCGGAAGGATAATCTCCAAAAGGTCATCGCCCTTGCGGTTCACGCGCTGATTTCCACCCACGGATAAATGACGAAGCGTTAAGAGACGAAAGAACATCGAATCTTTGAGTGACGCCTCACAGCACGCAAACGACAACTGGCGAAATGCATCCAACACGCAGCACAACAAGATTCTGCACAAATATCGTTTTAGCAAAAGGTTGCAGGCATTCCTCAAAGAAGCTAGTTCTGAGAAATGAGAGGAAAGACTCCAGGCATTTAAGCGAGAAGCTACTAGAGATTCGGAAAACGCACCAAAAAGGACCCGGTAGGAAGGCCGAGGCGGCGAACGCCAGCCTCCAAGCCGTTGACGGTGCAGTCGCTGTCCTTGGAGGACAAGAGAGCCTGTGATTGGAGGATAAAAAGTGAATCAGTACCACACGGAAACGAAAAAATAAATTGAGTAAAACTCTAAAAACTCGCTGTCCTTGGTGGACAAGAGAGCCTGCGAGGAGAATTCACGGCGAATTAGCATGACATCTGAAAGGTGGCCCGATTGTAAGAAACAAAACAGCCCGCAAAGACAAAATTGAAGCTCGCTCATGCTGTCAAGCTCACCACTTTCGCCGAGTCCATGGTTGTGGACGATAAACACGAAGGGAAAGCCCGAGAGTTACACGAGTACTGATGGAAAGTCAATTGAGGACAATGGAGTGAATGTGTCGTGACAGGAGTACGATGGAGGACGGGGAGAAATATATCTGGTGGGGTGGAAAATCCGTTAGTAGGAGTGAGCGACTGACGGGGACGGAGACGGAAAGTGTGAAAAATTTGTGAATGGGCTGGGTTGACCGAAGCGAACAAGGCAGGGATGGGGCGGAACTTGACGGAACGATAACGGGTATGGAAAAGGGGGACACTGTGAGGGAGATGGGATGGGAGGGATGGGTTCATGGGATAGGAGGGAGTTGTTGCGAAAAGTTCGCTCAATGGAGGCACGGGACGGGACGGGTCACAGGGAATAATTTTGCTGGTGGGTCTGCTGGGGCGGAGCGGAAGAATTCAAGGGGAGAGGCACTAGGCTACAAGCCAGGAGACCTGGTCTGGAGTGGAGGTCAAACCAGAGGGGCTGCCCGCGCCAGGAGAGCTGCAGCGCAGCAGGCGTGTACGAGCGGTGTTGTGGTGAGGAAGGTGAGGTGACGTTCGAGGCACGGCAGCAAGACGTCTGGCTGCCGTACCATACCATCAAGACGTCACGCTCGGCATTCCTTGTGAACCAATCAGAAGGCTCATACAAGACCTGGTTTCACAAACCAAGGTTGTTGGGTTTTCCCCGAACCTGACGGAAACACAAATAGGTCCTTGCAAGCAGCCTCGCGATCAGCTACTTGAACTGCACTAGCTATGATCAATACAGAAAGAGAATATACTTCAGCACAAGCATGCAAACACTTTGACGAGGCACTTAACAGGGACAAGCTCAACAGATGCTGGTACGAGTGCCAGCTGATTGGTCTGAATCCAAATTGTATTTCAAATACTACTAGCTGAAACTTGAGCATTCAGCCATTGTAAAACTAAGGCCAACATTCACAACTCCCCCCCATGCCCATCCCTAATACCACGCCCCTCCCAATTCCCTGGTAAAATCCTGGACAGAACTCCTTCACCCATACGCAAAGCTGTCTCCCCAACCTCTCCAACCATCTCATTCACGCGACGCACCATTGACACAACCTGCTTCCCAACAGTGCTCTTCTTAACCTTAATCAATGCTCTCTTTGCCTGCTTAACCGCTTGGCTACGCCGGACCTGGCGAATGAGCTTGCTTGTGTGCTTCCCAGCAGCAGTGGTTTGGAATCTTTTGATGAGCATGGTCCCGGTGTGAGTGGCTCGTTGAATGAGGGCTTGCGAGGAGATGTAGATTCGACGAAGAGGGGAGTTGAGTGCTGCTTCCTGATGCTTCTCCTGCAACTTGCACGAGCCAAGGTGAAATGTAACAGACCAACCAAAGAAGCGAAAGCAATTCATTTCAAAGCAGCCCGAATCGCCTCCATGTCGACATGTGTTCCTGGTCCCAACTCGTTCCTTAGCTTCTATTCAAACTGCATCTTCCACGCACTCTCTCCCCCTCTCACCTTCTCGTCCGCGGCCTTCAAAGCAGCCCGAATCGCCTCCATATCAACATTCGTCCCAGGTCCCAACTCGTTCCTTAGCTTCTCCTCGGGATCCTCTTCTTCCCCTTCCCCGTCCTCCTCATCCTCCTCATCCTCGCCCATCCCCATACCCCCCACAGACGTCTTCTTTAAGAGGTCGTCACGTGAGTAGAGCTTCATTTTAGGCATGCGGGGAGCGCGTGGGTTCTGCAAAAAAGGAGGGGGTAAGCGAAAATAACACCAAGCATATAGAACTACTGAAATTCGGGACAAAGATAGTGGCTCTAATTGTCTCACACCCATATTTTCTCAAAAACTTCTGCAGTGCAGTAGATCCGAGCCATGGATGAAAGATTTACTTCCTCTGTATTTGTCATCAAACTTGATGCGCCTGCCCACCCACCCACCTCTTCTCGGTACTTCTCGGACTTCAAGTCCATGTCTCGCATCATCCTCTCCCTCTCCACCTCTGTGCTGCTCTTGCGCCGGAATGCCTCCCCTGGCTTGCGGCCCTGCAGCAAGCAGCAGTGAGAATATGGACGCACATGTCACATACGTGCTGGCTGTCACACGCATTACTGGCTCTCACTCCCCCTCTACCTCCCTGCTGCTCTTGTGCCGGAATGTCTCCCCCTGGCTTGCAACCCTGCAGCACACACACACACACAGGTGCAACAGGGAAACATGAAGAGGGAGATGTGCAGGCTAATGCGTCACGAACGTGTTACATACATGTCACACACGCCAAGGATGACATGCACAGCACAGCACAGCACAGCACAGCACAGCACAGCACCGCACAGCACAGCACAGCACCGCACAGCACGGCACGGCACGGCACGGCACGGCACGGCACGGCACGGCACGGCACGGCACGGCACGGCACGGCACGGCGTGGCGCGGCGCGGCACGGCACGGCACGGCACGGCACAGCACAGCACAGCACAGCACAGCACAACACGCACGTGAGCGCGTGCACACACAAACACGCACACACATATCACCAGTCACATGCATCACTGGCATCCCCTCCTGCTTGAGGATGCCAGTGATCTGCACAGCACCGCACAGCACAGCACAGCATAACATGCACTCATGCATGTGCGAGCGCACACGCACACACATATATCACAAGTCACATGCATCACTGGCAGCATCCCCTCCTGCTCGAGGATGCCAGTGATCTCAAAAAACTCATGGCAACAGCTGTTTGCTCGCATGGCAACAGCTGCTTGCTCGTAGTACCTTGGGAACGGGTGGCGGCTGTGTGATGCACGCAGGGGACATCTCGAGGCACAGCTGCTTGGCGAAAACACCTTCTGGGATGGCCGGCTCGGCGTAGAGGAGCTCTGCCACGTCCGTGTCTGAGAAACCCACCACCTGATGGGTAGGACGAGGAGACGGGGTTTTAGATGGGGGATAGGGTAAGAGTGAGTGCCACTGGCGAAGAGGCAGGCAGCACCGTGTTTGATACATGGCGACGGGTCCGTGTAGAGGGGCTCTGCCACGTCCGTGTCTGAGAAACCCCACCACCTGATGGGGGGGAGGAGGAGACGGGGTAAAAGATAGGGGAAGGGTGGGAGTGAGAGCGACTGGCGAGAAGACGGACGCATCAGAAAAACTCATCACCTGATGGGGAGAGGGGGGAGGGAGAGATCTTCCCTTCACTCACTCCACAACTCTTGTACAACTCACAGCAACCAGTTTGCCTCCTCTCTCAAGCACCGCTCACATTACCCCCAGCCACCCTCCCTGCTCTCTCCATTAACTCCTCCAACGCTCACATTACCCCCAGCCACCCTCCCTGCTCTCTCCATTAACTCCTCCAACGCTCACATTACCCCCAGCCACCCTCCCTGCTCTCTCCATTAACTCCTCCAACGCTCACATTACCCCCAGCCACCCTCCCTGCTCTCTCCATTAACTCCTCCAACGCTCACATTACCCCCTCCACACACCCCCACCCCACTCGTGCCTTACCCCTGCCACCCCCCTTGCACTACCCCACACCCTCCTCGCATATCATCTCTCTTGCACATACCCCCTCCCCCCACCCCACCCCCCTCTTCTCTTACACTACCTCACACCCCACTCTCACAATACCTCCTGACAAGCCTTCTGGATCGTCTTGCATTCAGTGCGGCAATCCCCAGGGTAGGGAAACTCCTTCAGCTGAAAAGAGGGGGTGGGGAGGGGTGTGGGTGGGTGGGTGCATGGAAACACGGATGGTGTGAGTGGCATTGTATTGGCAATCGTGAGTCTTGCACTCAGTGCGGCAATCCCCAGGGTAGGGGAAACCCTTCAGCTGAGGAGGTGTGGGGTTGTGGGTGGGGGCATGGGAACGCGGATAGAACAAATTATATGGTTAAGAGAGGCATGCAGCAAAAAGCGTTGCACTCGGTGCGGCAATTTCTAGGGAAACTCCTTCAGCTGAAAGCGGGAAAAGCTTGTCTTCTCTCTCTGCTGCACATCCAACCAGCGGATCGACCTCGTCCTATATAAAAAACCGATCCCCATACTGGTTTTTGAGACGTCTCAAAAACAACTCACTTCTAAGACATCTCAGAAATTTGTTTCCTCTCTCTCTCCTGCAAATCCAGCCAAGGGATCGACCTCGTCCTATATAAAAACCTATCCCCAAACTGGTCCCCAAACCTGCTCCCAAGCCTCTGTTCCTTCGCTTCATCTCACCTCGAGCTTGTCGCCTTTCTCCTGCACATCCAGCCATTGGATCCAATCGCCCTCGTCCTTGCTGACGTCACACGCGGATTCCACAAGCTCGATGATCTTCAGCTCTGATAGCTGCGGGATTTCGTCAATTCCGGGGGAAGAGAAGGAGAGAGGAGGGGTGAGGAAGGAAGGGGACGATGAAGGAAGGGGGACGAGGGAAGAAATTGATGGTAATGTCTTGGTAATGCCGCAAATCTTCAGCTCTGACAGCTGTGAGGTTTCGTCAATCCCGAGGGAGGAGGACGAGAGAAGAGGGGTGGAAGGAACGGGGAGGAAGTGAGGAAGTGTTGGTGTTGCTGGTGATCTTCAGCTCTGATAGCTGCGAGATCTCGTCAATCCCGGGAGAGGAGGAGAGTGGGGGGGAGAGGAACGAAGGGGGAGGGGAAGCGTTGGTGATCTTGTGAGAATGTTCGTTGTTTTCAGAGGCTGTGAGAATTCACCAACTACCTTCTTAGGCGCGACCGCCTGACGCTTCTCCCGCACTTGCCGCAGAAGGTTCTTCGCGAGCAACTCGCACACGCCACACTTAATCAACGGCACGTCCTCCTTTCGCGCCACATACTTCTTAGCGGCAATCGCGGCGCGAATCCCGACAGTGAAAGTGGACCAATAGTCGGCAGTTGTTGAGATACTGGACTGCTGATGAGATGGAACGAGGAGTAGCAGAACAAGGAGTAGTAGAGACGGCGAGAATAGGCCATCCAGCAGATTTCGCATGTCTACTAGCCGGCTTCGCGAATGTGAGGAGTTGTTCATCGTCAAGAGTTGTTTCGTTACAGAGATAAGATTCGACCACAGCTCGACATCAGCAACGCAGCTATACCTGTTTCGGATCCGCTGCCTTTCTAACCACCTACTAGTACGTATCCGGCGCGCGACGGTTAGTGACTGAATTTAGTGTGAAGGTCAAACGAGCAGCCATAACTCGACTCGATCCCTAAACGGACCAGGAGCAAAGGAAACTGACCTAGTGTGATGGTCAGCATCCAGGCTTTCCCAAAATCCTTCTCAGCCCTTCCCAAACGCTTACGACCGTACAAAACCTCACGATACCGAAACCTAATGTTGCCCTCCTGACTGCCACAAGTCGGGGTTGACTCAATTGTGAATCGGACGGCCAGAAACGCTGCAGAGGTCGTTCCAGGAATTCTTCTAGAAGTGCTGATCGTCGACTGTCAGCCATGAGTTTGGGATTCCTCCAGTCCCGAAACACGCCCTGGCTGGGAGTATCGACGAATGGAGGGAAAATGTGATGCAGTAGGGTACGCGATTCTGCTTGCCTCGTTTTAGGGGAGCAAACATTCAGATTTTTCTCAAGTAGAATGTATATCTACTAAAACAACGTGCACCAATTCAACATCATAATGTCATGCCATGCCATACAAATAAGAATCAGAGGCCCTGATTGTAGTCAGGTGAATCCCATCGCCTGGAAGACATGTCTAGTTGTGCGGACGGGGACCGCTGGTGAAGGCTTGGCCGCCGAGCCAAAGGCGCAGGTCCAGGAGAGCGGCTCGGCCTGGGTGCAGATTGCTCCTGATAGCCCCCAGGACCAAAATGCTGCTGCTGATGTTGCTGCAACTGCTGCTGGTGATGTTGCTGCAACTGCTGCTGGTGAATTTGCGATGAATTACCATTTCCTCCTGGGCCAGCACCTGGGCCAGCACCTGCCCCAGCTCCTGAGCCCACCCCTGGGGGAGGGTAAGCCCCAAATCTACCACCAGCACCACCAGCACCACCACCAGTCCCACCACCACTGCTGCTGCCACCAGCGCCAGAGGCAATCCCAAGGGTGGCCCCAGCAGTAGCACTGAACCCTAGGTGACCATGCTCGGGTGAGATACTGTGGGAGCGACGATGGGCATGGGGACGGCAGGGGGGCATGGAAGGGGGGGAAGGAGCAGAGAATATGGTGTTGGGGGAAGTGACGCCTTCAGGAGAGGGAGGGAGGGCAGCGCTGTACCCACTGCTGCCACCACCACTGCCACTGCTGATGTAACCACTACCAGCACCAGCACCACCAGGGGCCCCTCCACCTGCACTCCCTGAGACAGACGATGACCCGTTCCCAAAAGAAACACTGTAGTTTCCGGAGCTACCGCCGCTGGAGCTTCGGGGGAGGCCCGGGCGAGGAGGAGTGGCCCGAGCCTGTGCCTGCTGGTGCGGGAGAAATCCACTCTCTGTCTCCGCCCCCCCTGTTCCCGCTCCTCCTCCTGCTGCTGCAGTAGCTGCTGCTGTTCCTCCTGCTGCAGCCATGGCTGCCGCGGCTCTGATCGCCTCCTGACCCTTGGATATTTGCCGCATCAACGGTCCCATACGGATGCCTGGAGGCGGCACCAGCACGGGGCCCAATGGCATCCCGCCACCTGTCGCCGTTCCTGTGGCTCCTCCGGCACTACCTGCTGCGTCAGCTGTTAGAGCAGGCGGGCCGGGAATAGCAGCAGCTAGGGCCGGGTTCATTGAATTCGCCCCCAGATCGACCATGGGCAAATTAGGGTTTGCACCAGCGCTGCCGGAACCAGCAGGAGAAGGAGCAGGAGGAGGAGGAGGCTTAGTCATGGGAGATGCATTTCTGCTGGACGCCTTACCAGTCGGGGGAATGCTGCTCGGTGAACTCTGGGCCAGATTCGCGATTACACAAGGTGGATTAGGGTTACAAACAGGGTTACCAGTGCCGGGCAGAGAAACGTGAGTGGATATGAGCTGCTTCGGCTGTGACTGGGACCGTTGGAGAGGAGTTCGGCGCGTTGGGGGCCGGTCCAAAGAGGCTCCCCCGCCTGCTGCTCCCCCCATCCCCCCTCCCCCTAATCCTCCCCCTGATACTCCCGCCATCGCTCCTCCCCCTGGACCCCCTCCCCCAGGCCCGGGCGAAGTGAACCCTCCCCCTGTCCCCCCAGCAACAGCGTTTGGCGATGTGAGCGACTTAGGGTAACCACCTGAATGCATGGACGAACTAGGTGGCGTGAGTGCGGGGGGTGCATTGAACCCTCCCGGGCCCATGCCTGCCACCATACCTGCTGCCATGCCTGTTGCCGAACCTGACTCCTCTGCCGAACCGGCTGACGCGGATCGTGGTAACCCTATTCTGTAACGGTCCGGGGTGCGAAGCCTCTCTCCAGCAGCTGGTACACCAAAAGCCCCGTTATTAGCTACTCCATTAGCAGCTACCATTCCACCTGATACAGAACCACTCATATTCTCCGTACTGTACCCAGGCATACTATTTGCACTATTAGCAGCATCGTTATTACCGAAACTGCCACCACCTAAGAGGCGGAAGAGCGGCGGGCACGGCGTGGGCAGCAGAAACGCGTGGTCTAGGAGCAGCATAGCACTCGGACGGTTCGCCGGGTCGCGTTCTAAGCACCGTCGCAACAAACTCCGACACTCTGGCGACACTTCCGCCGGGATATGTGGCACCTCGAACGTGCTCCCTATCATGTGCAACACCGCGTCTCGATCACACGCCCGCGCACCACCGCCGCCGCCCGCCGCGCTCCCAGGCGCCGCCGCGAAGCCCGCCGCTTCGAGCTGCTCGGTCCAGGGCGGCTCGCCGGTGATCATCTCGAGAACCGTACACGCAAACGACCAGATATCAGCGGCGCAGCCCTGCGCCTCCTGACGGACCACCTCCGGCGCCATCCAGCTGTACGCCCCCGCACCTTGGAACCGCGCCGGCGGCGGCTTCCGCGCGCCGGCGGCTTCCGCGGCGGAGCCGTCCGCGGCGGGGGCGGCGGCGGCGCGGATTGCGGAGCCGAAGCTGCAGAGCTTCGCCTCGCCTTTGTCCCCGTTCAGGAGCACGTTGGCGGCGCGGATGTCGCAGTGGACGATTCCGCGCGCGTGCAGATCGCGCAGCCCCTCGCAGATCCCCCGCGCGTATCTCCGCACCAGGGCCTCCGGTAATCTCCCGCCGAACGAGGACATTAAGTCCGCAATGCTGCCGCCCGAAACGTACTCCATAAATAGGTTTCTAACCCTAGCTCCTGGAACGGCAGCGTCGTCTTCCCAGTCCGCGCCCAATAGCCGCACGACACGTGGCGAGCCACGAAGCTCCTCGAGGATCGCCTGCTCGTTGTCGAGCTGTCGCATGTCGCGCGGGAGAGCGCGCGACGAGACGGATTTCGCGACGAAGATTTGACCGGATTCGGCGTGAAGGGCGAGGTGAGTTTTGCTGCGCGGATCGCCGCCAAGCTGATGTCCGCGAATCCATTGCGGCGGGTCGCACGGCGGCCCCTGCGACAGGCCATGCGACGATCCGTGCGACGACCCGTACGACGATCCGTGCGGCGATCCTTGCGACGATCCGTGCGACCTGTTCGACATCGCGGACGACGGTCGCGACATCGGGCCTGCGGACGATCCAGGTCGGGATGGAAGATTGTACTCGAGCTGGTGAAACCCGTTATTAGGCCCGTACGCGCCTCCATTAACGAGGATGTTAGGCTTGGCGCCAGAGTGGACCCCAGGGTTGAGCTGTTGCTGAATTGAAGAGTTAAAAGGCTGGTTAGAAAAATAATTATTACTAATCTGGCTACTATCGACGCGCAGAGGATCTAGGCTGGCGGACCGCAGCAGGTTACGCCGGCCCTCGGCGAAACCATCAGACTGCATCGCGTGTGCTGTTGGATGCGCGGCAGCGACTAGCACTTGCCTAGGATCACGCAAATGCAGTAACCCTATAATCAGTACATCAAGAGCTAGTCGTTCGTGCTAGAGCCCTGCTTGCGTTCACGGGACAAAAAGCCAGCAGCAGAAGTTCAGTACAGTATATAGTACGGGGCAGTATTCAGTAACTGGGAGTGAGCGAGTGACTGACTGATGAGCTGGGAGGAGTGAGAGGAGGAGACCACAAGGCCGTACGGAACGATAATAAATACGTGGTGGAAAGCGACGCAGAGCGAGGGGCGATGGCAGATGTACGTGTACACACCTCAGGCTGGGAGGAGACGAGGTTCGGGAAAAGAACAGAGGGAGGGACTGCCGTGCCGAGCCCTGCTGCTGTGCCGAGCCGTGCCCTGAAGTGAACGAACGAACTGTGCACTCGCAGGCCACATCAGCTCACCTGCCCTGCCTGTCCTCATTCACCACGTCCGGGGCGGCAGCATCAGGGGGGAGGGAAGGGAACACCATGGCCACCAGTTTTCAATCCAGAAGCGACACACTACGGGTCAATATGACATGTACAGTACGAGGATGTTTTTCACTGCCCAAAGAGCCAGATTTGCCTGGAGGCTTGGCGGTGGCGAGGAGGCGAGATGAGCCGGGCAGGCCCCAAGCTCGCCTACAGTAGGAGCCTCCATCGATAGACCAAAACCGGCCACTGGGCATTACTGTCCGTCCATTCAAAACCTCGTTACACTCATACTCCCAACTTAGTTGGAATGGAACGAAATAACATGTAATATAAGTTTCCACTGTTCTCTTATCCCTCAAATAAGAAAGTGAGGCAATAAACAGCGCAGAATACACACAGTATTCATCTAGAGAACATCCATGTATGTAGAAAATTACATCCAAATTAGTGTGTCTAATTTTGTCATTTATTATTGCCACTATTCCCATTCGACAGTAGCTGGCGGCTTGGATGTGATGTCATACACTACCCTGTTTACACCACTCACACTGTTGCAGATGCGAGCCGATACCTCACGGAGAAACTTGGTATCAAATTCAAACCTGTGAAGTGGGTGAGAAAGGAAGACGACGAGAGCGAGAGTGGGAAGATGGGTGAGGGAGGAAGAGAGTGAAAAGGGAGGGTGGTAAATTGTGTGGGGACGGAAATACACCTGCAAGTCCAAGCACCCCATCCCACCTCACCCCACCCCATTCCATCACACCCCCACCAACCACACCCACAAGTCCAAGCATCCCATCCCAGCCCATCCCACCCCATCCCATCCCATCCTCACCACACTCCACTCACCAATCAGCTGTTATGCCATGTTGGCTGGTGATCGCCAGTGCGCCTGTTGCCCTGCACTCCCACTGCCCGTCCCTATGAGTCACCAACTTACTTCTAGGCATCCCCACCCTACCCCACCCTACCCCACCCTACCCCACCCTACCCCACCCCACTCCACTCACCAGTCTGCTGTCATGCCGTCTTGGCTGGTGATGGCCCTCAAAGCCACCACATGGGAGTGGGTGCGCCGGTCCCCCTGCACTCCCACCGACCGCACCGGCAAGAAGACGGCAAACGCCTGCCAGATCTGATCGTACAGGCCGGCCTCCTTGATTGCATTAATGAAGATCTCATCCACCTGATGCCCAGATGGACCACAGCGAAGGGGACAGGACCAAGGGAACAGAGAAAAGAGAGGGGAACAGGGAAAAGAGAGGGGAACAGGGAAAAGAGAGGGGAACAGGGAAAAGAGAGGGGAACAGGGAAAAGAGAGGGGAACAGGGAAAAGAGAGGGGAACAGGGAAAAGAGAGGGGAACAGGGAAAAGAGAGGGGAACAGGGAAAAGAGAGGGGAACAGGGAAAAGAGAGGGGAACAGGGAAAGAGAGGGGAACAGGGAAAAGAGAGGGGAACAGGGAAAAGAGAGGGGAACAGGGAAAAGAGAGGGGAACAGGGAAAAGAGAGGGGAACAGCAAGAGGGGGATACGCTCAACTATTGTCAGATCTGGTCGTACAGCCCGGCCTCCTTGATACCGTTTGATGAACATCTCATCCACCTGAAGGGGAAAAGGATCAGGGGGACATCGAGAGGAGGAAAGATGGGGGGGGGACACTCAGCGCCTCACATATCTAATCGTACATGCCCGCCTCCTTGATGGCATTGATGAAAATCTCGCCCACTTGATGGGGGAAGAGCAAGCGGGACGAGGGGACCAGACGGAGAGATAGAGATGAATGAGGCAGTGGAAGAACAGGTTAAGGGGGGCACTGAGTGCGTCCATTTCGAAAAACACTGAGTCGCATGGGCAGAGAGTCACTTTGGCAGCTGCACTGCCAGGAGTGACTCTCTGACAACTTTGCTGACCATCTCGTCCGGCTTGTGGTTCAAGTGCCTTTTGAGGCGCCTCAAAAACCCTTTGGCAGCAGCACTGCCGGAAAAGACCCTTTGAGCTCTTTGCGGACAATCTCTTCTGGCTTGTGGATCGGATGCGTAATGGAGCCTTCGAAGCTTACTTGCACGAAGGTTTTCGGAGCATGCTGAAGCAGATGAATGGGGTGGACTTTCGAGCCCTCGCACGAGTTATCGACTGGTTCCCAGGTGTGATAAGCGGGGGTGGACGAACACACACGTCCCCAGCACCCGAACTGCAAGGTTGGACGCACCTGAGCAGCGGTGCTATATAATGCTATGTGTTTATCATCTGCATAACAGCTGAGCAGCTCTTACCTGGCGGATGGTGTCGAGTGCCCCGTCCGCACACAAATCCCCCAGCACCCGGACCACAAGGCCAGGCCCCACCTGAGAACAGATGCTACTTGTGATGCTATGTGTTCATGACCTGCATTACAGCTCAAAAGCATTTCAGCACCCACCTGGCGGATGGTGTCCAGTGCCCCGTCCGCACACACGTCCCCCAGCACCCGAACCGCAAGGCCAGGTCCGGGGAAGGGGTGGCGGGAGAGGAAGGAGGCGGGGACGTTGAGGAGAGCTCCAATCTTGCGCACCTGGGAGGGGGCGAAGGGGAAGAGGAGGGAAGACGAGGGAAGAGGAGGGAAGAGGTGGAAGCAGGAGATGGGTGAGTGAGGGAGGAAAGGGGAAGGTGAGAGCAGGTGACGGTTACTGAAGTAGAAAAAGCTTAACCTACCCCCAGTTATTCCACTTATTGACACTTAATCCGGCTCATTCCACTCCCCTCCCTGTCTCCCTGCCGTTGCTCCCCATCCGCATCACACTTTCCTCTCAGCCTACTCCTCTTCCCTCCCCAAATCTCCCTCCTCCCCCCCCCAAAAAAACACCCCACACCCCTCCGTCACCACCCGCTCCACTCCTTCCCTCCCAGACCCCCTTTTTGCTCTCCTCCTCCCCTTCACCTCGTCCTGGAACGGCCATTTGAGGGGCTCCACGAGGGTAAACGACATATTCTCAAATGAACCAACCCACCCACCTCTCCTATTTTTCCCTGCGCCCTCCCTCACCTCATCCTTGAACAGCCACTTAAGGGGCTCCACGAGGGTAAAGCGCATATTCTCGGGTAAACCACCCACGTTGTGGTGGCTCTTGATGGTGTGCGAGTGCTTCTTCCCACTGCCAGGCGGCGGGCACGACTCAATTACGTCCGGATACAGTGTACCTGGAAACAGGTTTGGGAGGAGGAGGAGAAGGGGGGGGGGAGAGAGGGTGAAGGGGTGAGAGGAGGGAATTTGCACACGTCCGGATACAATGTACCTGGAAACAGGTTGTGTTGACAGCTCAATCACGACCAGGCATAGAGAGCTTGAGAAAATGTTGGGAGGGTGGACCTTGCACCGGGGACTCTTCCCCGGTGCCTCTTCCCCGGTGCCTCTTCCCCGGTGCCTCTTCCCCGGTGCCTCTTCCCCGGTGCCTCTTCCCCGGTGCCTCTTCCCCGGTGCCTCTTCCCCGGTGCCTCTTCCCCGGTGCCTCTTCCCCGGTGCCTCTTCCCCGGTGCCTCTTCCCCGGTGCCTCTTCCCCGGTGCCTCTTCCCCGGTGCCTCTTCCCCGGTGCCTCTTCCCCGGTGCCTCTTCCCCGGTGCCTCTTCCCCGGTGCCTCTTCCCCGGTGCCTCTTCCCCGGTGCCTCTTCCCCGGTGCCTCTTCCCCGGTGCCTCTTCCCCGGTGCCTCTTCCCCGGTGCCTCTTCCCCGGTGCCTCTTCCCCGGTGCCTCTTCCCCGGTGCCTCTTCCCCGGTGCCTCTTCCCCGGTGCCTCTTCCCCGGTGCCTCTTCCCCGGTGCCTCTTCCCCGGTGCCTCTTCCCCGGTGCCTCTTCCCCGGTGCCTCTTCCCCGGTGCCTCTTCCCCGGTGCCTCTTCCCCGGTGCCTCTTCCCCGGTGCCTCTTCCCCGGTGCCTCTTCCCCGGTGCCTCTTCCCCGGTGCCTCTTCCCCGGTGCCTCTTCCCCGGTGCCTCTTCCCCGGTGCCTCTTCCCCGGTGCCTCTTCCCCGGTGCCTCTTCCCCGGTGCCTCTTCCCCGGTGCCTCTTCCCCGGTGCCTCTTCCCCGGTGCCTCTTCCCCGGTGCCTCTTCCCCGGTGCCTCTTCCCCGGTGCCTCTTCCCCGGTGCCTCTTCCCCGGTGCCTTGCCTCCTCCCCGGTGCCTCCTCCCCGGTGCCTCTTCCCCGGTGCCTCTTCCCCGGTGCCTCTTCCCCGGTGCCTCTTCCCCGGTGCCTCTTCCCCGGTGCCTCTTCCCCGGTGCCTCTTCCCCGGTGCCTCTTCCCCGGTGCCTCTTCCCCGGTGCCCAGCTTGAACCCAGCGCCTCTTCCCTCTTTCCCTCGATCCCCCTCGCTTCAATTCACCTCTTACGGTCACAAGCCCACACAACCCATTCTGCACCTTGCACCGGGGACTCTGGTATGTGCCCCAGCTTCGCCTCCAGTTCACTCGCAAAATCATCAAACACGCCAATGAACTCCGCCCCGATGATGCGCCTCTACCTCTCGGGGTCCGTCACACTTGAGCTTGGAGAGGAGAGGAAGCGATTTTCTCCCCTCTTTCTCACTCCCTCTTGCTTCAACCCAAGCCGCACAGCAACAACCAAAGCCGCACAGCAACAACCAACCACTTGCCCTGCAACAACCAACCACTTGCCCTGCAACAACCAACCACTTGCCCTGCAACAACCAACCACTTGCCCTGCAACAACCAACCACTTGCCCTGCAACAACCAACCACTTGCCCTGCAACAACCAACCACTTGCCCTGCAACAACCAACCACTTGCCCTGCAACAACCAACCACTTGCCCTGCAACAACCAACCACTTGCCCTGCAACAACCAACCACTTGCCCTGCAACAACCAACCACTTGCCCTGCAACAACCAACCACTTGCCCTGCAACAACCAACCACTTGCCCTGCAACAACCAACCACTTGCCCTGCAACAACCAACCACTTGCCCTGCAACAACCAACCACTTGCCCTGCAACAACCAACCACTTGCCCTGCAACAACCAACCATTTGCCTTGCAACAACCAACCACTTGCCCTGCAACAACCAACCACTTGCCCTGCAACAAATTGCATCTTCCCGCGGCAGCAACTAACCCACCTTGCACCAGGCACTCGGGTCGGTGGCCCAATTTCGCCTCCAGTTCACTCGCAAAATCATCAAACACGCCAATGAACTCCGCCCCGATGATGCGCCTCTTCCTCTCGGGGTCCGTGACGCCCCTGAGCTTGGAGAGGAAGCGGTCAGACGCGTCCACACAGGTGACTGGCAGATGCAGGTCCGCCTCAAACATTGCCATCACCCGCTGCTGCTCCTGGAACCTGGGGGGAGAAAGAGTATGTGTGGGGGAGGGTGGGCGGGAGGGTGTGGGTGAGGGAGAAGTGTTGAAAAATTAGGGGTTCGGGTTAGGCCTGTGTCTTCTCCCCCGCAACACTACAGAACCTCACTAAACCCCTCACTAAACCCAGCTAAATCCCTCCTAAACCCCTCGCCATACAACACTCACTGCAGTTGTCCGTTTTCCACAAAAATACAGCGCAGGTGGTCACCAATCGCGCGGTGAACCAGCGTGGCCTCTACAGTCGAGTCACTGCCCCTTTCTTTCACTACATCACCACTTCAAAACCACATAGAACCGCACTAAACCCTACAAAAACTCACCGCAGCAGCCCATTGTCGACAAAAATGCAGTGCAGGCGGTCCCCAATCGCCCTGTGCACCAGCGTGGCCGCTACAGTCGAGTCAACGCCGCCCGACAGGGCACACACCGCATGCTTCACCGGCCCCACTGCCGCTTGGACGGCTGAGATCGCCTCATCCAGAACCTCCTGCATCTGCCAATCAGCGTGCGCGCCCCCGATGTCAAACACCACACGGCGAAGGGTTTCCATGCCCCTGGGGGTGTGGGTCACCTGTTGGAGGGGGGAGGGGGGAGGGGAAGAGAGTGGGAGGGGAAAAGGAGAGCAGGTCAAAGGACACACTAACCCGCCTAAAAGCACCTCGTGCATCTGCTAGTCAGCATGCCCGCCCCCAAGGAGGTGACTTTTGAGTCGAATCAAAAGTCACCCAATCAGCATGCGCGCCCCCAATGTCAAACACCACGCGGCGAAGCGTCTCCATGCCCCTGGGGGTGTGGGTCACCCGCGTGCGTGGGGGAGGAGGGAAAAGGGGGTGGAGGGGCAAGGGGTGGGGGAGAAATTGGAAACAGACGACAGGACACTCTACCCCGTCTCTAAAGGCACCTCCCTTATCTGCCAGTCAGCGTGTGTGCCCCCGATGTCAAAGACCGCACGGTGAAGGGTCTCCATGCCCCTGGGGGTGTGGGTCACCCGCGTGCGTGGGGGAGGAGGGAAAAGGGGGTGGAGGGGCAAGGGGTGGGGGAGAAATTGGAAACAGACGACAGGACACTCTACCCCGTCTCTAAAGGCACCTCCCTTATCTGCCAGTCAGCGTGTGTGCCCCCGATGTCAAAGACCGCACGGTGAAGGGTCTCCATGCCCCTGGGGGTGTGGGTCACCTGCGTGTGTGGGGGAGAGGGATGAAGGAGTCAGCGTGCGTGACCCCTGAGAAGCGGTACTGCGATTTCCCCTAAAGCTGAAATGAATATGTGTGTGCAGTACCCTCGTGGTCTCTTCCTTTAGGAACTCGCGCCCCTCTCTCCTCTCCCCTCGCCCCTCGCCCCTCGCCCCTCGCCCCTCGCCCCTCGCCCCTCGCCCCTCGCCCCTCGCCCCTCTCCCGTCACGCACCTCAGGGTGGTATTGCAGGCCGAATATATTGCGTGTAGTGCACTCACTGTCCCTCACGCGCCCTCAAGCTGTGCCCACACCAATCCCCCCTCCCCAATACCGCCTCCCCAGTCCCCCTCCCCTTCCCATACACCAACCTCAGGGTGGTATTGCAGGCCGAATATATTGCGTGTAGTGCACTCACTCTCCCTCACGCGCCCTCAAGCTGTGCCCACACCAATCCCCCCTCCCCAATACCGCCTCCCCAGTCCCCCTCACCTTCCCATACACCAACCTCAGGGTGGTATTGCAGGCCGAATATATTGCGTGTAGTGCACTCACTCTCCCTCACGCGCCCTCAAGCTGTGCCCACACCAATCCCCCCTCCCCAATACCGCCTCCCCAGTCCCCCTCCCCTTCCCATACACCAACCTCAGGGTGGTATTGCAGGCCGAATATATTGCGTGTAGTGCACTCACTCTCCCTCACGCGCCCTCAAGCTGTGCCCACACCAATCCCCCCTCCCCAATACCGCCTCCCCAGTCCCCCTCCCCTTACCATACACCAACCTCAGGGTGGTATTGCAGACCGAATATATTGCGTGTAGTGCACTCAATCGCCACCACCGTGCCCTGGTCGCTGCGCGCCACCACCCTCGACCCTGTCCCTTCTCCCTTCACCCACCTCAGGGTGGTATTGCAGGCCGAATATCTTGCGTGTAGTGCACTCAATCGCCACCACCGTGCCCTGGTCGCTGCGCGCCACCACCCTCGACCCTGTCCCTTCTCCCTTCACCCACCTCAGGGTGGTATTGCAGGCCGAACATCTTGCGTGTCGTGCACTCAATCGCCACCACCGTGCCCTGGTCGCTGCGCGCCACCACTTTGAAGCCATCTGGAAGCTTCGTCGCCTCGTCGCCGTGGCTCATCCATACCGTCTGCTGGGGACAGGGATTTAGAACGAGACAGGTGATTATAACGGGACCAAACGCTTGTAGCGGGGACAAGAAAAATGTTAGTGAAATTCTTGGATGGATTCGTCGCCTCGTCGCGGTGGCTCATCCACAGGGTCTGTAGGGGACAGGGTTTTTGTAACAAAAGCAGGTTACTGTAACCAGGACAATATGTGAAGTTCGTAAACCCCTTGGGTAGCTTGTTGGATAAATAAAAGTGGCACAATCGCATTCTGTGATGGTAACAGATTACATGTCGCACAAAGTGGCGGTAACCCGTTACCTGTCGCGTCTCATTCTTCGCCTTCTTCTTCTCAGGTTCCTCGCCTCCCGCGTCGCTCCCGCCAAAGAGCGCCGAATCACAATCCGCCACGATATCCATCCGTCCGTACTCTTGCGCCTCGGCTCGTGCCACGTCACCACCCAACGTCTTCACAATCAGCTGCATTCCGTAGCAGATCCCGAGAACCGTAATACCCTTCTCTATCGAATAGTCGAAAAAACCTTCGGGAACCGTCGGCGAACCTTCCTCGTGCACGGAGTTCGGCCCGCCGGAGAGAACGATGATCGTCGGATGGACGGCCTGGATCTGATCCAACGGCACGCCGGCCGGCAGGCTGACGGAGTAGACTCCGAGCTCGCGAATGCGGCGCGTGATTAGCTGCGTGTACTGCGATCCGAAATCGAGCACGAGCACGACGGATCGTTTTGACGAGGTCAAAACGGACGGCGGAACCCCTTGAAGGGTTTCTGTAGGGGTCACTGACTTCTCAGCAGCGGTATTCGCGGCAACGCTCGCGGCGGTTTCATGGCCGTTTTCTGCAGCTGTCGCCATGATTGGATTTAATATCTTTTGCGATCCTGTGCTGGGTTGATCACTCCACCGTTTAACGACCGGAAAACGTCGCCTGACGACAAAGACGTTGCAAGACGAAAATAATGGTGTCGCAAGCGACCTATCCCCAAAATTAGGCGACGAATGGCCTCTAAGAGCCTTGAGAAAGGAGGCGGAGGAAGAACCAAGCAGGCGGAACAGAGAAGCGGACGAGAAGAACATATGAGAAGGACAAGCAGGGGAAAGGAAGGAAAATCGCAATCGAGGGTGGTGGTGGTGAAAGTTGAAACAAGATGGTTGACACGCCGGGGCGGGGTTCGCAAATTTGACCGTTTCAGGGTAGCCGAAATGGCAGTTCCAAGGCTGCCCGTCGGACAAGCCTTGAAAATTTCTGGCAATTCCCAGAGCCACCTCTTAGAACTTCGTCAGGAAGCACGTAGGTATTGTACAGTAGCACAAAGTTCGAACGAATCAATAAATAGTATAGGTGGATATACAAGATAAACAAAAACACAAGCACTGTGCAGGTTTGTTGAGCTATATTACACGCTTCCCAAAAAGGAAAACTCCCTTATCTTCACTCCGTGTATTTTCTCTCTCATTTTGTTCAGCATCATGTATTGTACGGTTATGTACAGATGTGTTTATGCCATGAGCCGTCTGTTCACGGCGGCCTATTGAGTGGACCCGCGTCACCTGTACACCTCCCGTAAGTCTGCTGTCGTCATCCGTATTCCCATCCCTCTCCATATCCACAGTCGGGGAAGACAGCTGTATGACCGGCTCTTGTTGTACCACCGTAACTTGAGGCGCTAGTGTTTGTGTTTCATGATGATGAAACCCCGAATATGCAATCCGCTGCTGAAGGATTTTCACGTCACCCCCTTCATGTAGGTTGTCCTTTAGATGCCTCGAAATCAGATCTTGTGCCCATGCACTCCGTGCCACAATCATACCACCCCTCGCATGGACGCCCCCCACCATGCCTGTCGAAGGTGCCGCCGGACGAGCCATAGGTCCGGCCGGACCTGTATCCTCCCCTACCGAACCTCCTACAAACATCGCCGAGCCTGCTGCCGGACCTGCAGCATGCAGTGTCTCCGGTCTCTCAGGCACGTGCGTATTCAACGACAAAAAACCTCTGGTGGTTCGCATAAGCGCTGCCGAAAAAGCCGCTGCCGATGCCGATGCTGCTGCCTCTTCGTCTGCCTGCTTCGGCTGGTAAGTCCCCTCTGTAGCTTGCATCTGCTGCCGAGCATTCCCAGCGCCCCAGCTGCTGCTGCTTCCGCCGGCCGGATCGAGCCCTTGTGCAAGCAGCAGGGAACGCTGCCAGAGATGTTGTTGCTCGAGGGTAGGCAAGGAGGGGCCTACCAAGGATGCTACAGTGGCAGCATGGACCATGACGGGAATGGGAGGCGAGAGCGAGGAGGAGTGGAGAATGGCTGTGGGATCGGAGAATGAGGATGCATGCACGGACGGGGTTGCAGTGTCGGTAGCAGAGGGAGGCGGCGCGGCAGGGGTGAGAGGAGGGGAAGGAGCGTGGAAGCGTGGAACGTCCATGCCGAGAGCGTCTATGGCTGGAGTGTGCACGCCTGGAGCATGCATGGCCGGAGGAGGGATAGTGTCAAAGCCTTTCAGGTGCGCGTGCGGGCCTTGAGAGGCCTGAAAGGCATGAGAGGTCTGTGAGGTCTGAGAGACCTGAGTGGGATGAGAGGCCTGAGTGGCTTGAGAGGTTTGAAAGGACGTCAAGGGAATTTGCTCACTGGATGGCAATCTGTGCACCACACCTGTCAGGTCAGCCACAGCAGCAGACACACCACCCTGCGAGGATGGTTTTTTTATACTCTCAAAAACACCTGTCAGATTAGCCGCAGCAGCAGATGCACCAGCCTGTGAGGCTGGCCAGACAGCAACAGCAACAGACGGGGCCGGGCTGGGCCAGGGGACTACAGTGGTGGTGCCGAGGAGAGAAGCTGGGGCACCCTTGAATTGCTTCCCATCAACAGCATTTCCATCAGCAGGATAGCCACCAGCAGCATTGCCATCAGCAGCAACAGGAGCAGACGGGGCAGGGGCGGGCCAGCCGACTACAGTGGTGGTCCCGACGAGAGAAGCTGGGACACCCTTGACATGCTTCCCATCAACAGAATGATTATCAGCAGCATTGCCAGCAGCAGCAGCAGCAGCAGCAGCAGCAGCAGCGGCAGCGCTGGCGTAGGCTGCTGGAGCAGCAGCAGCTGAGGCGGATCGTGGCCACGAGAGGGATCCGAACCCGACCGGCCGATTCAGCCCGAGAGACAGGTCGTGCTGCAGAGGAACGGTGAGGCTCCGGGTTACTGTCGCCGCGCCTGGTTTCAACAAAAAGGCCTCGTTAGGTTCGCCTCCAAATTGGTGGCCGGACAGATCCATCGGAGCACTGCTAATGGCATCGTCCGCGTTACCAGCATCAACATCAACAGTATCAGCAGCACCACCGGCACCACCGGCATCACCTCTACCTCTGCCACCACCGCCACTGCCACCGCCACCACCACCGCCACCACCAACACCACCATAGCCACTGCCGATCTGGGATCCTGAACCAATTGGATATACCGGACCGTCTCGAGGCTCTGGTCCTGGAGTAACGTCCATGGGAGCCCAGTTTCCGGAAACTTCTGAGGGCGATGTGTTGAATGACTGGCCCAGACCTTCCATCCCTGCACGCCCATGCGCCACAGCGTGCGATGCAGGGCTGGGTAAGGGTGCACTCTCGTCCCATACATGCTGCGGTTGAAGCTGTTTCGGAGACCTTGTGCTGCTGGTGATGTGAGTGGGAGGTTGTTGCTGACGCGGCTGCAGATTCTGCTGACGCGGCTGCAGCTGAGGCTGTTGCTGGGATGATGCGAGCCGGGCGCGGAGGTTGCGGGCGATGGCCGCAGCAAGCATCTTGTTGCACGAGTCTTCAAACTCCCGCGATGCAGCTGAACCATCTCTCCTTGCCTTGCCACGCCCCCGGGGAGTGGTAGCAGCAGCGGCAGTACCATCGGCAGCCAGCATTTTGTTGCACGAGTCCTCAATCTCCCGCGATGCTGCCGTTGATACTGCTGCTGCTGCAGAACCATCTCGCCGTGCTTTCCCGCGTCCCCGGGGAGTGGTAGCAACAGCAGCGCCAGTACCATCAGCAGAGGCAAGCATCTTGTTGCATGAGTCTTCAAACTCCCGGGAAGCTGCTGAGCCATCTCTCCTTGCTTTCCCGCGCCCCCGGGGTGTGGTAGCGACAGCGGCAGCGGTACCATCAGCAGAGGCAAGCATCTTATTGCACGAGTCTTCAAACTCCCGCGATGCTGCTGCTGCTGAACCATCCCTCCTTGCTTTACCGCGGCCCCGGAGAGTGGTAGCAGAAACGGCGGCAGAACCAGCAGCTGCAGCTGTAGCAGCAGCACCTCCGCTCCCTCCGCTCCCTCCGCCGCCTCCGCCGCCGCCAGCGGCCGCGGCGGTGGCGAGCGGCTCGCGCTTCCTCCTGCTGCGCTCCCGGGGAGACCCATCTTCGATTAGGCTTTCTCCTTGGCGCTTGTACGCGGAATCCGGGGGAGAAAACGCCGTCCCCGCAGCCCCCGAGGAGGCAATTTTCGCGGCTCCAGATGGCGGCGGGCTGCGGAAGAACGGCGGCACTATGACTTCCGCCGCCCCCGCCGCTACCCCTGTTGCTGTCGCTCTCGCTGGGGTTGGACGCGGCGCGTCCGGATTCACAGAGTGGCTGTTCTTGATTGGGGAATGTGATAGCACGTTGATCTTCGGACTCTGCTGACTCTGGAGCAGCGCTGTCGGCGTAGCTTCGCCGAATTCGTCGCCTGTGTCGTCAGTTCTCTCGCCCGCTGCGTCACCCACCTCGTCGGCCATATCGTCGCTCGCTCCTCCCGCCGAGATGCCGCGCATTCCGCCGTCCATTCCGCAACCCGTTCCTTTCGCCGCACTGCGGCCAGTGTCAACTTAGTTCAGTGTGTGATTGAAGCTTCAACTCACAGTCAAGTCTCGCCGTTTCACCGCCTTGCGAGCCGGAACCGCTTCTTTGAGAAGTCCGCTTGAGTTTTGCACGTCCTAATCGGGGATTGCCGCCGCGGCTCACCACTGATGCAAATTGTCACGTAACCTGTAAATCGAGCGACGGTTGCGGAGACTGCTACAACGTTCTACCACTACCACTCTACTAACGAGATCAGATGGTTGCGGATTACAACGAGTCGTTCCGCACGTCCTACTACTAGTAGTGCGAGTAGTAAGTCAGGATCTCTAGGCTCGAGATCAGATGTAGTACGAAGGGAGAGGACACGGCGCGGCGCACGTTCACGGCACAAATCGTGGTACTATTACCACTACAACAACTACATGAAAAGCGAGCAGCGACACATTCTGATTCTCGATGATCCGTCGGCTGTTTATCTACTATGCCATGCTCTTGTTTTGGGCCGAGTGAGTGATTTGCAGCTCTGGTCTGCCAGACCAAAAAGGTCGGGGTCTGGTCAGCGTCGCATCCCGGATTTCCGAAATCGTTCGCAGCGCGGAGGTTGGTAGGATCCGAAAGCCCAGTCACACTACTACCGGCGGACCGGAACATGATACTGTACGTCGAATTGCGGAACTAGTCACTAGAATTGCGGAGCATACAGCTGCTCTGAATGAACTGTTAATCCCTAGTAGTGCGGCGCGAGGTCGCAAACAGAACCTGGGTTGCCTCCACAAAAGGTTGCGATTGCGAGGCTGTCACTCTTGTACGTATTTGTGTAAATATTCGGCGGAAAACTGTGTGCCCCCTGTACTGTGTGTGAAGTACTGTACTCTGTCTTGTACCCTACTACACCACTCTGTTGTGTTCCTTCCAAGGAGTCCTCGCCTCGACTCCTTACCTCAGTGGCTATCGATACCTCGCCCTCGCGAAGGAAGATTTTTCTAATTGAAGTTGTTCGCGTGCCTCCGGTGCGGTGCGGAGGTGCTCCTCCGCGTGCGTGTGTGTGCAGTGGAGTGGATAAGGGCGAGCCTTGACCCTTCCATTGGTCAATCTGAACCAAGAAGCTCGTGATTGTGCATCACTTGCTGACTGCCTTCCCATCCCATTTGCATGTGGATGGTGTTCAGGTCACGGGTGAGGTGATTCCTTCCCATTGAAGGTTCGTTGGTGAATATCGCGACGCGAACGAGAGCATCTTTTTGGGCCATGCTGTGAACTTCAACCACAGCACCGGCGAACTGTTGACGAGATTTTGTACCTTCTGCGTTTCTGACTCAAAGGAGCCAGTTGTGGGAGTGGTGTGGTGCGCGGGCATTGCTTTGCAGCACCGTCCACTAAACTCGGCCCGTTGTCCGAGATCTGGGAGGTGGAACACACATTGGTGGTGGCATTGACCCAGACGTGCGTGCATTTGATGAGCAGGTTGGTGGTTGTGCGAGCCAAAATTTGTGTGCACCACCCAGAGCAGCAGCACTGAGGGGGGAGGGGGTGGGGAGGAGCGGCTCGTTGGCATTGAAAGCGGGTCGTGACGGATTGGGGGGGAAGTCCGAAGCGCGCATTTTGGGTTGAATCTCAATAATGAACGCACACAGTGCTAACACAGGCTTCTACAATTTTTCTTGTTGCCCGTTACGGAAGGCTGCTGCTCGGTAGCAAAAGGCACGGGTGTGTGAAACACCAGTACATTCGAATGTTGTATGTTTAGGCGAGCCACTGCTTTTTCTTGGACAGTTGTGCTGGTCGATTTGGAATCACGAAGAAACTGGCAACATTTTGCACATGCGATGGGTCACTTCGTCTTTGTACATGCACTGCATAAACGGCAAAATCCGTGCAATTCCAAAACAGCACAGCAGCGGTTAGTCGAGCAAGGAACCACGACGAAATTCACAAACAACTCCTCTGTTTCTCATGCTGGCGTCACCAAGTAAAGCCTCCACATCAGCGGGACCAATCTTGATCGACGACTCGTCAAGATCGCTCGATTATTGTCCAATCGCGACGTGTGCATGTGAAGACCTGCCTCAGTGGAGGTACAAAGTGGCAAATTACCAAGAGAGCACGTGCTTGCCGTTTTGTGTTGTGTCATGTACGTTCCGAACATACCGGCACGTATGCCGCTGCTATTTAAAGACAAGGGTACATGCTCTCGCACTTGCAGTTATATGTAAAAAAGAGAGCTTTAAATGAATGTTAGTGAGGATGAGAGAACAAAAAAAATCAGCAAATGAGGAAACAAAAAGGACACGTCCAATGAACAGGGACTCTGAGTTTGGGTGCCGAAAGGGAGGATTTTGTTTAAGGGATTTTATGTTCGGTAAAATATACATTGATAACGATGATGGTGTTGAGACTTGTTGTTACGGGTGCAATGAATCGAGGTAGAGAGGATTCCACTAAGTGTCAAACGAGTACAAAATTCTTAGAAACTAAACACAGCGGAATGAGTTGGATTGATTGGGTTGGGGTACAAATGCCTAACCCTAACTGTTTGTACCACATATAGCATGACCCACTAGAGGCTATAACATTTGACACACCCCCATAGCCTAAGTGGGGAATGCCAAGCAACAAGAAACGCAACCTAAGGTCACAAGACCAGTCACAAGTAAGAGAGAAAACAAAGCTCATGGTGGATCACAACGTCACCACACAGTCTGAGCACAAATAAAGGGCCACAAGGCCAGTTCAAGAGTATACAAACTAATATATATGGTACATACAAACAAGAGGCAAGAACTCACTACTGCAATCTACTAGACCCAGTCTCAACGAGGCCTAACTGCAGACAAAACCGGCGGTGGTCACAAGGCTGAAGGGCCTTGGTGAAGATGTCTGCAGTGTTGGCCTCGGAGGCCACGAAGTCCAGACGAGCCTGTCAGCGTCTCTGCAACTCTCGAAGGAGGAAGTACCTGACGTCGATGTGCTTCACTCTGCTCTCCAGTCGAGGCTCACGACACAGGAGAATCATCGCCTTGTTGTCAGCAAACAAGGTCGGTGCAGAGCTCGGCCACTCACCAAGGTCAGTGAGCAAGAAGGTCAACCAGCGTAGCTCCTGTGCAGCAAGGTCTCCAGCGTAGATCTCGGCCTCTGCGGTAGAAGTCGCAACAGAAGAGGACCGAGTGGACCTCCACGAAACAGCTCCAGAGCCCAGGCTGAAACAGTAACCCTGTGTAGACCTCTGAGTCTCAACGTCGTCGGCGTAGGAGGAGTCGCAGTGACTGGTGAGTACAACTGGCTGTGTCCCTCCAAGTACAAGCCCCATGTTTGATGTCGCGCCGAGGTACTTCGCCACCCTCTTAGCCGCCGTCCAGCGAACAGGACGGTGTCTCCCAGTCGCAACAAAGCGAGAAAGGATGCTAAGAGGGAAGGCGAGGTCCGGGCGAGTACACGTCATCAGGTACATAAGGCAGCCCACCAGCTCTGGGCTCGAACGGCTCGTCAAAAATAGGCCCAGTGAGTCTGTGGTCTACAGCAAGAGGGGAGGGTGTAGGAGAAGAGTGCTGAAGCCCGAACCGCTGAAGGACCTGCTGCACCATGTGTGACTGAGTCAGAGTGATGGTGCGAGCGGCTCTGTCCATGGAGATCTGAAGGCCAAGGTAGCGGCGCAGTTCCCCAAGGTCAGTGCAGGTGTGTCTCTTCTGCAGTTCGGACTTCACCTCCGCCAGTGCAACTGTGTCGGCTGTGGCAAAAACCAGGTCGTCAACGTAGACGAGAACGAAGAAAGTTATGCGCCCACGACGAACAAACAGCGACGGGTCGGCGGAAGACGGCTCAAACCCGAGGTCGGACAGAGTAGAGCGGAGAGTGTCGTGCCACTCACGGGGTGCCTGGCGGAGACCGTAGACCGGTCGTCTGAGACTCCACTGGTTCCCAGGCGGGAAGGTGCCAGTGAAGCCCGGAGGACGACGCAGCCAGATCTCCTCGTGTAGACTGCCCTAGAGGAAGGCAGTGGAGAAGTCAAGAGAGTGTAGCTCGTAGTCTCTCTGCGCTGCTACGTGCAGTAACACCCGAAGAGTGGTCATCTTCGGGGTGGGCGCGAAGGTCTGAAAGAAGTCAACTCCCTCACGCTGACTGAACCCTCTAGCCACGTAGCGTGCCTTGAAGACTGCGGGAGATCCAGGCGGCCGCTTCACCTTGAAGATCCACATGCCGTCAACTATGTTCGCCCCTGGGGGGAGAACCTCGTCAACGTAAGTGCCTGTGGACTTGTAGGAGGCCATCTCTGCGTCCATGGCAGCTCTCCACTGAGAGGCCCAAGGCCCTAACACTGCCTCAGCGTAAGTGCAAGGAGTAGGTATGTCAGGAGCGTCGGGGTCTCCCTCAGGAGTGAGGAGCATGGCACAGAGATGAGGCGAAGCAGCTGCCAGGAACTCTAGCTCAAACTGTCTGTCCTCTAGGACGTCACAGCCAAAGGCAGACTCACCCCCGGCGGACAGAGGACGGACAGGAGGAGCGGCCACAACACGAGTGGCGTAGTCAAGGCGACGCGTGGCAGTAAAGTCAGTGACAGCGGCAGTGAGGACTGCGACGGAGGAAGGAGAGGCACGAGGGTCAGTAACAAGAGAGGCGAGAACACGAGAGAGAGTAGGGCGGTACGTGCGGTAGTAGTCAGTGACCGGAGTGGACAGGGAGGCAGTGAGAGACGACCCAGGAGGACGAGGAAGAACAGACGGAGGAGGACGAGGAGGACTAGGACGAAACAACACGGTACGGAGGTCAGTGACAAGTGACGAAGGACGAGCACGAGGGGGACGAGAGGTCCAAGTGTGGGCGAGAGGAGAGGGAGACGGAGGAGACTGAGAACAAGGGAACACAGCCGGAGCTGAGTCCGGAGGAGGAAACGTAGGACCAAACACAGGAGGAGAGGAGGGGAGACCAAGGGCCCGAAGGCCAGAAACAGGGGCTGGAGGCTGCTCCGGCTGCTACGGCTGCTCCCGCTGCAACTCCAACCTCTCACGCTCCACCCGCTGCTGAACCTCCGACCTCTCACGCTCCAAACGCTGCTGCTCCTCACGCTTTAGACGAAGAAGGGCCTGGTAACGAGTCGGGTAGGGGTGAGGAGGAGGAGTGGTGTCAGGAGACGCAGCAGAAGAACCGGCTCCGTCCTCGACAGTACCCGGCTAAGCACCCCTAGAGCGAGTACCTCCCGCGGCAGCACGACCAGTACCTGTAGGAGGTGTACCCGCACCCCCAATCGTGGTGCCTCCAGTGGCACCAGCACCAGCCCCAGACTCTCCAGCTCCAGAAACACCACCAGCTCCAGCACCACCACCAGCTCCAGTACTCTCGGAACGGGCAGCTGCGGCAGGTGCACGCTCAGCGCCAACGCCAACACCCCCAGAACTGGCTGCTCCTGTAGGTGCACGAACAGCCCCAACGCCAGCACCCCCAGAGCGAGCACCGCCCGAGCCCTCACCTCGAGCACCAACACCCTCAGAGGCCGCAGTGGCCGGTAAAGGAAGCGCTGACGGCTGCTGCGGAGGCGGTGAGGACGACTATGGGGAAGGAGGAGAGACCTGGGGGGGTACCAAGGGGGGGGGAGTAGCGTGGGACACACCAGACAGAGCGGGAACAGGGGGGGGTACCGGAGGAGTAGGGGCGGGAGGAGGAGGAGCTGGAGCCAGGAAGAGGGGAGGGGGGGGGAACCGGGAGACCTCGACAGGGGTACCGGACGTAGTAGGGGACGGACTCGTCGGAGCGGACGTCATGAGAGTCAAAGAACTGGTGGAAGGGAGGGTGGTAAAAGGTGAAGTCAGAGGAGCCATCTGGGAAACCAAGGAAGACACAGGGGACAGCGCGAGGCGAGATCTTGTCCGCAGAGGTGTCGCGGACAAGAGCCAAGCAGCCCCAGACACTAAACCTCGACGCAACACCAGGGGACCCTGTCCAAAGACTGGTCGGTGAAGCCCCTGGCCGAGAGACGCGAGGCCAGAGGTTCAGCTGGTGAGCGGCGTACCGAGCCGCGTAGGGCCACATAAAATGGGGCGCGCGGGCGTGGATCATGGAGGTGCGGGCGATCTCCATGACCAGGCTTAAGCGGCGCTCAGCAACCCCATTATGCTGTGGAGAGTCTGGAAGAGTCCAGGACTGGGTGATGCCCTGCTCAGCACCGAATCTGGCGAGAATGCCGGAGCGAAACTCACCCCCACGGTCGGAGTGAAGACAACTGACATGACGACCGCGAGTGCCCTCGGTGGCGAGGAGCCACCGGATCAGCGTAGAAGTCACGAGTCACGTCGGACTTCTTCGCCAAAGGGAACACGGTGGTGTACCGAGAGTAGTCGTCAACGACCACCAGAAAGAAAATCTCACGCGCAGGGCCAAGGCGGGGAGCGGGGCCCTAGACGTCTAAGTGGAGAGTCTCGAAGGGCTCGGTGGCCGGACGAAGGGAGGAGGAGTGAGGGGTGGCGCGCAGCCGACCCTGGACACAAGGACCGCACGGAGGAGCTGGGGACGACGGGAGTGGCGGGAGGACTCGGGGGAGGCCTAAGACAAGACACTGGCTGGACATAGCGCGGAGACGAGGGAGGCAAGGGTGACCAAGGCGGTGGTGCCTGAGGAGGGAGGGGTGGGCAAGCGACCGACACGAGCACGACACAGCAACTACACCTGACACAGCAACCTGACTGGACCCGGCTACCTGGTGGGACGGGGGAACCTGACGGGGGTCGGCGCGGAGGGTGTACAGACCGGAGCCCGGCTCCTAGCGAAAAGTGGCCAAGGGGGCGTACGTGTCACCGTCCACACAGACCGCGGTGTCACCAGAAGGCTCAACCCAGACCTCGACATGCTGTCTCGCCAGGGTGCCCACACCAACCAGGTTCCTAGAGAACGTAGGAACGTGGAGGCCAGTCAGGGAACCGGAAGGAGCAGCTGGGCACGGGAGTGTAGTGGCGTGAGTCGCAATGACCGGTCCCGAAGAGGGATCGGCCAGTGCTACAGGGACAGGCTGCGAAGATTCACTCTATAACGGTAGTGAGCTAGACTACAGGGGTTGGCACGAACTACTAAGAGTGATCGTAGCTTTGCTTGGTTCCTTAGTGCTTGCACATTCACGGGAGAAATCGGCAAGAGTTTCCACTAGCAAAGTTGAAATTTTAGAATGATTGAACAAGAGATGGCAACAATGACTACATCAGGCACCTAGCAACCCTGCAGCTAGTCTGGTCGACCGCCAGCACAGCTTGGTCGACCGCCTGCCAGCGTTGCGTAGAGGAGCCGCGCCAGCACTGCGGAAAGGCGACCTGCCAACAGCGCAGGTCGACGGCGTGCCAACGCTGCATAGGAGCGGCTGTCCAGCGTTGCCCCGTAGAACACAGCAGTGCACACGCTCGCAGATGCGCGCAGATGATTGGCCCGACTTGCCTCGTTGGGCATCCGTCGGCTGTTGTCTGCGCCTGACGAGCCACATCGACTTCGGGATACCAGCCTGCAGTCGCCCTCGCCATCGCGACCTCGACGACATTCGCGTGCCTCCGCAGAACTCGTCGAGCAGGTTACCCGGTCGACCCGGTCGACCACCAGGTGCTACCGGTCGACCACCACCGCTTCTGGTCGACCACCAGGTCCCTCTGGTCGACCACCAGGCGCCCCTGGTCGACCACAGCTCCCGTCGAGCTACCCTCTGGTCGACGGACCCCTTTCGTCGACCGCTGCTCACTTGCCAGGTCGACGGACTGCTCCGTCGACCTCCCGGTCGAACTGCAGGACGACGGGCTGCTCCCGGTCGAGCTGCAGGTCGACGGAGACCCCCTGGTCGAGCTGCAGGTCGACAGAGACCTCCCGGTCGAACTGCCCCTCCTGGTCGATGTCCCACCCGTTGCCCAGATCAGTCAGTTGCAGCTGTCGGGCTCCCTGGTCGACAGCAGCACCACAGCGGTCCCCTGCAGCTCGACGATGCCTGTCGAGCAGCTCTCCCACTGTGAACGGTCGGCTGCTACTCCCGTACATCCGACCAAGTCGTCGGCGTTGCCCAAGCGAGGGCGGGGCCAACACTCCATTCCCGTTAACACAGGCGCCGGTAGCGGAGAGAGAGTCGTGCAGTCGCGGAAGAAGCAGTGCGACGCTCCAGAGTCCAGTGTGAAGGAGAGAGAGGCGTCCGCCGAGGGAGTACCTGTACTAGTAGCTAAACAAGATCCTACACTTGCACCTACTCTAGCAACAGGCAAAGATCCTAAGCTAGGTACAGGCAAGTACAAAGATCCAGGAGCACTATAGTCAACATCAACATACATGGCATATGACCTAGCATCATCCATAGTCATATCAAAAACAGCAATACCACGAGCAAGAAGTGTCCCCAAACGTGGCGGCGGGGGAGCGGAGGGGCCGTGGTGCAAGCGGTAGAGGTCGTCGAGACGACTGAAGCAGCGTGCAGCAGAGTGGTCGAAGTGGCCACAGTACGAGTCCCGACGAGGACCCGTAAGGATCCAGTACTCACAGGGACCAACGTCGCGGCCGGCCGAGCGAGGTCCCTGACTGGAGGGGGTGCCACTGCGCCCAGTGCTCGGGGGACCCGCAGACCTCCACTGCTGCTGAGGGCCCGACTGCTGCGGAGGGCCCCACTGCTGAGGCTGCTGCTGTGGCGGGCGCTGCTGATGGCCCTGTCGCTACTGCTGCTGTCCCTGCCGCTGCTGCTGTCCAGGCGGTGGCAGCTGCTGAGGAGTCGGCTGCTGCTAATGCTGGGACCCCTCACCACCAGTGAAAACTCCACCGTCGAAAAGAGGGCCGTCAGGTCCCGAGCCACCCCCACCACCACTCCCACCACCCGCTCCACCGCCACCGCCACTACCCGCACCACCTCCAGTACCCCCGCCGCCCTTCCCGCCCCTCTTACCAGCCTTGCCACGTTTCTGCCTGCCAGAGACAGAAAAAGCCGCCGTCTCCTCAGAGGCAGAAGACGTGGGGGTGGCAAGTGAGGCAGAGAAGGTGGGAAGCTGTGGTACCGCACACCCCTCAAAAAGACGAGGAGGAGGCGCGGAAGAGGCAGAGGCAACAGTGAGGAGGTTACTCTCGACCTTCGAGAGAGCAGTCTCAAGAAGATCGATGGTAAGCTCAGTGGGGTGCTTCAGAAGAAGCGCGTCGCGGGCTGTGGCTAGGCGGTCAGGGAGGCGAGTGACTAGCCAGTGAATAGTGAGCCACATAGGGGGTGGGGCAAGGGCAAGCTGGTCCTCAGTGCAAGCAGTGCGAAAGCGGGCATCAAGGGAGTGCAGGTGAGTAGCGAGGTCAGAGACAGTCTCAAAGGAGGCGAGTTCAGGGTAGATAAAGGGTACGAGGAGGCGACTGAGTGAAGCAGAGGAGGGAGTGGAGTAGCGAGTAACAATAGCCTTATACAGATATGCAGCAGACTCGACCTGAGCGAAGTGGACTGCCTCTGTCGGCGGGAGAAGGTCAGTCAGGGCGAGGCAGGTAGCGGCGTCACGAGACTCCCTCACGTCGCGAGCGAGGAGCTGGCGCTGGTAGTCGGCCTCCTGCTCAGAAGTAGGCGGTGGGGTAGTGGGCAGCGGCTGAGGCTGCGGAGGGGCGGTCTGAGTGCCGGACGCGTGTGCGAACAGGTGCACGCCATCCTGCCGCTGGCTCTTAAGGTGGCGCTGCGCCTGCGTAAGCCACGTACTAAAGTCAATCGGTCTCCCTTCAGGGTCAAATCGAAGTACTCGGGAGGTCGCCATAGGGGGCGAAACCGAGAGAGCGCGGCTGCCAGCCGTGGGAGGGGGAGACAGTCAGTGGCGTGTTGGCAAGCGCGCAGGCGTGCAGGTGGGCAGGCGGCGTGGCATGCGGACAGGCGGGTGGCGCGGCGCGCTGGCTGGCGGGCGGCGCGGCGCGCTGGCTGGCGGGCGGGCGGCACGGTGCACTGGCATGGCGCGCTGGCGTGCGCGCCGGCGTAGCGCGCTGGCGTGCGTGCTGGCGAGCGCGCTGGCGTGACGCGCTGGCGGGCGCGCTGGCTGACGCGCTGGCGTGCGCGCTGGCGAGGCGCGCTGGCGTGCGCGCTGGCGTGACGCGCTGGCGGGCGCGCTGGCGGGGCGCGCTGGCGTGCGCGCTGGCGGGCCTGCTGGCTAGGGCGCTGGCGGGCCTAATGGCTAGGGCGCTGGCGGGCCTGCTGGCTAGGGCGCTGGCGGGCCTGCTGGCTAAGGCGCTGGCGGGCTTGCTGGCTAGGGCACTAGCGGGCCTGCTAGCAAAGGCGCTGGCGGGCCTGCTGGCTAGGGCGCTGGCGGGCCTGCTGGCTAGGGCGCTGGCGGGCCTGCTGGCTAGGGCGCTGGCAGGCCTGCTGGCTAGCGTACTACGGGCAGACGGGGGGGGGGGGGGGGGTTCACGCCAAGGCTAGTGACGGCCGAAGTCTAGGAACGGTGGAGACTAAGTGTGGCCTAGGAACGGCGAACCTACTGCTGATACCATCTTAGAAACTAAACACAACGGAATGAGTTGGATTGATTGGGTTGGGGTACAAATGCCTAACCCTACCCCATATAGCATGACCCACTAGAGGCTATAACATTTGACAAAAATGTGAGCAAAGGCATGAGCGAACATTTATACGCGAAACATGCAAACGGTAACGCAGTGCGTGCAAGCTAGCTACTGCTACACTCGCAGCGAGGTTCGGGCTAGTCCCGAAGCATAGGCCGACACGGCCAGGCCAGCAGTGCGAGGTTTGGTGAAACAGTGCGCGCGAAGTCGGCGAAGCCCCGTTAGCAGTAACGGGCAAACAACGGCTGCTGCTGTACGCGATGTTGTGGGATGCGCTAAGGAATGTCGAGAAAATTCCTTACACTACCCTTCCCCTCAAGAAGCCCCCTCCGCTACGCGAGTGCGTGTATATCGCAGAAACCCCGGCTCCTCAGGTACACTTGCAGGGCAGGGTGGTTTTCGATGTTGGCCAGGGACACCCAGCTATCCTCAGTTGGCGTGCGGTCCTTCCAGCGAACGAGGAATTCAATCCTCATGATTCCCGTGGGGTGTCGAATCCGATGGCTCAGGATTATTTCGGGCTCGATGATCGGCTCCGATGCCGGGCGAGTCATGGATGGCGGGCGGTGACGAGGCAGCTGGCTTGTGGTTGGGATGTATGGGCGAAGTAGGCTGACGTGGAATGAAGGGCTGATGTACCAGTCTGTCGGCAACAGTAAATGTGATGTCACTGGGGTAATCATGTGGCTGATTTGGAATGGTCCACAGTAACGCGGTCGCAATTTCGGTACGACGGGCAGTCTTAAGTTCTGTGTGTCGAGCAGTACGTAGTCTCCTGGCTGGTACGTGACTGGGCGGCGGTGGCGAGCAGCGTTGCGTTTAGCGATGACATTTGCTTTTTTATTTGCTTCAGCGGCTCTGGTGCGGGCAGCTTGCAGAATCTCGGCGAAATATTGTGCGCATGGTGTTGGGTTTGTCAAACATTATACATGTTTAGATTGTGTAGGCTATAGTGGGTTTAGCCTTAAGGGGTACAACATTGCTAGGGTTACCTACTTGTATCACCCTGTTGCCTAGTTTCATTCATTCTCGTGCAGTACTAGCTTCTAACATGGTATCCGACGCCTAGGTTAGGACCTAGGACCCACGTTGGTTAGGGCCCACCGATCCGCCGCGCCGTCGAGCGCCTCGCTTAGTAGCGCCGTCGAGCGCCTTGCTTAGTAGCGCCGTCGAGCGCCTCTTCTCCTAGCGCCGTCGTGCGCCCCTCCTCCTCGCGACGTCGAGCGCCCCTCTCACTAGCGTCGTCGTGCGCCCGTAGGACAGCTGCACGAGCCGCCCGTCAGCCACACGCACGGCCGCCCGCACGACCGCACGCACGACCACACGCTAGGCCGCACGCACGGCCGCAAGCGCAGCCGCACGCGCAACCGCACGCGCAGCCGCACGCACAGCTGCAAGCGCAGCCGCCCGCGCAACCGCACGCACGGCCGCCCACGCAGCCACACGCGCAACTGCACGCTAGGAGGCGCGCACAGCCACACGCACGAGCAAGCCGCCGCGCCGCCCTGCCCAAGCCGCGCCGCGCCGCCCTGCCCGAGCCGCGCCGCGCCGCCCTGCCCGAGCCGCGCTGTGCTGCCTCACTGCTGCTACTGCTGCCATTGTTCCTACTGTTCCTACTGCTCCTACTGCTACTATGGCTAGTCCTGCAGTTCTAGCTTTCGATGCTGAGGGCCGCCCGCTGCGTTTTGACACTTGGCTCGAGGACCTCCATCTCTTCCTCCAGCTCACTGCTAAGGAGGATATTTCGTTGTATGACCATGCGTTAGGCCTCGCTCCTGCCCCTGCTGCGACTGCTAACAGTACTGCCCGCTCCCAGTGGCAGACTCGTGACGCCCACTCTCGATTCGCCATTCGCAACTCCCTACCGGTAGATGAACGCGAGCACTTTAGCCAGCAGAAGACTGCTCAGTCGCTGTACAAAGCTGTCGTTGCTCGCTACTCCTCACCTGCCTCTGCTTCGCTAGGCCGCCTCTCACTGCCCTACCTGTTCCTAGACTTGGCCACGTTCTCTACCGTTGCTGACCTCATTACTCACCTCCGCACTGCTGAGATCCGCTTCCGTGCTGCCATGCCCGCTGAGTTTCTTGCCAAGAACCCCCCCCCGCTGTGGCTCACTCTTTACCACCTGGTCACCCGTCTCCCTGACTCCCTTCGTGCAGTCAGGGACACCTTCCTTGCTCTCTGCCCCACCGAGCTCACCATTGACCTTCTTGAGAAGCATCTGCTGGCAGCTGAGACTAGTATAGTAGCTGTCGATGCCTCTTGCGGCGACCCCCGCACCCCTTTCTTCGAGGGGTGTTCCCCCTCCCCTCTTCTCCCCTCTGTCGCCTCTGCTGCTGCTGTCGACCTTCTTGGTGCTGAGAAGGTCGGGGCTGCGTCTACTGCGAGTGCGAGGCGCCGCAGCGGCAAGGGCAAAGGGGGCAAGGGGGGCGGCGGTGATGATGGGGGAGGCGGTGGTTGGGGCGGTGGTGGCGGTGGGGGTGGTGGCGGGGCTGGAGGGGCCAGTGGCAGCGGCGGGGGTGGTGACGGCAGCGGCGGGGGTGGTGGCGGCAGCGGCGGGGGTGGTGGCGGCAGCGGCGGGGGTGGTGGCGGCAGCGGAGGGGGTGGTGGCGGCAGTGGTGGAGGAGGAGGCCGGGGTTGGGGCGGTGGTGGTGGCGGCAGTGGACGCGGTGGCGGTGGTGGCGGTGGTGGTCATGGAGGCGGCGGCGGCGGTGGAGCTCGTGGAGGCTCTGGTGGTGGCCAGCGCCAGCAGCAGACCCTGTCGCCCCAGGAGCTTCGTGAGTGGTACTCTCAGCGTGGGGGGGGTGGCCTTAGTAGCCCGTACGTCATCCGCACAGGTGACCGCACTGGTCAGACGTGTGGGAGGGCGCACACCCTGCAGCGCTGCTTCTCCCACCTCGACGACGCCTGGCGCACCCAGTTTCCGGGTTCTACTGAGCTGCCCCGCTGGTTTGATCTGATCAAGAAGAACATTGATGTCTATGCTCTTGACTTTGATGCTATCCTTGGTGCCATGTATGTGTTGTCTGCTAGTGGAGAGGGTGACTATTACCTGCGTGTCCCGCCCGACCCGGGCATTAGGACTAGTGAGGCTGCTGCACTAGGTGCTAGTGTGTCTGCTGCCCCAGGTACTGGTGAGCCTTCCCCTCTAGGTGCTGGTGTGTCTGCTGCCCCAGGTGCTGGTGAGGCTGCTGCTCTAGGTGCTTGTGAGTCTGCGCCCGCTGCGTCTACTGAGGCACTGCACACCTTCACACTGGACTCAGGTGCTTCCCGCTGTTTCTTTCGTGACCGCACTGCCCTTGAGCAGCTTGCTCGACCGGTTGCAGTCTCCCTCGCTGACCCCTCTGGGGGTCCGGTCATTGCGACCTCCTCCACTGCCCTTCCTTGTCCTGCAGTCCCGTCGGGCACACTGTCAGGCCTCTACCTCCCCTCGTTCTCTACGAACTTGGTGGCGGGTAGTGCGCTCCAGGACGGGGGTGTCCACCAGTTCACCCCTGCCTACAAGCGCGTGACGCACTGCACGTGTGTTCGGACGGGTCGCCACCTGGCTACCTTCACTCGGCAGCCGGGGTCGGACCTGTACACACTGACCACTTAGTCCCCTCAGGTAGCTGCGTCCGCGTCTGCGTCTAGTCAGCTGTCGCCCCCCTGCTCGTGTCGCTCCCTGTCGCACCAAACTGTCCTCTGGCACCACCGCCTTGGTCACCCGTCAGTGCAGCGCCTTCGTGGCATGCACTCCAGGTACCTTGTCTCTGGTCTTCCCAGGGTTCTCCCTCCCCTCCCACCCTCGCCTGCTCCTCCTTGTCTTCCCTGTGTCGAGGGGCGGCAGCGCGCCGCTCCTCACTCCTCCTCGTTTCCTCCGACGACTGCTCCCTTGCAGACGCTCCACATGGACGTGTGGGGCCCAGCCCACGTGAATGCGAATGGTAGCATAACTCAACAAACTCCCCCTCTGGCTGCCAACCATCATCCCACATGACATAGCTCAAGCATGCATCCTCAATGCACACTCATCCCAGCAAGCTTCATGCCCTTCCAATGCTCAGATTCAGCCAGGCGCTTGGTGAGAATGTCAGCCGCCTGCTGATGGGTCTTCACAATCTCCAGCCGCACCTCCTTGTCCAGGAGCCTTCTCACCCAGTGCCACTTAGGCCTGATGTGTTTGGTCAGCCCATGAAGACAAGCATTCTTCGCTAGCTTCACCGCCGACTCATTATCACAGAAAATCACAGTCGGCTCCCTCTGACCAACTCCAATCTCCTCCAACAAACGCCTCAGCCACACCACCTCCTTTGCCCCATGATGCAGGGCCATGTACTCTGTCTCACACGAGGACTGCCCCACCTCATTCTGCTTCTTACTGCGCCAGCTCACTGCACCACCTCCAAACAGGCACACATAGCCTCCAATGCTGGTGCCATCCGCTTTCACCGAGTTGAAGCTAGCGTCAGTGTAGCAGGTCAGGAGCATCTCCCCCTTGCTCAAATCAGCTGCACTCCTCTGCAGCCTCTGCCTCACAGCACTGTACTCCAAACCCACTGATGCCGTTGCACTCACATAGCGGACCAACCTCTTGGCCGCTTCCAGCTGCTCATGACTGGGGCGTGAAACCACACTGGCAAGCCTGGATGTCTTCCACATACACCAGGAGCATGAGAAACTGCTCCTTCTCCTGCAGCAGGAACAAGCTGTGATCACACTCACTCTTCTTGAAACCCCCAGCCAGCAGAGTCTCCTCTAACTTGTGGTACCATGCATGAGGAGCCTGCTTCAGGCCATAGATGGCCTTCTTCAGCCTGCACACCCTGCCGCTCCCATCATCCAAACCCTCAGGCTGTAACATGTACAGCTCCTCCA